ATGCATTGATACTTGCTTGTAATAATTTGAAATAAAAAATTCCAAAAAAAAATATATAATATATATTGGAATAACAACAAAATCTAGAGTTCAAAATGATCAAATATTTTTTTTCCGTGCATCCATTGACAAGTAGATTTGTTTGAGTATGCGATGATGAACGGAACTACGCCAAGTATTTGGGTTTTCAAGGGCAAGGTTCAAGGTTCGGCTTAGCATAAATTGACGACCCTCGGCATTATCTAATGTCAACAAGGCAGCCATGGTTCTAATGGACCCCGTTCGATTCGATTCGATTCGATCTGATCCGATCCGAAACTGCACACACAATATTCGAGGGAAACTGGCCGAGTGGCTGTGGGCCATTTACATAATCTTTGGCCAGCACCGCGAGGCGGCTGCCAGTTGCGATTTATTGGCCAAAACACCAGCCGCGGCAACTCCCAGAGCTTGCACTTAATTATGCTCGTTAAATTTTACAACTTATTTACTTGGGCCCGGGAGATGGTGGCGGTTATCTAATTTATGCGCGTTGATTTGATGGCCCACACTTGGATAAATCACTACTTTATAATAGCACTCTGTCGGCCAAGGGATTTGCCGGGGGAATTAACAATCAATCAGCACGTGCCGTTGTGTAAGGGACTTTAAATAATATATGAAGTAATACAGAATGACTTTAGATGCAGAAGCTACCGAGGTAATTACTAACAACTAAATGGTATATGAATATTTGACTAATTAAATAGAATGAGAAGATGGCTACAATATCTTCAAGGCTTTTATCTGTTTCTTGAAAATATCCGAACACCAGTTATATTTCAAATTGCTTTACAAATGTGGAGTGTAGGTTTTGAAATAACAACTAAAAAAAGAAAGGGAAACACTCATTTATGTGTGGGTTGCTAAAATATATTTATAATTTGGTTTAGTTTGAAGTGCAGGAGTATGATAAGTTAGGGGGGTTCTTGAATATCTCTTGCCCTTTGTCTATAAATATACCAACTATTCGAATTATCTAAAAAAGCATGTGTTTTATTTGGTTTATATTTAGCTACACAACATATATTTGTGGAATAATCCTCTTCATTATCTCTATGCTTGGTATGACTTTCATTTACATGCCAGTCGCTGGCTTTCTAAAGTCCGCCAATCTGAGCCAAAGACCCTAATTAGATGACTTCCAAAGCGAAAAGTATTATATGTATATACGAGAGGCTAATGCGTCTGCAATTAGCATTAACCCACTGCGTTTTTATCACACTGAAACGCAATTATGAGTTCAGTTCAGCGGGCAGTGCAGGCATTAATTGCCGCCAAGCGCCGCAATCATCGTTGCAAAATGTCTCTTTGAGACCAACTAATTAGAGGTTTTGCGTCAGTCGGCGGCACCAGCCTCAATGACAAACGGCGACAGTTGACGGGCTTAGTGGGTTGCCGGGGCGGTGGTGCTGCGGAGTGGGTGGTGCAACGAGCCATGAACGCCCAAAAGCCACCACCTTCTGGCCGAAATGAGAGAGGCAACTGGCCAACAGCCTCGGACATAATGAGAGGGAAGGCGTAAAGTTTTTTATAACAATATATCTAATGGCTTAAGGCGCCCTTAAAGTCAAGCACAGGTCTTACTCAATTCATTTTCAAGCGCTCTGTCTTTATTTTATTTTATTTCCCTTCAAAAAGAGATAAAGCTGATACGATAGTACTTCTTTTTAAGGAAATCGTATTAAATGTTTTCCCGAGGAAATGAATGGCATTGTCTGCTTAGATTGCATTGTATGGCCAACGAAACAAAAACAAGACATGACCTTTAACCTACCGAACACTAAGTTTAAAGGTTGCTTCAGGTTTCAAATTTAGTAGAATCTGAAAGCCTTGCATAAATTCAAAGTTGTAATTAACTAAAAATCTTGTTAACAAATATATAAACCTTCGGACTTCAATGGCTTATAACTTCCAGTTAAGTCTTTAAACCTTAAAAAACCAAGTTCCGAGCTTAAAACTTTGTTTTTAGTGGAATGTTTTAGTGTGTTTTGAGGTTAAACAAACAACATTTACTTAGTATATATACTTATAAAAATAGGGTAAAATGAAGTAATGATTTGATTAGAATTTAACCCTTATAAGCAAATTAAAAAGTATACAAACCTTTAAGCTCAATTTAATTACTTAATTATCCATTAACCTTTGCATATTGTTTAATTCCGTATCCATTCCCCATTTTAAAGAGAAACTCTTGTAAATTAACAGATGCTAAAAGGGAAGACCAGGTGTTGCATCTTCATGTCGCAAGTTAGTTCGATAAGCATTTCAGGCAAGGCCTTAAAGCCTCGTCTTCTGTTTTTAGTTGGTAAACTAGTAAATGCAGTTTGATGTTGCCGCATGCCAAATGAAGGTGTTGCCTGCTGATGTTGCGAGTTGCTGCTGTCGTGTTGCTGTTGCGATGTTGCTGTTGCGATGTTGTGCCCTGTAGGGCAGTGTAAATTAGCAGCAAAAACGCAGTTTTGCAATGCGGCTGGAAAACAATGCAGATTTTGTGTTGTGGTTTTTTTTTATCGGCCGCGCTTGCGGAGATTTCTTTACGGATTTGCTTGGCTAGAGTTTTGCAATCCGAGTTTGTCGCTTAAGTCTTTTGTTCGTCCGTCCGCAGTGATGAATTCATGGCAAATAAGTCAAGGCGGAGGCACCGCTTGGCAACCCCTTCGAATTTAGTCGCCGAATCTGATTCCGATTCCGATCGACGAGCTCGGGCAATTGACTCATTAAAATATCAAAAGCCACCGCAGGCATTCTGATTGAAGAGCAGGCTATAAATAAAACCCCCACGTCCCAATGCCCAGTATTTATATTCGCATTTCCATAACTCAAGTGGCTTCCACTTCAGCAGTCTGTTGTTTGGCCAGCAAATAGAGAAAGACCCCAATAAAGTCAATTGTGTTGCCAAAGGCGAGTGTCTCTGTTCTTGGGCCAAACTTGTGCAACATTTGCATTTGACTAGCTGCGATAATAATGCGATGACATCCATGGAGTGAATGGCTCCTCCGATTTGATGGACCGATCCAGTTTGATGGGTTTGTCTTGGCTTGGATGTGAAGCCAACGGAAATCAGCTGAGCGTTCGAAGTTGCCAACTGTAGTTTGTGTTTAACATCGCCGTTTTTATTTGGCGTGAGTGCTGTGGCAGACGACAATGTAACTTTGAGTTGTCACTTTGGCAGCAGAACTAGAAAAACTCGGTGTCTTGACCATGGCACACATGTGCATGTGGCATGTGGCATGTGGCATGTCATCAGCAACGGTGCGCCAGTGCGGCATATGGTAACACGATCGCCGATTAATCCAGCACCATTATTATCGCTGCGATTATGGCAGCTGTTGGCACAGAGATCCGTCAATCGAGGCGCCTCATCAGCCTCGTGAAGTGATGGCGACCAACTCAACCGCAAACTTATGAAGAAAACCCATCAGATTCGGATTCGGTGGGGTCGTAATTGTATTCTTTGGAACTGCAGCTCTATAAATTACAGTGGCTATAATCTGTAGTTTATGTTATTAGCTTCTGCTTACATACTTCAAGTTTTCAGAGTTTCTTTGATTTGAAAAAAGTTGTATATGAACCAAAATATGATTATAGTGTTAGCCAGAATAACTTTTGGAACAAGGAATTTTATCCACATATTTAAAATTTGTACAGAGATTATTAAATGAAATCTCCCGATTTTACTTGGGATATTGCCATAAATCCATACCTGTCAGTTACATAAAAAACCGCAGATTTGCATGCAATCGACTAAAACCAGAAACTAGGGAAATGGACCACAGGCCAAAGTGGCACCTTTGTTTTGGACCCACGCGGCATTACCGGCAATTGGGCGGGTTGCATAGGTAGACAGTGATTTCGGCCATTGGCGGGTGGGTTGTATCACTCAGTGCTTTTTGAGGGGTCTGCAGTCTGTGGGGCATAACAACTGCTGATTGCCACACCAGGGACTGAAGCTCAGGCCGCAGAAACTGCTGTCTCGTCAGCTCTTCGTCGATAAGGCGGAACTTATTCACGGCGAGTATAGCCACTATAGCCACTCTTCGATGCGATGATGGGGCTGTCAGCACGGCGCACTTATCTATCGATCAGACACTAAACTGCCCATTTCACGTAAGTGAAAAGTGCACTTGGGTGCTTGGGTGCATCATCGGCTTTGGGGGCGTGCTGTCGTCGATTCGTCGGCTGGCATTTAGCCACGTTACCATCAATTACCGCCGGGGAGGCAACACGCGTTGCACAAAATTATGCAATTGCGCAAAACCCTTTTTGGCTAATTAATGCAAAGTCATGAGCGAGGCAAAAACACTTGCATCCACACCCGCCTGAATGCAACGTGGCCACCAAGTGGATTCTTGCAAAGCGCCAAACCAGTTCCACTTCCAGTTGCAGCTCCAGTTGGCCACAGCGGATGCATTCGAGGCGCCCCCCTTGAAAAAGCCGTAAAATCCGCAGCGCAAAGTTGTGCAAGCTACCGCTTTCTTACTCCAAACACTAATAACCCTCAATAAACCAACATCTAGTTGTGTTTAAAGTTTGGAATTTATGTAATCGGTTCTTATAAAAAAATACTAAGTGCTTAAATAGTTTCACTTCCTCAATTGAAAATCCGCATTGAATACCAAAAGTTTTTAATTTTAGCCATTTTTAATGAGTTCATCAAATTTTTTGACAAATCCATTTTTTTATGAGAACATTTTAGTAAACTGATTAACTGAAAGCTTTCTGTATTCTTCTTTACATGCACAAAAATATAGAAATGAGATATAATTTAAAAGCCATTTTCATACTAGAATAAAATTTTAATAATACTTTTAAGCAATTTTTAAAGCAACATTTTTAAACCATCATCTTAATTATTTAATCCCTGGAAGTTAATAAACACAAATTATATTCAACTTTTTAATCGCTATTATATGTATAAATAATTTTTTGGTTTTGACCTTAATTTATTGCACTTTCAGAGGGCAATGCCAATTTGCAAGAGTGCACCGGGCATGGCGAGCAAGAAGAGCGGCACGGACATCTCCGCGGACCACGTGACGGAGGCGGCGCAGGTGAAGCGGACTCGGGAGCAGGCCTACTTCAACTCCTACGACTTCGACGCAATCGAGGTGCTGCCCTACGACGAGGAGGACGACGAGGCGGGGGGCAGGAGTCAGGGAAGGAGCAGGAGCCAAAGCAGGAGCCAAAGTAGGAGCCAAAGCAGGAGTCGCAGCAGGAACGGTAGCAGCAGCAGTCGGAGCAGCAGCACGAGGAGCTACTCCGCGGGCATCGAGTCCGCTGGAGGCAACAAGTTCGCCTATCTGCAGCGACTGGGCGCCTTCTTTGCCCGCAATGGAGGTGGAAGTGGATCAGGAGGCGAATCAGGAGCTACGGCAGCTCCGCCGAGTGGAGCTGCCGCAGTTGGTGGAGCAGCTGCATCGAAGTTGGCGTCCAAAGGCAGCAGTGAGAACTTTCTGCTGCCGCGAGCCATGCTCAAGTATCAAAGGTGAGCAGACATACCAAACACAATCTCTAATACCTTTATAATATAAAACAATTGAGCAACATTTGTATTCAATACGGTATAGATTTAATGCTTTGAAAACCTATTTATTTAGCTTTTTAATTAACTTAGATTTATATAGAGATGAGTATGGCACTCCAGAAATGTAAGTAGTAAACAAAAAGCCCCTAGAAGAGAGCACCAAATCAAACACTTGGGTACGGATACCCATCACCGAGCAGTGGCCTTCATCGCCTCGTCGGCGACCTTGACTTTAGTGGGATTGGGGAGGAAGTGGAGGGCGCGGGGGCGAGAAACCCCCAGATGCAGCGAGGGATCAAAGCAGATCGGATGCCCTAGTCGCTGTTAATGCAATTACGGACGCAACTCTTCACGGTTGCAGCCACTCGAGCAGCAGGCAGCGATATTTTGTAATTATGTTGTTGCCAGCCAATTAGCGCCGCATTAAGCCGGATGGCAATCAGCGGCGGAGTGTTGCCCTAAATGAGGATTATGATTGCCAGAGAGATGGTTCTGAGATCGTGGCCAGGGCAACAGGTTGGTTGGTTGCTTGGTTGGTGATTGGCTGCCACAGCCACTATGTAAATCATGTCTGCAGTGCCAGTGAAGTTCAAGTTGCTGCTGCTTTTGCTGCTGCTGCTGCTGCTGCTGCTGCATCGAGCAATGCGGTTTTTGGCGCCTGTTGTCAGCCTTCACCTCTTTTTCTCTTATGTGCACAGATGTATATACGTACATGCATAAGTGCATATAGCTTGTTGTTTTTAGAGAAGCTTGGCAAACACTCGACGGCGGTCATCACCAACAGCAACAGCAACAGCAGCAGCAGCAGCAACAGCAACATCAACAGCAGCAGCAACTGCAGACAGCTGCAACAATTACGTTTATTAATTGAAATTAAAGAAGCCACCGGCGGCACATGATCTTCGAATCGCCGAAGGTCGAAAGCCGAGAGCCGGAGCCCGTTTTGGTTTGAAATATTTATCAAAAATACAAAATAAATACTTGAGTATCTGTATATGTAAGATATATATTTATATGTGATGCATGCATATGCATTAAGTCGTGCTGTGTATTGACAGCGATTTCAATTAATTGGCGGATAGTTTCGGTCTGCAACTTGTTTCAGCTATTTTGGTCATTGCACGGGCCAGAATATGGAAATGAGGCACTAGCACGATAGCCATGATAAGATAATCCGGCGATATGCTGTCAAAATACCAATCTATTCGCAGCGGATCAAGGAAAGAGCTGCGCTCTTTCCCCCCCTGAAGGTCAAAGCTCTCCGATTCTCCGCCCTTTGGCGAATCGATTTGCGATTCAGTCGGCGTTGGATTGATACTTATTTTGCGTTAACCGCTCACGCATGCTAACTAAATGCCGAGTGGAGCGGATTTCGCACAGTAGCTCTTCCACGGCGACCTTGGCCAAATGCGATTCCATTGTCCCATTAGCCCCCAACAATGCAGTTAGCCGGCGATCAATTGTCGAAGCTCGATGCTCGTCGCTAATTTGTATTCAATTTTTGAGACCGCCTAGGCCACCGGGCATGATATCTCTGGCTTATGCCAAGGTCGGCGTTTAGCCAATCCACCCGACCAGCAGAGCCAGCAACACATCCATCTTGAGCGGCAAGCATGTGCGAAATCAGCGATATAATCGCTGCAATAAAACCGAGCTGGCCCATTGATTGATTTGCAATTGATAGACGGCTAGATCGCGACTTACTTGCCGAACTTGCCGAACTTCCAGTCGCCCGTAATTTGTCTTGGCAAGCAGTCAACAACGATTAGCGGCCACACGAGAGTGTTTGCTAACGGGCCCAAAAAAAAACAGTTGATGTGTCCGCTAGTCCGCCAAAATCGCTTGTCCGCTTGTCCGTTTGTCCGCTTGTCCGTTTGTCCACTTGTCCGCCGGTCCGCCGGTCTGCCCGTCCACCAGTGTTCCGTGCATGCAAACGAGGCTGAACATTTTAATTAACACAGTTCGAACAAACAAAATAAACATACCATACAGCCCAAAGATTGCAAAATATTTCATGAACCGAAGGCAACCTTGCCGCTTCTGTTGGTGCGATATCCATGCCTGCTGTTGCCACTACGCATCGGTAGCTGCGCCACCAAAAAAAACCAAGGAAAAAAAATGAAAAGAAAATCTGTTCGCGTAGCAACACTCGCCAGTCAACTTCGCCACTGACCGCAACTTATCAGTTTTTTGGGTGCGTAACGCACCGACTTGCCGTCCAAGAACAGCCAGCCAAGTTGCAACTTCAATATCTGGTAGCACAACAACCGTTATTACGCAACGCTCAGCACTCATTCCGTTTGGCCAAAAGCCAGCGTTGACCCAGTGAGAAACTTTATGCGAGTGCAAATATAGTATATGGTAGAACCAAACCTCGGACTTGTTACCGATCGTAAGTGAGTTATTAAAGCAATGCCACTGGCGCCAAGCGGTCAAAAATGCAAATCTGCCCCAGAGAAAATGCAAATGCCGTGCGATTAGAATTTCCAATAATAGCATTTGCGTGAAGGAGCAATCAATCAGTGGGGCTATTACGAAAATAAATCCCTCGAGGATCAGTAAATATCGTGTAGATACCATTAATAAAGCTAAGCAGGTTTCGAAGTACTCAAATTAAGATATTAGTTTAAGCAGGCAAACGACATTTGCGATCAGCAGACTTGATTAAAGCTACTTCATAATTTTATGAAACCCACGATAGTTCATATAAACGGCTTTGATTAGGATAAGATTGATACCTTAAAATAGAAACCAAATTGTAGCCACGGGGTACAATGAATGTAGGTAAATATAAATAATTTCATACATTTATAGACTTACGAAAAAACTTGATTAATGATGAGATTGAAAGCTAAAAGCAAACTTAAAACTAAATTAATTCGAGTGAATAAAGGATAAGGATCGGAATAATTAAGACTGTGATTTATTAGTTTGAATATGTAAAACAAAACATTGAAGAAAAAATGTGATCATTGAATGATGTAGGGGTTATAATATAATAATATTTGATAGCATTGGATAACAAATCATATTAAAACGTATTCGATAACTATCTTAATCTTAACTTCTAATAAAACTATTCAGTAAGTACTACAAGTACTCATCTTTCGAGGACTTTGAGTTGGAGAAACTCAAAGCAGTTTCACTTTGATACCATGAAACTCAGAGATATCTGCAAAGAAATGGTAGAAGTGACCCCATAAATTTGCTGAAACAGTTGGTAGCCATCTGTACAAAGTACCGTGAAGTTTAGTGCCCTCCACAGTGGGATGCTTCCGTTCCATTCAATTAAGTTTCCATTTCATTTCGCTGCACTTACCAACCATCTAGCCACCCAACTTCCAACCTTCCTCACAATCTACCAACCTCTTAACATCCGAAGAGGCGACTCCTTTGCTCCTCAAGTCATCGGGCACCGGCGAATTTCATGGTTCACCAAAAAAGTTGGCCCAAACTTAGGCACACACATTGCTGGCAGAGAAAAAGCGAAAATTTGGTCAGAAGTGACTCAAAGCAGTAACTTCACAGTTAGGCAGTAAAATAAAACCGAAAAACAGACGAAATCAAACAAACCGAAAGCCAACCGAATTGCAACAGTAACTGAAGCCGAAATCCTGTTTAGAACGAGTTTATTTGAATTGAAATCGAATTTGTATGTTCATGCTGAATTTCTAAAACGCTCTGCCGCCAAATGTTTGGTTAAATATAGTATGTATGTATAGTATATCAAGAAGCAAATGTGATTGCACAGAGTTGAGCATCCTATGGGCATCCGGGAGATGTTTGGTGGAGAATACCAGTCCAATTTGCCGTCCCAATATTTGCATGTCAGTTGGCCGAGAAAAAAGGAAAACGTAAACAAAGCCACTAACCCAGTTAACCAGTTTTCGCTTTCTGCTGTGAAGTTGTGAGACGTTTATACAATGGGCCAAAAAACTAAAACACTCTTTGTTTTACTAGAAAATACTCAATACTTTAACACTGCTTTAAAGAGTTAACCAAAATAATATTTTTTAATAAATTAATATATGTAATTTCCTTTTATTAAATTTTTTTCTATGCTCCTTCATGGATTTGTGTTAATGTTACATTGTATCCTTAAGTTGCGGATATACTTCTCAGAAACCTAATTAACCACATTCAATATGCATTTTTTGTGTCATAAAATGCCCAACTTAATAGGGGAAATGTTTTTGCCCATGGTGCTTCGGCCGTTTCTCAGTTGGCGACGCATAAACAAAACGGCAATTGCGAAAAAACCAACAAAAACCGCTTTCCAACGCCAGGTTTCCCTTTCGTCCGAGTGTTTTTCGCAGATTTTCATAGCTGTTTCTCTCGCTTTTCCCGCTCTCATTGCAGCACGACGACGGCAGCAACAGCGTCTCCATCCATATCCACATCCACATCCACGGCGGCAGCTGCGATGCCATTGAAGAATGGACTGGCCGGTGGAACGGGCAGTGCGGCTGGTCACGACCACCAACTGGAGGTGGCCACCGGGGCGGGGGAGCGCGGCAAGAAGTGCTCGATCGGCTCCAATGTCAGCAGCACGCATTCCGCGGATTCCGGACTGCCCCCAGTGGCAGTGGCAACAACAGTGGCCACATCTGCGACAGCGGCAACATCTGCTGCTGGAACAGCCAGCCAGGGGGCAGAGGTGTCGGGTGCCAGCGGGGGGGCTCACACTATTCGACGGACAAAAGCGGCTCGTCCGGTTATTACAGCTCCAATGTGTGCTCCACTTACTCGCTGGACGAGCACATCTACTGCGAACCGGTCATCGATGTCCAGGAGAAGATCAAGAGTGTGGCCGCCAGGCAGCGACAGAGGCCGCCGCTCCAGCTGCCAACGAAAGTGGCGGGTCCACAGGAGGCCTCGTTGACGGAGCCGCCAGAAGCCAGCGCCGAAATGCTGTCCGCAGTGAAGAGTCAGCGCTCGGACATGCAAGATGCAGCCGGAGCTGCCGCAACGAATGACCATCAGAGCCACGGCCAAGCGAAGGGCGAGGCGACGGAGGGGCTGCACCAGTACAGCGACAAGCTGAGGATCCTCGAGACGAGCATCGAGAATCTGGACCGCCACCTGAAGACGTTTCCCTGTCTGTACGCTCAGGATCACATTGTTGGCTTCATGCAAACAGCCGGAGAAAGGAGCGAAGTTCCCTCCAGTGCCATGGACATTGGCGAGAAGCTGAGGGCCTACAACCAGCTGCCCACCATCATGGAGCAGCAGCAGCAGCAGCAGCAGCATCAGCAGGATCAGCTGGTAGACGACTCCTTGCTGGACATCGACCTCGACGCCTTTCTTTTGGCGCCCAACGCGGGGCATCGGGGCATCGACAACCCGAGCTTCCTGAACGACGAGCAGCTGGCGGAGAACAACTACAAGTGTGCCAAGTACATCAACTCCTGTCCCGAGGACGCCTACCGCCTGGAGAGCGAAAGGGGCGGACCCGGGGGAACCGGAGTGGGCGTGGCAGAGGAGGTATACGCCAAGCGGTACGAAGATCAACTACACTTCCAAAGCACTCGCGAGTTGCTCGAGGATGTGCGGGATAAGATTCGCCTGCTGTCGCGGGCCACGCCCTCGCCCACGGCCACGCCCATACCGCCGCCCTCCGATGTGCCCAAGGAGCTGGAGGGCATGATCCACACGCTGAAGCACGAGCTGGAGTCCTACCTGCAGCGCATGAACCAGCACAGCGAGCTGGAGCTGCGCCAGCTGTGCAGCGGCCTGGGTCGCCAGCAGCACGTGGTGCGCCTGCAGAACGCCCTGGAGCGCAGACGCAGCTGCGCCGATCTGCAACTGGCGGGCTACGAGGCGGGACGCGACGGAGTGCTGATCTCCGCGAGCGGCAGACCCCTCAGCGTCCGCGAGCAGATGACGACGGTCCGTTGCGCCAGCGATCCCAACTTCAAGATGAAGCGCAAGTCCATTGCAGAGATCTTCCCCGCCGCCGAGTGCTACGTGGAGTCAGAGGTGACCACCATCAGTCTGTCGCGCAGTGCCACGCCCTCGCCCGCCTCCACGCCGCAGCTGGAGCTGGAGGCACTGCATCCGGGCCTGACCACCACGGTCGTTACGCAGATGCAGCGCAACCTCACCTTCCACAAGCCCATCCTGGCGGTGGCCAACTGCAGTCAAGGAGGTGGACACCTGACCGCTGGAGGAGCTGCTGGGGAGAAGGCGGATCGGGAGAGGGAAAGGGAGAGCGTCGCCGAGTGGCACCGGAAGAAGCCGAGCATCTGGGAGATGTACTACGGCACCAACCGACTGCACCAGTCGCTCCTCGGGAAGCAGCGCAATGGAGGCGAACTGGTCATCAGCAGTGCCCAGCCCACCTTGTCCTATGTGAGTACCGGGGAAGTCTGGGTTAAAGGGGGTCTACTGTATCATATTTGAGGAACCTCTTCTTTAGGTGGCTATAAAATCTATCTAAGCAGATACCGAAAGAAGAGCTTGTTACGTTTGATTGTTTTACAATTATAATATATTGTATATTGTTGTAATATTGTTGCTTGGACTTTTCGCATTTAATTGGGAAATTACTAAATAAATATAGGAAGGATCAGGAGGCTTTTACGCTTTAAAATACCCATACAACTTACTTTGTGTATTTTAGACGAGCTGTTAAAAATCAAATCAGGTTCGCAGGCGTTGATGACTCGTTTATTAAAAAGATAACTTAGGTTTGATATTTGAATTTTCACTTGTAATTTATTTATTTAATTGCGTTGCAATTTTACCAAAAATGTTCCTTTAAGAAAATAAATATTTAAAAAAATCAACACATTTTACGAAACTTATGTCTAGGAAAGCTAGACCCATAAAATGGCCGCTAAAATTTGAATAATAGATTCAAGGTGGAAATAGGAATCACAATTTAAACAAATTAGGAACATTTTTTAAATTTCAAAGTTTGCCTCATTACATTTTTAGTGTCCAATTCAATAAATATTTATCACCGTAGGTTATTCGCTGGATGAGCACTCACTTTGGTGTTGCTGAGATTCATGCAATCGCATAATAATTCCACGATTCAATTCACTCCGTAACGAGGGAATTAATTAACGATAATTTAATTCAATTTGCATTTCAATGGGATTCTATGCCAACAAAATCCACTTCCGTTCACCGAATTAATCAAACTGAAACCGAAACCTACAAAAAATTAAATTTGTTCAGTAAATTCGTTCAAAAAGTAATCTTTTGTGTTGAGCCAATTAAGTGATTAATCCTTTTAAACTGGGGATGAAACCAAAAAAAGCGATACACTTTGGTTTTCCTTGGATCGAAAATGGACGATATATCATTAGCCAAACTCGGGTCAAGTGTGTTTTGAAATGGTAGTCATATTTAGATCAGCCGCCGCTTGCAGAGATAATTATGAGTTAGCCGGGCCAACGAGGCGTATGATTAATGCCCCGGCTAATTGCAGCCAAACAAAGTTGCAGCTCGAGGTCGGCCAGCCCAGCGAGAATTGAACAATCGGCCAGGCAAAGTATCTCAAGTTCGAGCAGCGATTTGCATGGCTTCAGATGCGACTTGCCCTCAGCTCATTAGGCTGCCGATTCCTCGTCCGATCCCTCGGCCCATTCGCATTCTAAACTCGTTCGTGCAACTACAGTTGATCAGCCTCATCCTTGGCCGCAATGCGAGCCATTTTGGTGGCATCGTGAGCTCAGTAATGCCAACACCCGCGCGCTTTTGGCCAGAACGCCGGCCGCGTCATTCGGAACTCGCACGTCATAGTTTATTATGCGCCAGGCGGTGCCATCGATATAGCTTCGATATAGTCGCAGACAAAGTCAGAGTCTCAGAGTCACAGTGTGGCAGTCAGAGTCAGGGCCCCTGCGATGCGGCAGTTTGATTAATGAATCCGCCTGGCTACTGTTCCCCCTCCTGCCGAAGATCTCAATAATTACATCTAATGCTGGTCCCACTCCACTCTGCTCCAAACAGCTGGTCCCACTCCACTCTGCTTCGCTCCAAACAACTGGCCGATCACTTGCCTTGCCTTGTCATCCGACTCGATGGCTCTTCAGTTAATGCCAGATTAAGTCGTAACTCCGACAAGTGGCTACAAATCGAAAGCAATTACATTGGGTTCTCAACAACTATATCAATGGAACTGGTGTCGAAATTTATTGATATCCCTTTAAGACGACACAAACCTCATTGATCTTGTTTAAATAAATGGATGACATTTTTATCAAAATTAATGGAGAAATATTACAGTCAAAAAGTATCAGAAGATAGTACCTAATATTACTTATTTTGTCTTCGATAATTACGTAACATTAGTTTCCAAACTTATAATTATTCGTTTGATATTATTTTAGTATTATATTTTTGATATTATCTATTATCTTTATCTATATATATAAAAGCAAGTTGTGTTAGTTCCACCACTTATAACTTAAGAACGGCTGAACAGATTTGGCTGAAAATTGGTAGGAAGGTAGCTTAGAGCCCGGAATAGGAGTTAGGGTACTTTTTATTCCGTTCGACATACCAAAAATCGCATATAAACTGAGTTATTACCTCATCAAACTGACAAGCACACACTACCATAGCATTTTAACTCAATTTTTTTAAAGTGAGTAGAAATTATTTGTGATTTTGGTGAATTGAAGTGAAGTGAAGTTTTTCGTGCTTTTTGTGAATTGAAGTGAAGGGAAGTTTAATTAATAATGCCGCGACCAAGACGATCGAATCTTTCCCGACAAAGCCGTAATGCAAGAAGACTACAAAATACTGCAAATGGAAGGTCTGAAGAAGAACAAAACATTGAACGTGAACAGAACCGCGTTAGAATAGGTCGACTTCGTGCTTCTCAATCAGCAGAGCAAAGAGAGGCAATCCGTAATACGGCTCGGTTGACAATGCAGAATCGTCGAGCTTACAACAGAGGTCAAGAAATAGATCATTTGCGACGCAGAAGAAATTTATCAAGTGCTGATTTGAATCGAGCAGCGTTTCAATACGATTGCATCACTGATTACAGCTTGCATCCTAGCGTTTGCATTGGGCAAATGGACGTTGTTTGCGAGTATTGCGGTGCACTGAAGTTTTCCGGAGAAACGCCTGGATTATGCTGCTTTAATGGTATGTCGAACGGAATAAAAAGTACCCTAAGTCCTATTCAGATACGCACATTATTCGCTATCATAATTTCGACATGTACTCCCTCAAACCCATGTAACCTGTGGCACAAATACAAGGATAATATGTCAGAAGATATTTTACATCAAATTCGTGTCAGTTCCAGAAATCACGACATTGAGATGAATGAGGAGATACATAATCGGGCTTTACTCTTGATCGAAGATATGTGTTACCTCATGTGTGGTAATTTATTAATCAGGTTGGGAATGCCAGCGACATATCCGGCGAACTTTGTTCTGCCTTTTTTTGGAAAAAATTACAAAAATAATCAAAAACCTACATTAATATTTAATTTTTATTTCTGTATTTTGGTACATAGGCGTCGATCAAGTTGTTCTTCCATGTTTCATTGCTTAATGATACATCTGCTGAAGATTTCTCGAAGCAATTGCTGACTATCGGCAATGGTCAAGTACCTGTCGATGAATCGAGCGGATTAATATCATTTCGAAATAATTTTTGTAAGTGGTAAGCCAGGCACGTCCAAAGAGTTTAAAAATTTAATTGAATAGTTGGTGGCTTCATCTTCATTTGTGACTCAGTCAATAGATTTGAATGAATGCATTGTTCCAATGATCTTATTTTGAATTATGTAGTTCAGGTCATCAACATCTTTATTCTTAGCCGCTAAAATGGCTCTCTCACTCAACCATTACTTATTTTTGTAGTTAGAAATAATGTTTGCAAATACATTGTTGATAAGTTCCTTTTTTGATGAGACAAAATTACAAAAATTATTTCGAAATGATATTAATCCGCTCGATTCATCGACAGGTACTTGACCATTGCCGATAGTCAGCAATTGCTTCGAGAAATCTTCAGCAGATGTATCATTAAGCAATGAAACATGGAAGAACAACTTGATCGACGCCTATGTACCAAAATACAGAAATAAAAATTAAATATTAATGTAGGTTTTTGATTATTTTTGTAATTTTTTTCCAAAAAAAGGCAGAACAAAGTTCGCCGGGTTTGCTAGTTTTAAATAAGTTGTGATTTTAAATTGAAATGTTAGATAAGTTAGGGTATTTCGATGCGTGATATTCACTCAAGAATTCTGATCTTAAAATTCCGTTACCAATTTTGGCTTCCGTTCTACGCCTTCCGTTTTCGGTAAAGGCTTATGCAATATCCGCAGCCGCGATTCGAGCGATTCTGGCCAGCGTTCAAACGCCAAACTCACTGACATGCCCGGCATCCCAATGAGTTTTCACTTTCGGCCAGGCTCGTCGAAGGTGTGTTCACCTTTGCGGAGCAGATAGCAAATAGCAGATAGCCGATAGCCGATCTATCGCGGGCGATTTGAACTTGAGTGCTGTGGGGCAGGCGTGCGAAAAATACGGTTAAGCGACACTGTACCAGTTAACCTTTAAATTCCGTTAAGACGGCGGCCGCAGTGGAAGCCGCATCTCGGCCAACTGGCCATCGATTGCGGTCGCGATAACCGGCCCAGAAAACAAACAAGGCAGCAAGGCAGCAAGGCAGCAAGGCGGCAAGGCGGCAAAGTGGCGAGCATGCAACAAGTGGCAAGAAGTTGCCCTACCGCTCGAATGACCTTTAAGGACGTTGGCGAAATTCCGCGAGTAAAGAAGCCGCCCCATCCTGAATGCGAATCCGAAACCGAAGCCAAAAGCTGAAGACCCCTCGCAGCCCGCTCGAAACTCGTCCCACGGCAATTGGCCGGCAGCAAACGAAACCGAAAACTAAACGGGTTTGCTGTCATGAATGCCAAAACGAAATCGAAACTGAAAATGAAAACGAAACAAAGCTGAAAACTGAAAACGCAGAGAGATGTAAGGCGATCTGGTCCAAAAGCGGCCAAAAGCTGCACGCGTTTTAGCTGCCACAAAGTGTTGCAATCGCAGTCGCAACCACGCTTGCCACCAGTGGACACTTTACAGTGGGCAGTTGCCACGAACCACCGTTGCACTACCACCACAAATCCCCCATTCGTTAACTGGGTTATGGCGAATTCCATTTGGGGGGCAGGCCTCAAGAGCAGTCGCTGGTCATGGAGTTGTCAACCTTCTTCGGTGGCCGTTTTGCATGGGGAGGCTGTTGTTTCTGTCTTTTAATTTAGGCTCTTACATGAAGAGAAATAGAAAAGTGGTCAAGTTTGCCTACGTTTTCTTTAATAAATCGTCCTATACCTACTATAATTTTAGGGATTTGTGGGAATATTTGATAAACTTGAAAGAGAAAAGACTTCCTTAAAGCGAACATTTACTATTTAAAAACAAAAGTTCATCTTTGAACAATATAATTTAAAATCGATATTCAATTTTTTTTAAAGAAAATTTTAAATATTATATTCAGAGCAATATAAAATTGGGGCAAACAAAAATTGAAAATCGTTATGTTAGCCGTTCTAGTTGTTTGGAGTGACTTCCGAAAACTGAATTTTAAACTTTAATAGACCCCAGGCAAGATTATTGATCTCATTTCTCCCTGTGCAACCGTCGCCTTGGGGGTCTCGTTGGATTTATATAAATGACTGCTGGCCATAAGTGGCCCAGGGTGTATTGCTTCCACGGAAGCTGCGCCACTGCCAGCAATTATGGTATCAAATTTCCACCTATTGCCCATACGCCGTGTACGCCGAGGGAAAGGCAGCAACTAATTAGACTGCCACTGCCACCTGAATTTCGCAATTCTGCCACGCCCACACAGAGGCGCAGCCGCCCCCTCCGGTGGCAGTGACTCAACCACCTCAGCCTCCAATTGCAATTTCCCCACCGCGAGGCGGAGCAAAGCGAAAGAAGAAAATTCATTTGCAGTTGCATAAATGTTTGCACACACTTTTAAATTGAATTAAATCCGCGACTCAGGCTTGCGACTCGTGGACTCGTTGCCACACTTTGCTCGAGTTAGCATATGCCTGATAATTGGCGAAGACAAAACAAAACTAATATGTGTAGAAGTGCCTCCATGAAGACATTCACCTGGAATTCGGCCAGACGGCGGATCAGTTGTTGACTTCGGCTCGACGCAAATGGATCAGGGATTAGTCTCGAAAACAATGGACCAGTGAACAGTTAATCGAAAAATGGTACAATTCTAAAATAAGAGCATAAGAGCAAATATTTCCATGCACATAATGTATCAATAACTTGAGATGAATGAGCGTGAAAGTATTTTAAATACATACATGTATAAGTGGCAAGCTTAATTTTTGTATATAAACTCTTTAAGAATATCTCAAATAAATATATAGTTGATTGTTAAAATGTTTTTCTCAAATGAAAATAAGCCCATTTTCAAAGGTATCGGTTTATGTTTTATTAATATCAACTTTCTTAAAAAGTAGGAAATGAATTAAGGTCACGCCACAATTTATATGGTTAAAACTACCAAAATTTAAAGCTGCATCGTGCTTGAATGAGTTGCTAGTAAACAAAAAACAAAAATTTTGCAAGTGCCGGGAAAATACCTAAACTTTTTTGTGTCGGCCGATAACATAAAGTACAAGATAACACCTCCGATCCGGATTGCATCGAGTGAATTTCCATTGCCGCGACGTGAGCAAAAATACGGATTCCCCGCCGGGCGGAGATTACGATGGTCGGCCAGTTGTTCGTGGACGTGTTAAAATTTTGTTTTCTCTTGGAGTGATTTTTCAAACCTGATGTACTTGCTCGTCGGGTAGCCACAGTAAACTTGGCCAACTTCCAGAGCGACAGCGGGGAAACAGAAGCGCTTTCAATGTCAGCGGCGGAAAACGTGTGCGGCAAATTAAAAAGCACCGCCGATCGATGGATTTTCTTTCAAAAATTAGCACACACCCAAAAGTTGAACCCGTATTTGGGGGGCACACAATATATAATACATAAGCAAAGTGTTTCAAGGCCGGGTTGAGCGGGAATTTACAACCAGTAGTCGATTTCTCATCATTTTGCATATCTTTGGCGAATTTATGGTTTTTTTTTTTATAATTTATTTATTTGTTATTTATTATTTGTTGCGTGTGCGTGAGCATGTTGGTGCGCGGCATCATTTGCAAATTAGCTTATAGACAGAGGCGTCTCCCCCATTGGCGTCAAAATCGGCAAGTTATTCCGGCACCTTAGAGGCCCAGGTTTCAATTCATATCCACCCACGGCATTTTACACCACAATTGCACTTCATTTGGCATGGCAAGCCAATAAAACCGTTACACTCCAACTCCCACAAGCCAGAGGGAAATGTAGAAAACTGCACCTAAAAAAAACCTACTCATATTGGTAAAATGTTTAATATTTTTCTCAACTGGCAAATATTTTTGTTTAGATATCCTCAAATTATTATAATTATAATATTATATTATAAACTTCTGATCATGACTCTTAGATACATATTTGGAGAATCAAAAAAAACGGATTAGACTATGTGCAAAAATTTGTTAAAAAATTAGTTGAGATGGATGACCATCATCATTTGGTTTTTTGCAAACAAATCTAAAATTATCACGCACAAACTCTCAAGTTCTGCTTCGTTCGTTCAATATAATAATTCCTGACTATTAGCTAAGCGAATATCTAAGATATTATTTCCATTCAAACTGGCTAAGATCGGGTTTTTAAAAAGACTTAATATTTAATTCATCATCATTTATTCACAATTTTTTTGTGTGCATCGCTCGTAGCCAATATACTTGCAAATGCCGGAATGCGGTAATTGCCCCTCGGCCTCCGACTCCGTCATCTTTTGCCGATTACGTCTTGCCTTTTCACAGTACTTTGACTGATAAACAGCAGCAGTTATAATGAATACACATCTGTAAACATACATCTGTACATATATATCCCCGACTTTGAACGGCATCACTAACCTCAGACAAGCGAATCATCAAAAAGGGAGAGAAAAGAAGCCGGAAGGCAAAAAATGTACCGCAAAGTTGTGTTCATTTCAATTTCTCACTTTGATTGTGTGTGTGTCTGGTCGAACTTAAAATACAGTATATATTAGATAAGAGGGGCTAGTAGATTATACAATAGCTTAAAAATAAATTTGTCAGGCTAAAATACATGAAAACATTTTGTACTATTTAAAGGTTTTAATGGTTTTATAAATGAGCAATTTTCAACCACTTGTGATAATTTCTTGATATTTATAAGGAAGTATTTGTACTTCAATACAAAAAATACTTTTTATATAAAAAATTTAAAAGAAATAAAATATAAGAATGAAAATATTATTTAAATATTTTATATAATATATATATGACGTGAAATTATTCTTATATTTTAAAGCAAAGAGTACACATCACCCCACGCGAAATTACATTTTAGGGTACTATTTTAAATTGAAATTTATAAACAGGTATCCACTGTAATGGGTTGAACAGAAAAAGAAATGATCACCCGGATCGAAAACAATGCAGCTTGAAGCGTACCGCAAAATCGAGAAAAAATTCCAAAACACGTCGCAATCACAATAAGATGCAAAAATAGGTGTGCACAAATTTTCGCAGGCAAAATTGTTTGTTCGCCTTGTTTGCCACAGCTCAATTACACACATGCCGAGGCGAGTGTGTGTTGAAAGCCCTCCCAGACACACACAAAATTACACTTGAATGCCCTTTTAATGACCGCATTGCGTATTCGCCGCTTTCACTCTTGAAATTCGATAAGCGATTCAATCTGTCTTTTGACACATTCGAGTATTTAGTCAGATTTGGTAACCACCTTGGCCAAGAGAACTTTGCCCGGCTTAATTAAAAGTGAATGTGAAGAAACTTCTCTGCACATGTAATTTTCAGTACGGAAATTACTTCATTTCCGCCGGAAGTTGCTGCTGAATGTGTCGAATTTTTTTGAACGCAGTAAGCCCTTTACTGTTAAGATATTAATTTAGATACATACATATAGACATGCTGACCTAATGCATTTTCTGTCGCCAGTGCACCTGATTGAGTGAAATTTCCAAAAGTGTTTCATAACATTTAACATGCTTAGCGAGAATTGGCAAGAAAAAAATATACGATAAAAAACATTAACAAAAAAACTGTTAACGTTTTGTTTTTAAGTCTGCCTTTTGCTTTTTTCGCTGTTACTGAAAAAGATTTCAAGGTTGTGTCGCTAAAATGAGACGTGCGGGAAAAAAATGAAGATGCGCGCACAGGGGAACAACAAAAACAAAAACAAAGCTTAGTGGGTCAAATTTTTGTGCGTTGGTGCCCTTTTTGTTGGTTTTTTTTTTTTTTTTTTATTTTTGTTTAACATACAGCCCCGCCCTGCTCAACTGCAAATATTGGCGGGCATGAGATGCTGGTATGAGATTTATGTTTAAACTTTTGGTGACCTGAAATACTCGAACGAGCCTTAGCTTGGTTTTGACTCAAATAGATCGTTGCGATTATGCGTGATTAAAATGATCATAATCAATGTCAAGAGAAGATCATCAGCGGTCGTTGATGGTCAGAGATTTACATATAACCAAAGCGTTGGTACCATCAAATATTAATTAACTTAATTGCAGGCTCAACCGGCATTTAGTGACGATCTTTTCTCCCCTAAAAAGCCCCTTGTGGCATTATAGGTAACGAAACTATGTTTCAGTTCAGCCATTCCTATTTTTATACACCTGTAGAGGGAATTATAATTACACTCAGAGCATTTTTTGGGTTAGAATCTTATTCATCAATTACAATATAATTATAATAACGAAATCTAGATTTATCCAGATTTTAATTTTAAACAAATATATATTGTAAACTTGCACCTGAGTGAATAAAATATTTTATATGTGTCTAAAGGGTTATAAAACTGGTTGAAAGGTGGCATTTATAACTAAAATACCAATTGTCCCTACTCTGCAAAACTAATCGTAATATTTTATTCACAGCCATCATCACGACCCGAATCGGACTTCACGCTCGACCTTCCGAGGGCCGAGCAGCTGCGCTTGAAAATGGAGAAGGAGAAGAAGTTCCGCCAAAGATGCCGCTTCATCACCACGTTTCTCAGCCTGGTCTTTTTCCTGCTGACCGTAATGGTGGTGAGCCTGGTTTTGACCCGCGGCAAACGGATGTTCGGCAGCATGATTTGAGGATCCCGATCACCGATCGTTACCGGTGGCTATAGCCACACAAGTAACCCTTTAGATCCGACTCTGCTAAATCGAGAGACGGCAGAGCATTACAAACTACAGTGCCAACCACAAATGTAACACGTTAGCGAAGCTCAAGTTTAGTGTTAGTGGTAGTCGTAAGTAAGGTCACCGTGGTTTAATTGGCAGGGCAGGACCGCCACAGCCGCAGTCGCAGTATTCTTAATAAATTATTTATGTGATCCTAGTTGTTAAGTCCGAGTGAGTGCATTTGTTTTTGTGCGTACGCGTTTACTACCTGTATCCAACCTATCGTTTGTCAAACCTATTGTTAAGCCCATCAAACTGTATTAAGTCTAAATATATTACTAGAGTCCTGTGAAAGAATGGAGAATAAACAGAATAACGAGTACATATAATATAACATTTATTAATATGGAACATCCACGCACAGGCGAGTTGAAAGCATCCGTACTTTTGAGATTTTTGAGATTAATGCCTTCGGGCTTCAGCGGCATCTTCGTACTTATAGACATACATATATCATCATAATCGATATCACAAGTGGTTTTGTTTTCCTTTTGATTCGTTAAACCTGAACCAACTGCGAGTGGGAGAAATGCACAAAACTTAGTTATTAGTGGGTTTTGAGGGCTGACATCTACAGCGCAAATCTACAAAGCGTTAGAAGCTACGAAAAAAGGCAAGTTCTGCGGAGAAGTGTCGAGAAGGGCGGTGCGGCCAAGTGGATCTTTGGCGTGTACTCATGTTTGCTGTCTCATAATATGCGTATGTTCTGGCGATTGACCTCGAACAGGGTGTGATCCTCCTCGTCGCTATTCACGTCCTCAATGGCCATCGGAAGTGGAGTCAGCTCCTGGTTGGCCCGGTCGCCCTGCACGCCGTACTTGCGCTCCGCTCGCGAGAGGCGTAGACTGCAAAGATTAGTGTGATTATTCTTATAAATTTCTGTTGCTGGTATCAAGACAGCGGTCAGGAAGTTCACAAAACTGAAAACTAATATGAAAGTTATGAATCATTTTTCATATATGGAATTTTAGATTTAAATCAATGATTATTCATTAGGGTCGAGAGAGAATTAGGATGCAGTTGGGAATAAAGGTAAAATATTGAATACAAAATAATACTGACTAAACAATATACACGCTTAAAATGAAAATTTCCTAATTTAATCTCTATTCTTCGTCCAAGACATTCTATGAATCATAACCAGAACCCCGAAAAATCATGCTCCCTTCAACTCACCGGTAAACTCGCATTACGAGGAGCAGAATAGCCGTACTGGTGATGCCTACTAAGATGTAGACCACGGCTTGCCCGGGAAAGTCCAAGTCGGAGGACATGCGGCTCAGTTCGACGTGGACATCGTCCTCGGGAACCCTTCCGGATGCTTTGGGGGCTGTTACCCTTGAATTAGCCTGTGGAGCTGTTGGTTCAGCTGGTGCGACCGGGGCAGCTTCTCCCTTGTCCACAACCACCATGGAATCCTTCGGGCCCGCCGGAGGGTCCTCGGGCAGCGCCTTCTTCACTGACTTGCGCTCCTCCTGCTTGATGGTCGCTGCTTCGCCAACCGGCGCACTCTTCTCCGTAATTTCTACTGCCTTTTGGGGCGCCTGTGTGGCTGCTGCGTCACAGGATTGCTGACGGAACAGTAGCAACAGCATCACTGCTGCCACTAGGTAAAAGCAGCGACAAAACATTTTGTCTTATATTACTGAAAATCGCTACAAAATTTAACCGCTTTTTGGATAAACAATGACCTTTTAAATTTCTTTACTGTTTTTGTTTTGCTTAGTGCGTCAGGGTTGCCACTGTAGAAAAGCAACTTAGATAAAGAAACAATTTGAGCAAATTTTGTGGTTTAAGACACGGGAACTTAGGCATATTTGCACAGCAGTGGCTCGGTCACTCTATATCGGAAGGCATCTATCGATGTTGGCAAATTTTCGAGCACATCGATAGTAACGAGAAATCATCGTTTCTCGTTCCAGCTCTAGTTAGTAATAAACGAAAGTTAGTGATTTTCACAGAAAATAAGTTGATTTAATTATATCCCAATTTAAAAATCCAGCTTTTAATTTAGTTTAGTTTTAAACAGCGTCTGGCAACAGGTAATTTTGTGGCACAGTCTGTGCAGTTGCAACTCCAGACGAAATAACGAGCTCTGAAAATGGCGAACAAAAGAGAAAAAGTGTGTGTGCTCCAAGAGGGAAATCAAATCACTACGTCACAAAAAACCTAGGCCAATGGGGAAATTTTAAATGCAATTTGCAGTTAGATGAAAGTCGAGAAATCCTGAAAATAAAAAGTGGTGAATTGCAGTGTAATCGTTATGTGCGCTGACTTTTTTCTTTTGGTTGAAAGTACTTTTGTGTGTGTGAAGGCGAGGGCGACTGCATGTCTGTGTGTGTGTGTTTATTTAACCAGGAAGTTGGGTTTTTGAACACGATCTATCGATAGGCGGGGGCAGTAACGGGGCTGCACTTGCTGTCCGATTGCCAATACCCCTTATTACAGGGTATTTACGAGCATTTTGCATCGCATTACACCTTGAGAGTAATGCTGACTGAGCTTGTGTGTGTGTGTATTCCGCAAGCCTCTCTTTTATTGCTGTGACATTGGATCATAATAGGCGACCTCGGCTCGTCACTTTTTACGTGTCGAGGCATACCACATTCCCATTCCGTTTTTGTACCGTTTCGTCTCGTTCGTAGATCGAAATTTTAAATTCAAAAACCCGAACACTGATTCGCCAAGATTCCGGCCACAGCTCCCAGGACGAGAGCCGCCAAACGACGCCACCTGGACAGCAGCAGCAATCCCCCGTCGCCCGCGCAGGATCCGCCACACAGGGTCATAGCCACTTCCTCCAGCTCAGCGCCTCTGCAGGCACAGCATCCTCCAGTGGGAGAAGGCAAGAGGTCTTTGCCACCCCCCACCGTCACCGCCGCTAAAATGAACCGCTCCAGCAATGCCCAGACCACACAAAAGCTCGTTAACCTGGACGACATTTGGAGAGAACTGGTCGAGGGCATCCTTCAGGTATTTGAGCACGAGAAGTCCCTCACCCGCAGCCAGTACATGCGATTCTACACGCACGTATACGACTACTGCACTAGCGTAAACGCTGCGCCCAGCGGTCGGAGCAGCGGGAAGACCGGAGGAGCACAGCTAGTGGGCAAGAAGCTCTACGACCGGCTGGAGGCCTTCCTCAAATCATACCTGAGCGAACTGCTTACCAAGTTTAAGGCCATCAGTGGCGAGGAGGTGCTCCTGTCACGGTACACCAAGCAGTGGAAGTCGTATCAGTTCTCCAGCACCGTGCTGGACGGCATCTGCAACTACCTAAACCGCAATTGGGTAAAACGCGAGTGCGAAGAGGGTCAGAAGGGCATCTACAAGATCTACCGCCTGGCTCTTGTTGCCTGGAAAGGACATTTGTTCTTGGTGCTCAACGAGCCCGTCACCAAAGCAGTGCTCAAGTCCATCGAGGAGGAACGCCAAGGCAAGCTCATTAACCGGTCGCTGGTGCGCGACGTCATCGAGTGCTATGTTGAGCTCAGCTTTAGTGAGGAGGACGCCGATGGCGATCAGCAAAAGCTGTCTGTGTACAAGGACAACTTTGAGAGCAAGTTTATCGCTGACACGTATGCCTTTTACGAAAAGGAGTCGGACGCGTTCCTGTCCACCAACACGGTGACCGAGTATCTTAAGCACGTCGAGAACCGGCTAGAGGAGGAGAAACAGCGCGTGCGCGGCCTGAACTCTAAAAACGGACTCTCCTATCTGCACGAGACCACGGCGGAATGTCTCAAGTCCACATGCGAGCAGGTGAGACTGCCAACCACCTAGAGTTCAAAAGTTTGGATTTTAACTAAATCAATTTTTTCAGGTTCTTATTGAAAAGCATCTGAAGATATTCCACACCGAGTTCCAGAATCTGCTCAACGCAGATCGAAACGATGATCTAAAACGGATGTACTCGCTGGTCGCCCTCTCGCCCAAAAACCTAACAGATCTTAAGTCCATTCTTGAGAACCATATACTCCACCAGGGCACTGAGGCCATTGCCAAGTGCTGCACCACCGACGCGGCCAACGATCCCAAGACCTACGTCCAGACCATCCTGGATGTGCATAAGAAGTACAACGCTCTCGTGCTGACGGCGTTTAACAATGACAACGGATTCGTGGCCGCCTTGGACAAGGCATGTGGCAAGTTCATCAACTCTAACGTGGTGACGACAGCCAACAGTGCCAGCAAGTCGCCCGAGCTGCTGGCAAAGTACTGCGACCTGCTGCTTAAGAAGTCCTCAAAAAATCCCGAGGACAAGGAGCTTGAGGACAATCTTAACCAGGTCATGGTCGTGTTTAAATATATCGAGGATAAGGACGTCTTCCAAAAATATTACTCCAAGATGCTGGCCAAGCGTCTGGTGAACCACACATCGGCTTCGGACGATGCCGAGGCCATGATGATCTCCAAGCTGAAGCAGACGTGTGGATACGAGTACACCGTTAAGCTGCAGCGAATGTTCCAAGACATTGGTGTCTCGAAGGACCTGAACTCGAACTTTAAAGAGTATCTGGCCAGCAAGAACGTTACAATGGAAATTGACTTTGGAATTGAGGTCCTGTCTTCGGGCTCATGGCCCTTCCAGTTGAACAATAACTTCCTGCTTCCCTCTGAGCTGGAGCGTTCAGTGCGACAGTTCAACGAGTTCTACGCCGCCCGCCACTCCGGTCGAAAGCTTAACTGGCTGTATCAAATGTGCAAGGGCGAGCTGATCATGAACGTTAACCGCAATAACTCCTCAACCTACACTCTGCAGGCCAGCACCTTCCAGATGTCGGTGCTGCTCCAGTTTAATGACCAGCTCAGCTTCACGGTCCAACAACTGCTGGACAACACACAGTCACAGCAGGAGAACTTAATTCAGGTAATATTAAATCATTTTTGACTTTCTAGCCGGTTACTTAAGGAAATCTCCTTTAAGGTATTGCAAATATTGCTGAAGGCTAAGGTGCTGACTTCCAGCGGCAATGAAAACTCGCTAACGCCTGAGTCGACGGTAGAATTGTTCCTGGACTACAAGAACAAGAAGCGCCGCATTAACATTATCCAGCCGCTGAAGACTGAACTTAAAGTGGAGCAGGAGACTGTACATAAGCACATAGAGGAGGACCGGAAATTGCTGATTCAGGCGGCGATCGTTCGCATTATGAAGATGCGCAAGCGACTCAATCACACCAATCTCATTTCGGAGGTGCTTAACCAGCTGTCGACGCGCTTTAAGCCCAAGGTGCCCGTGATCAAGAAGTGCATAGACATCCTGATCGAGAAGGAGTATCTGGAGCGGATGGAGGGACACAAAGACACATATAGTTATCTCGCTTAAGTTTATGTTAAATGTAATACGTTCGCTGTTTCATCTATGCCAGCCATTAAAATATCATCAATATACTTAGAGGTCGTGTAGACCCTCCGCGCCCCCTTTTCCCCCGCCCGAAATAAACTGCCGCCGAAACATTCGAACTGTTAGCGAGCTAAAAATACTCCATGCTTGGCATTATATGTATGTGCAATTCCCGCAAATAAGTCACTAACTTCATATTTCGTCACCAGAACACATAATTTCAAGGGACTGGCTAGCCACAGGGAGCATTTTAGCCGTGAGACCTTATAACAAAAAGAACCAGCCTCTGTAGAAACAGATTCAATTTTCTGAGAACACCCCACAGGTTCCCACCAAACAATAGACTTCTACAGGACCGGTGCGGTATAAGTTTATTGCAATTTTATTTACTACCCATTTTTCGATCAAGTTCTGTTTTAACTAGTTTACGTTATTCATAATTCGCTGTATGCATATACGATTATTATACTACTACGAAGCAAACAAGTGTTAAGTTCATAAAACAAAGTACGTGCAACTTTGGTGCAGTTGTTTTATTGCGTATCGTGCCTACTCCTGAATCAGCAATTTCTGGTCCAGGTTCATTCCGCTGGCGATGGCGTAAACGGTGAAGGCGAACTTGGCCACCTACAAAGATACAGGTATAAAACTGGCTTGTGCTCTTTGTTTACAATGAACCATGGACTTACATTAATGTTCGTGGCCAGATTAATATTGAATATGTTCATGGCCGTAAACGTCATGGGCTGCTGAAGTTTCTGCAGAAACTGGAGGACTACCTGCCGGTACTTTCTGTTCTGCATCCACCAGCCAGAGTGGAACAGCGCGTCTGACAGCTCGTTGCAATCATCCACGATGGCGTTGCAGTAAAAGCAAAGCGGAAACGTTTGTAAAAGGACGGCCATCACATAGATGACAATGCCGAATCGAGTCGATTGATCGGCAAACAAAACCATATTGATCATGACGATTCCCAGAATTGATCCGCATATGATGAATTGTGCAAAAATCGTGCCAGAGATGATTGGCTGAATTGCCTCACAGAAACTGCGGAGAAAATTTTGTTATCCATTTTATGGTTCTTGCAAAAGTCTTCAGTTTTAATAAAACTAATTTTTTTTTTAAGCCAAATCTCATGGTATACCTTGTACGAGTGCATAAATTTGTATTATACATACGTCAATTTCCTTATTGTTATAATACAAAATTGTATTATTTTTAATAAAAAATACCTTTCTTATAAAAACCGTATAAAAATTAAAAATAAAAAAATAAAAAACTCACTTTAGCATGGTCCTGTGAGCTTTGATGCAATTCACCAACGAGCTGAACATGGAATTTTGATCGGTGGAGGCTTCACTGCTTTCCTCTCCGAGGTGGATGATACGATCCTTAAGCAGCAAGATGTGTTCTCGCAGGGCCGCTACGAAGATCACTGGGTAGGAGTCGGTTGCCGTGGCCACGAAAATGGCGTATCCCACGGTGAGGTATTCCAAAAAAGACTGAATATACAGTTGAGTCCGATTGACTCGCCAGTTTACGAACGGATAGTATGTGTTGTACGGCACACGGTCATGGAAAATACCGTCCAGCAGCGTGGCGGTTGCGTATAGAATGTAGACCACGACAAATAAGAGGTACAACCTGGTAATGTTGGCCACCATATCACGAATCCTGCGCTGCTCTGTTGGCTTTTCGCAGAACTTGTCCATCTCATCAAAGTGTTTGTTAGCCAGCTCCAGTCGCGGCATGTATATTACCAGAGTAAAGAACTTCAGAGAGAAGCACCAGGTGTTGAGGCACAGTTGCAGAGATTGCAGCAGCAAGTCCGGCGGAAACTCCGCAAAGTGGATCGTGTAGTTGATCGGAAAACTCACGGGTAGTATAAACATATTGTAGACGAAGGAGATAACCCTCCAGATCTTGAGGCTTACACCAAAATCTTTGCGTAAGTTCAGGCCTGAAAACCTGAGCGTTCCCAGTAGATAGGCATTGGAGTCTCTAGAGCTGATCGGCTCAGATAGAGGAGCTGGGTACATGAGCTTCAAATACCTAAACATTTTTAATTGCCACCGCTTAAGACTGAGAAGAAACTGCCACAAGTACAAACCCCAAATGCTTTTATATCCTGCCACAATGGTTTAAATTACAGGTTGCCAATTCAAAGGCGTTCCTGTAAAAGAATTTCAAACATGTCACAACAATTCAAAGGCAAAAGCTCTGCTTCACCTTGATGGCTATGATAATTACTAACTTTTCCCTTTTGGGCGTTTTCTTGCAAAAAAAATTTTGTTTTGTCAGATTTTAATTATTGTGCAATACTTCGTTCGGTGGGAACGTACACTTGTTGAGAAAATACAGTGTGTAAGGACTGACTTCATTTTTAACTTAGAAGATTTTAAAAGTTTGGGCGCAACCGTATACTCCAATGCACACGGAGTTTGCTTGTCAGAAAAACTGCTGTTTTGTACAAAAGTCTGCTTTGTGATGGCGTCAAGACTGCTTAGAAACTATGAAAAATACAAAAATACTATCACTATACATCTTTGTTTGCAGCCGCAGAGAAATCTAACTAGGAGATCGAATAACTGCTTTTATGCAGAGTCATCAGTTGAGTCCTCAATCCTCATCCTCAAGTGTGAGTACTTTTGTCTGGAAACGCATTCGCTTTGTGTTCTTTACAACCCCGTTCGTAAGCAGATTCACTCCGGGCTCTGGACATGGCAGCTGATTCCACAGTCGCTTCACGCGCACTACGGCCACGGAATTGAAGTCATATTTCTTTGGTGCTGCAGCTGGTTCAGGTACGGAAGCATTGGGTGGGAGTTTGCGCAACTTGACAACCGGTTGCAGTTGGCGACAGCTGTTGTAGCTACTAACACTGACCCTTTCATCGGCATCCTCGGTGGGCTCCGCATTAGATTCGCATCCATTGTCGGCGAGTGAGCATCCACGTTTTTGTGGTGATGTTCCCTTCGCTTTGGCTGCACGCAAGCTGAAATACAAGGTTATCTTATTATAAGAATTCATTAACGTGTAATTCAATTTTATACCTGGCTTGTTTTTCATACTCATTTAAAGTGGGCGGCGCTGCAGCACATATTTTTCCTGGTTCCTCGGGGTGACAGCCAAGGTCTTGGCCCCTTAGCCAATTTTCATAGCGCTCCGGTTGAAAACGACGCACAAAGGTTTCCATAGATATCTTGACCATGTCGCTGCGGCAACGGCAGATACTGGCGCGCTTCCCGTACTCGATCCAACGCTTCGATGCGAAGTTGGTGGACTCGGCGCCGTTAAAACCATGATTAAACCCAGCATGATAGCCAAAGGGAAATGTGATCATTATCTCGCCTGCCTCTTGCGTAATTTTGTTGTAAGGAATGTTGTGCTGGCGCAGCACCTTCGGGCTTATCATAGTCATCTTGTGGCGTAGGTAGGCATTGCACTCCTGATAGTTCTCGGCAAAGGTTTCATTGGCCAGCTTCTCTAAGCGTCTGCCATACGCCGGCGGAATAGCGTACCAGGTTTTTGGTGCCCCAAAGTGCAGATAGTTGATAGAATACAGATCCATGTCCTCGGTATGCCACGCAAAGGAGCTTTTCCACATGCCAAAGTAGAGGTAGGCCGTGTTGACCCCATCGATGATGATGTTGTAGTCAGTGTTTACCAGATTTAAGATCGTGTCCAGTCGACCGATGTTCCACACGTCTAGTTCCTCATCACTCAGCGATCCCTTGACATCAGCCGCGTATAGCGGCGATATATAGGTAATATTCTTCCAGTACTTGCGCTCCAGATCCTCGTAGTCAAAATGGCGCGGAGTCTGGTGAAGCTCGGAGTTTGCCTTCTCCATGAACTGGCGCAGAGTCATCTGGCGGCGCTGTTGAATGTTGATCTGCTGGTACAGCCCGTGAGCCCTGCTGTCCGAAGGATTGACTTTGCATGAGTGCAAGGGCGTTACTTAAGCGACACTTACCCTGTGACAACTTGACAGATTGGCGCTGGAATGGTCATGTTGATGTTCTCTATGTCGTAGCCGGATTTTCGGGGAACCCATTCTGCTGGTGGCTGTGGACCGGATCGCTGGTTATCAACATTATACTCGCTATTTGATCAACTTACCTGGATTTTGGCCAAGCCGGCTAGGTGCGCTCCACGAGACTCTATGTACTCAATGTAGGCCGAAAAGTTCTTAAACTCCTCGTAACTTGGACGGAAGGTCATGATGCGTGGTACCTTTGTCTGTTCGTCATCGCCGAATGAGGATCTCGTGGACATTTTGCAGAAACAAACATAAAATCAAGCAAGTAAAATTAATTAGAGCTGGAACAAAAATCGACGTGTACTCGATACTATCGATGTAAAGGAGATTCAGAAACATCGATGTTTTCCCTGTGACCATCGACTGTTGCAGCATTTTCAAGTGATTTGAATTAAAGGGGGTTCCCAATCATATTTTCAATGGTTAAGAATTGGTAAATTTCGAAACTGATAGCAGATCGGTTCGATCCTTTTTACAATTTTTATTCCAATCTTCTACGAATACATAGCATATTCATGACAATGAATAATGTCCCCTAATAACAGCGAATTACTTCCCGCTTCAAGAACATTAATTAAAAACCTTCAATAAAAATATTAAAAACTTAACTTTTGGATTTGCATATTACAGAACACTTGGGTAATATTGGGTAATATTTATAGAAACTGTGTGATTATACTGAACATATAATTTCGCGGCAAAGTTAGTATGTATACATTTTTAAAATGTTAAGGAACAAGATGGTTTCCTATTGTTTGTCCAATACTAACAATGTCATAATTTTTCTTGGATTCGAAATGTATAAAAAAAAGAAGATTTTTCTATTAAAGTTGCAGCTATGTAAATTGAAGCTGAATATTATATTATGTGTATTGTGAAGACAATGTGGTAAATCTGAAACCGGAATAATATGGGGTCGAGGGTATCTTCTTAACTATGTTGCAAACTTCTGAATAAAATAATAATATCCTTTGCAAGAGTATAAAAACGAAAAGTTGCCACTTTTTTTGCAAACCTAATCGCACTTACGATAAGATTGTTTTTTCACTTCAATTTTAGTCATATCAGTTTTTGCATTAACGTTATGTGTTTTAATTTAACAACATTATAATTTTTTTGTTAATCATATCTTTTAACTTTTTTGTAAAGTTGTATTCTTATTTTAAAAACCTCACAGCTATTCTAGAAAACAATAATATTTTAACAAATTTTAAAAAATTAATGATTTAATTTTTCTATAACTTTTGTGATTAAATTTGAACCGATTTTAAAAACAACGCTAAGGTGTTTTTAAGCCTTTGTAGAACATCGAATGTAATAGTTTTAAAATGATTGACGACCAAGCTAACATCGTATAAAAAACAGTACCTAATTAAATATGTGTATTTACTGATTACTTCACACACTTTCTTGTTATGTAAAATTTGATTACACGATTCGGTAAGATTTCTTTTGAAACTGTTGCATCGAATATACCGACATATTAATTTTTCCCCAGAATTCACTCTAAATCCGGCCAACAAGCTACTTTAATCTGGAGCCGTAAAACAATTAGACCCGGATAACCAACTACTCCTGCCCGGCACGATTCTGTGAAAAAGTGCACAAAACAAAAGATTACTGTTGAATCATAGGCGGTAAAAGGTTTTCTAATGCAGCCCAGTAACATTCGCGGGCTCTGCTCTCACCGTACTATCATCTTTTTAGTATAAGGTGAAACCGATCGCGATAATGGTTCAACTGTTTATAGGTCCCGATATGTGTGTCAAATCAAAGCTAAGGTGTAATATAATTTGCATTGGATTGGTCGCGACAAGTGCCAAGATCTCTGGTAGGGGTTTATGTGTTTATGATTATTGCCGCGATAATGACGGACGATCTGCGTAGCCTCGCAGGCACTTGAGAACCGGAGGCCTCTGTAATCAGGAAAATGGTTTTTTGTGGTATCAGTATAAAAGCGAAAGGTAAAACAATCGCTCCGCAGTCATCCATCGTTTCCGCGCCTAGTCACTCCGTACGATTTTTTTGGCCCGACGTGTAATAATAAGTATATCAGAAATATATCAGAAATGGGTTTCGACACCTCAGAGGATAAGACAAGACGTAAGTTATGGATCGCAGAACGAGGAATTATCACTTCTTTAAGTTAATGCTCGAGTGGATTTCTTTAAATATTTCAAGGGTTAATATAATGATTAATACAACCATTTAAAAAATGGTTAGCTAAAGTGAATTGGGTTAGGCTAATACAATGTTTTAATTCAACTAAAGTGTAAAGTTTTAAATTAAAATTTTCTTCAAAATGATTACTTAATCATTTTTTTTTTAATTTAAAAGTTTGAACTAGTGTTCCGTGCTATGTATGACAGGACAGCATTATCACACACTTTACGTACATACTCGTATTTTGCCGATAATCTTAACGACCGCCTTCACTTTAAGAGCTTTAGCTCTTATACCATAACTCTCTTTTTGTGTTATAACTGCACTTAGAGACTCTCCAGACCTACCCTAAGAGATAGTTACGTTACAATCCAGACGTCTGGCTATATTTGCAAACCATATCTCGGCCGTATATCAGACATCTGACGCGACTTAACCTTATTAAGATCAACAATAGATAAATGCGCTCGACATTTGGAAAATATTTATTATCTTTTGTTGAGTTTGCTTAACATGAACACTTGTCAGGCAAAAAATTTTGAGGGACCTACATATGTAATCTGAGGATAAATCGAGATCATAGGAGGCAATTAAAAGTATACAGCTCCATGGGCACATGTTGGCCCCCGCACAAGTCTACTCCACTGTCGCCGGCGGGAAGTTTTCCATTGAGAGAGGAACCGCTTTTGTTTTCCTCATTGGCAGACGTTAATGATAATGACAATATTATTATAATAAAACCCAAAGAGCTCTGTCGGGACCGTTAATTAATGGAATCACCACTATCAGAGAATTGTTAAACGCCAATAAAACACAAATTGAGTAAAAAAAAGGTCCTAGAAATAATCGTGTGGCTGACAAACAAATCGCACCGTCCATTTATAATGAGCCAATCAATAAATCGCTGGCCAGACGCCCGTTAAATCGGAAAGTGAACAAACATGGTGTATCATGCCAATGGAGAGAGAAGACCCCTGCTGCTCCGCGTAGTTTCAAATCCCCTCAGGACTTTATCTTGTATAGAATAAGTTTATTGGTCTTAACACAATTTAATTAATATTATTTATCCTTCTAGCCAGAGGTTTTGGCGCGCGCCATTGGCAGGCCATTCTCCTGTTCGTTGGCATGATGATCAACTACTTTCAGCGGGTCAATATCTCGGCTGGTATTGTTCCCATGACGACACCCACAGCAGGTGCTCCTTTCTACAAATGGGACACGTCGGATAAGTCCATGATCCTCAGCAGCTTTTTTTGGGGCTATGTGGTCTCCCAGGTTCCAGCAGGTCAGCAGCTTATCTTGTGAATTTGATCACATCTAAACCTTTTCGTTTTGTAGGACTTCTGGCTAAACGATTTGGAGCCAAGGTGGTCTTGGGTTCGGCCACGGCCATCGGCGGCATTCTTTGCTTCTTCCATCCCATGGCAGCCAGCAACGGCTGGGAGAGTGTCTGCGTTCTTCGCGTCCTAACCGGTCTGGTCCAAGGAACTGTCTACCCGTGTGTTCACACGCTGCTCGCTAAGTGGGTGCCTCGCACGGAGAGAGGACTTCTCACCACGGGCGTTTATGCGGGGGCACAGTTCGGAACGGCCATTATTCTGGTCACCAGCGGATTTATCTTCGAGTCCAGTATGGGTTGGCCGGGATTGTTCTACATTTCGGGCGGCCTGAGCCTGGCCTGGTCGTTATTATTCTTCTGGCAAGCGGCCAATCAACCCGCCACAGCTCGCAGGATCTGCAAAACCGAAAAGGAGTACATCGAAAGCCTTACGGGCAGCAACAGCTCCAGTCAGGTAAATCCAGATTACAGGTTTTTGCAAAACTTTCCTTATAACAATAACCCCCTCTTCCAGTCCATGCCCGTGCCCTGGTTGTCTATTTTTAAGTCTCCAGCTTTCTATGGTCTGCTGGCAGCCCATTGTGGATTCACCTGGGGCTTCTACACGTTGCTTACAGAGATGCCTACCTACATGAGCAGTGTGCTGCAGCTGAATGTCAAGTCCAACGCTTTCCTCTCCTCGCTGCCGTACTTTGCCATGGGCTTGCTCTGTTTTGTGGTCAGTCCCATATCCGACTTGCTCATCAACCGGGGCACCATGTCGACTACGACGGCCCGAAAGCTCTTCAACTCAATTGGACAGTGGGGACCAATGGCATGTTTAATCGGACTGGGATACATGACCGCCGACGAAAAGACGTGGGCCATTCTCCTACTGACGCTGGCGGTGGGCATCAATGCGGGCTGCTCCTGCGGCTATCTGATCAATCATATCGATCTTTCGCCCAATTTCGCCGGTCCCATGATGGGAGTGACCAATGGAATCGCTGGAATTACATCCATATTGGCTCCTTTGGTCGTGGGAGCGATTATATCGAATGAAATGGACCCCAGCCAGTGGCGGGTGGTGTTTTTCATAACAGGAGGAATTTACCTAGTCTGCAACACCCTCTTCGTGATATTCGGCAGGGCAACAATACAACCGTGGAACGAGACCCCATCCATGTCCAGCACGATGACGCTACGCAACCATTTGGAGAACGATTCTAGTTCCATTGCTCCTACTTCGGACAAAGACAATCGGTTTTGAAGCCATTGGCATGCACCTGTTTCCCATTGACAATCTCTTTAAATTTAGTAATTATAAGTTATCGTTATATTTGACTTTCTTTTGTGCCAGCGATATTTGGATATGCCTAGCTCTAACTAAAGATATTGGTTTATGTTTACGCTTATGCTAAGGGAAGCTTTATATGACTTAGTTGTGTGATCAGCGGAAATTAGACTTTACGATGTATGGCACGTTTCTAGTTTAAGTCGTTTTGAGTACCATTAAGTGAGTTGTCTATGCACACAGCATACTAATAAATATTTACAGCCCTGTGTAATCGCCGGAATGTGTTGATTAACCATTGTTGTCTTGGAACCGCACCGACTTCGTCGCCTGTTACTTAACCTTTTGCTGTAGCAGTCGCTGTTCGTTGAGACGCTGGTTGATGCGGCGTGTGTTGGCCATCGAACGGATGATGGTCCATAGGGCCAAGGACCAGCCAAGCAGAATTGTGCCGCATAGCACTGGGCCGTAGGCGTTCGCTTGTCCAACGGGAACCTCCGCTCGCAGCGGCGTCTTAAGCTGGCAGTCCACGTGCACTCGCCTCCAATTGCAGCGCTCTAGATTCGCCATGGTCGTCGGCTGGCCATCCTTGACGATGTTCTCGTCGAAACGGCTTTCCGGCGCATTCAGGCAGTATAGCTTATCGGGCCGGGCGACCAATTCGTTCTCGATGAGCTCACTATCAGCCAGCGGGCAGTTGAGATAGAGCTCCGGCAAAGGTATGGCCACAGTCGCAGCGGATCTATGGGGTTTACTTGGTTACTATAGCGTACAACTAAAATTCAACATTCAAGATCACCGCACCGCTTATCACTGGGAGCATGGTAGCGAAAATGCACGGGCAAAGACAGCGTCTCCGTAATCTTTGGTGTGCCGCGCAGTAAAACCGAGAAGGGCTGCGCCCGTTCCGTGGCCACTTCAATGTTGACGAACCTCGGGTAGACGGCACTTAACTGGGAATGAAACATGTAAAGCTATGACTTTGTAAACTAATTGACTTGATAACGGACCCTCTTTAGACGTTGCAGGTCGTCCAATTCGTCCGTGCTTATGTAAACGGAAGCGGGGAAGGCTTGGAGCAGGACATATTCGCAGTCTTTTCCCACCAGTGGGTAGTCGAACCGTAGACGGTACGTAAGGGTCCTGTAAGTCATATTTCTCTTAAGTTCTTAATTTAGGAGTATTGTGCATAAGAAAAACCTGTGCATGCCGGCTTTGTCCATTTCCACTTGAACAATTGGTGGTTCCACTACGTAACATATGCCCACTTCTCCCATTAATCCCAACGACAAGACAAACAATAAACACTTGTTATTTCCGACGAACAACATTTTTAAAAGCTTATTCTACTTTTAAAGTTTTAAAGTAAAAACGTAAATAAAAACATTCGAACAGTGTTGTAACTTAACAATTTATTCAGCGTTGCCACATCGTTTGCACACTACTAAGGCGTTTAAATTTAAAAACACTTATAATTTTCTCTCTTTATACAAGGCCGATCCTTGGCGCGCCAATTTATCCGCCATTTCGTTGCCCTCAATGCCTTTGTGAGCCTCCACATAGTTCTGAATTACAAAAAAAAAATTAACTTAAATAAGGCAAAGTTTATAAATAAAATAACTCACCCATTTCACTGCGATATTATTATTTTGGAGCAGTTCATCCAGTTCTTTAAAGTCTACAACGTTTTTCACTGGTTGATTATTCTTCAGCTTCCAGTCCCTCTTTTTCCAGCCTGCCACCCAAAGAGTGATGGAGTTAATTAGAAACTGTGAGTCAGTGCTGATGCACAATTTCTTAATTCCCAAGTCTAATGCTGTTTTTATGGCATAGATGGCCGCCTGAATTTCGCCCACATTGTTGGTCACGCGTCCTTCCACGGGCTTGGCTGCATTCCTTTAGAGGAAAATATAAATTAGATATACATAGTTTCTAACTTTTTTTCATCCACCTACAGAGGGTGATTTCTGCCAAAAAAGACTCCATAGCCGGCACAGGCTCCTGGTCGCCCATTGCCTATGCAGGAGCCATCTGTGTACACAATCACATAGCCTTCCGCATCAATTTCAAACTGGAAAGCACCCACTTGCTTGAGCCCTGTAGCTTCTAAGACCTGAGAAGCATGTCTTGGAATTTTGTTCCTTGCTATATCAGTAGCCTGGCCTTTCCGCTTGCGATTAGGGATGTCTGCCTGAAAGCGGATATATGTATATTATGTATATGCTTAAAGCTCTTAAACTCGGTTTCTTACCAAACTGCTGCTACTAGATGACCTTGGATCCCCTTCCACTTCGTTCATGGCAGCGTTCTAAGAAAGGACAGTCAAAATAGTAGATTTTAAATACTCTTCTCTGCTTACCAGTTCATCCTCCACCAGTCTTTGATCCTCTTCGGGCCAGACCTCTGTGTACTTGGGCTTCTCGATTCGATCGATTGTGTTTTTCCAACTAAAGGAAGCTTCCTGTTTCTGGCCCAAAGGTACTGCCACTTCCTGCGGAGTATATGATTTGCAGCCACCGACGAACTGTTCCGCCTCCTGCCGCGACTTGAACTTTTTGTATTTGGCGTTTTTGAAGCCCTTAACCTGCTCCTCACACTCTGCCCAGGTACCGTAGACTCCTGTTTTCCGCCCACTAGCTACGGCGTAAAAAGCCATCGTGCAGCGTTGAAGGCCCAAACCAAAATACCGGGGGAGTAGCATATTTCAATGGCGTCGTCTTTCGAAACATATGTTGCTTGGCCTTGCCAGATGGGAAATGTAAACAAACCCAGAGAGTTGCCAGACTTACCAAGTCGCGGTGAAAAATTGTGAAGAGAAAAAGTACACTCGCCGGTTTAAAAGGATATTCTTTTACAACTTTGCCATGTACCAGCCGCCTTTACCACCGTCTCCCATTCAGCCTCCTCCCCCGCCTCCACCACCTCCACCAGAGTCTGAGAACGGCCTGCTTCCACCCGGAATAGGTAGTTCCTCGCACGCCTACCCATCGATTGAAACTCAGGATGGTTCGAACTCTTTGGACTACGCATATCCGGAGACACCAGCACTCCATGCCAACGCTATGCCTAGCTATGACCCCTATCATCAACAGGCATCCTACATATATGATGGCTACGGATACCTGGACCCGGCACAAAAGTATTATGGCCCTGACCAATCTTACCAGTATCAGACATCAGGCCCATCATCATATCCGTATGATAACTACAAACAACCAGAACGCTATCCCGCGTATCCATCCAGCTACCGTCCACCTTCCGAAAGGGAGAGGTACCACTCCTATGGTTCTGGTCAAGGCTATCACCATTATCCCGGTTACAGCTCGGGAAAGCGATACGAGCAACGATATGGACAGAACCAACGGCAGCCTCCAGAGCAACGATACGCTCAGGAACCTCGACATGGTCATGGTCAGTACGCCCACAGGCCGCCGAGGGGATCCTCCCACGGCCCCTATGGATCTTCAACCAGGAGTGAGGATTACCCGGCTCGGAGCTATCGTGAAAGGGAAAGAACCGAGCCGATAGAGAAGCCCAGGCCTAAGCCAAAAGTAGAGACCGAAAGAGATCGTCTCTTACGGCAGTGGTGTTCCAACTACTGCGAGAAACCAGAGGATTACGTGAAGAAGATGAACGCACTCAGCGAGGCGGATGCCCCCGCCGAGTCATGGGTGCGATCCTCGCCAGCTGATCCTTACTACGAGCGCACTAATAATGAGAACGAGGTCAAAGGACGAGTACGGCTGCAAAAGCTTTGCAATCTGTTTGACGAGGAGCTGCTGCAAAGGGCGGATCGGGTGCGTCAAAAGCTTCCTGTCTACGTTCCGCCTCCGAGGAAAGCGCGCAGACGTGTTTGCAAGCACAAGCACAAGTCGGAGGCCTGCTCCTCGTCCTCTTCCTCTGATGAGGACTCCGACGAAGACGCCTTCAAGATCGAGCAGGACTGCTGCATGGAGGAGTTGTCCCGCAAGGTGCAGCACCCGCAACGAGTGCATGCGGATCTTTGGCACAACGACGCTGGCGAGATGAATGACGGACCTCTTTGTCGCTGCTCGGCCAAGTCCCGGCGCATTGGCATCCGACACGGTATCTACCCGGGCGAGACTGGCTACAAGGTGTGCGACCCGAACAGCAACAACGCGGGAAAGTTGTTCCACTACAGGATTAGCATCTCACCGCCCACAAACTTTCTGACCAAGACACCCACCATAATAAAACATGATGAGCATGAGTTCCTGTTCGAGGGCTTCTCTCTACTTTCGCATGTGCGTCTTACCGACCTGCCCGTGTGCAAGGTGATCCGCTTCAACATCGAGTACACCATAGAGTACGAGGAGGAGAAGATGCCAGAGAACTTCACTATCAACGAGCTGGATCTTTTCTGTAAGTAAAACCAAAAAACTAACTAACTATCTAACTCAGTTTATTACCTTAACTTCAGTTAAATACCTCTTCCACGAGCTGCTAGAGTTGGTGGATTTTAATCTGATGCCTAATGTGGCCTCCGGCAGCCCCGAAAAATCCTGTCCAGCTTTCCACTTTCTCCCGCGATTTGTGCGCGATCTACCAGACAATGGAAAGGAAGTTTTAGCCATGGTCGAAGTTCTCCGCTACTTGCTGGATAACTCTGCCCAACTGGTGGAACGACAGCAGCTGCTGCACCTGAACCAAATCAGTCAAACTGAGTGGCAAAACTACGTGGACTTCATCAAAGGAATGCTGGTCACAAAGCCAGGGCACAAGCCGTGTTCGCTACGCGTTGACCAACTCGATAGGAACAACTCCGATCTGCCCGAATGTGTGGATCGCGAAACTGGAGTCTCGCATCCTGCAATTGTGCATTTCGGGATTCGTCCGCCCCAGCTTAGCTACGCCGGAAATCCAGAGTACCAGAAGGCTTGGCGTGAGTACGTCAAGTTCCGGCATTTAATGGCCAACATGTCGAAGCCTTCGTTTAAGGATAAGCGAAAGTTGGAGGAGAAAGAGCAACGCCTGCAGGAAATGCGCACCCAGGGGCGCATGAAGAGGAACATTACGGTGGCGATCAGCTCAGAGGGATTCTACCGAACGGGTATCATGTGCGATGTTGTGCAACATGCTATGCTGGTGCCCGTCCTTACTGGTCACCTCCGTTTCCACAAGTCGCTAGATCTTTTGGAGGAGAGCATTGGATATCGGTTTAAGAATCGCTATCTGTTGCAGTTGGCGCTAACACACCCCTCATACAAGGAGAACTACGGCACGAATCCGGATCACGCCCGCAACTCGCTGACCAACTGCGGCATTCGTCAGCCGGAATACGGGGATCGCAAGATCCACTACATGAACACCCGGAAGCGGGGAATCAACACTTTGGTGAGCATTATGTCCCGCTTCGGCAAGGATCACGAAACCGTCTCGAATATCACACACAACGAGCGTCTGGAGTTCCTCGGCGATGCTGTGGTGGAGTTTCTCAGCTCCATCCATTTGTTTTTCATGTTTCCGGAGCTGGAGGAAGGTGGTTTGGCCACTTACCGGGCAGCCATTGTCCAAAATCAGCACTTGGCCCTGTTGGCCAAGAAGCTCCAACTGGAGGAGTTTATGCTGTACGCCCACGGATCTGATCTGTGCCATGAACTGGAGTTGCGACATGCCATGGCCAACTGTTTTGAAGCTCTCATGGGTGCCCTACTGCTGGATGGAGGCATCAAGGTGGCTGACGAGGTGTTCACAGATGCCCTCTTCCGGCAGGATGAAAAGCTTCTTAGCATCTGGAAGAACCTTCCGGAACATCCGCTACAGGAGCAAGAACCACTAGGCGATCGCAGCTGCATTGAGTCTTATCGCGTGCTTAAGGAGTTGACCAAATTCGAGGACTCTATCGGCATCAAGTTCAAGCATATTCGTCTTTTGGCCCGCGCATTTACTGATCGTTCTATTGGCTTCACCCACTTGACCCTGGGATCCAATCAGCGTCTGGAGTTTCTTGGCGACACTGTGCTGCAGTTGATCTGCTCTGAGTATTTATATCGCCATTTTCCCGAGCACCACGAGGGCCACTTGTCCCTGCTGCGTTCCTCGTTGGTAAATAACCGCACGCAAGCAGTAGTATGCGATGATTTGGGGATGCCCAAATATGCGGTTTACGCGAACCCCAAGGCTGATCTGAAGACCAAGGATCGTGCCGACCTGCTTGAAGCCTTCCTGGGAGCCTTGTACGTGGACAAGGGTCTTTTGTATTGTGAGCAATTCTGCCACGTATGTTTGTTCCCGCGCCTGCAACTTTTTATTATGAACCAGGACTGGAACGATCCAAAGTCTAAACTGCAGCAGTGCTGCCTCACCCTGCGAACAATGGATGGAGGCGAGCCTGACATCCCTTACTACAAAGTTGTGGAAGCTAGTGGTCCGACAAACACACGGGTGTATAAAGTGGCCGTTTACTTCCGTTCAAAGCGACTGGCCACCTCTAGCGGCTCCTCTATCCAGCAGGCAGAAATGAACGCCGCAAAGCAAGCGTTGGAGAACTCAAGGGACTTATTCCCGCAACTGGATCACCAGAAGAGAGTGATTGCCAAGAGCATTAAGAAGCAGACGGGCAACGAGTTGGACAACGAGATTGATCGGCAGCACCAGGAGGAGAAAGTAAAGCGGCCGAAGTACGCAGCTCCTATTCAGGATGAGAGCCATCTGCCCAAACAATATCGCATGCACGAGAATATTTCCAGCGACGAATTGCCAGAAGACGATGAGTTCGAAGGCTCTGCTCCCAAAAGCCCAACTAGTATGTATACACATGGAGATATCGGTTCATATTTTAATATTTTTTTATTTAGTGGGTCTTAAATCCAGGAGTGGCAACAGCAGCAGCAGCAGCGACAGCGATGATTCCAGCTCATCTCCCAAACGCAAGCGTCGCGTGAGAAATAATAGCTCGGTATCTTCGCCAACTTGCTAGGAATAATTGCATTTAAAGTTTACCAAAGGTATACCAAAAGCTTTAGGGAGAAAAATGAAAATATTTAGTAACGGTATGGCTCTAAAAGTTATGATGATTTAGACAATTCTGAGCATATCTGCCTACTTATTTTAACCGTAGTTATATACCCTTGCAGTTAAAACTATTAGGTGTTTGTTTTTGTTAGTCCCATTCTAATAATGTCGGTAATAAGTCATATATAGTTCTCCTAGAGGTATGGCGAATTTCCCATACATCCTTTCTTTTTTTTTATTTGACTCTAAAAGGAATCATCCCTGTATGATAAAAAAAAAACAGCCATATAATTTGTATTAGATTTTGTATCTTTCCTATGGAAGCAAAAAATAGTCTTCTGATCCGACATATATACTACAATAACTTAACAACTTTCGAAAGTTTCAGCAAAATACCTTAAAACCAAGAATCTAGTTTGCATAGGTATAGAAAGGCAGGCAGACGTACATGTCTAGATCGACTCTGATGGTGATGCTAATCAAGTATATATATTCTTTATGGGGTTGTAAACTTAAATTACAAAACCCTCTGAAATGGTATAAAAATACAAAAACGAAAGAGTTAAAATTAAGTTTTTTCAAAGCCCAATAATTAAAGTACCATACGATAAAATAAATGAGAACTAAGAAGATGTGCTTGAACGATGCAATTGTACAGATAAGCTTGCGCCTTCTAAAAAGTCAAATTTGGTAGTCTTGTTATCAAAAAATTTTAATTCCTAGCATTGCTGCCAAAAAATGTTACATTTCTTTAATTTATATTGTACCCCAGAAAATTTGCAAACATTTAACCATTGCAATCTAAAAACGTATTGCGAAATTTGGGTAAAGGAAATTCAAAAGATAACTATGTCCCTTAAAACTCTTTTTATGCAAGCACTCCTAAAAGCAACCAAAAGAAACGCCAAGTAAAATAGCCAAATCAAATTTTGGTAAATTTTTAAGCCAATTTAAACTTAACACGATTGCCTTCGTACAAAATTGTGAATACGAGTCCAACAAAGCTAAAGGGTCTTTTGGATCGTGGTGGTCTCACATCCAGCGCTATTTAAACAGGGAAAGTCGACGACCCAAACCGCTGCGTCCCGACCCACTGACAGCGTTGGTGATGTGGCTCATCTCTGGGAGATTGTGAATATCACCACGGGCCGCCACCGAGGGCGGAGAACTCAAAACCCGCTGCGCAACGCGCTGAATGTCGGCGGCAGTCACACTCTCTAAAATAATAAAAGGTATCAGATCATGTTAAAATGGGTAAATATCGGTAGTCTCACCAATTTCCTTGATAAAATGCTGAGGTCGTTTGCGGTGCCCCGTCACCAGCACTTGGCGGCCCACATCTTCGAATACAACAGGTCGCGACTCCAAGTTCATCAGCAGCATGGACTGCAGCTGAATCTTTGAGCGCATCAGCTCCTCCCGACCCGGCTCAGCGGCCATACCCATCATCTCACGGGTCAGCACCTCGACCATATCGTTCATGTGCTGTGGCGGTGCGCTGCCGTGGATGCAGAACAGCCCAGTGTCAGCGTAGGCATGGTTGTAGGCCGTGGCGCTATACATCCAATGGTAGCGATTTAGCACTTTCGTATACAAACGCGAGTACATGCCCTTGCCAGGACCGCCGGCAGAGAAGGAGCCACCGCCACCCATCATTATGTTCAGGACGCAAAGTGGTACGAAGTCCTTATCCTGATGGGAGCAGCCCTCAAAACCAAGGACAACATGTGCCAGCTCAGGAAGACCAGCGGCAGCATAAATGGGGATTTCGCATTGTTCCTAAGTATAATCGATGGATTAAATATATTTACTTAACGGTTTTAGGTACCCACCTTAACTAAGCCACCGGTGTATTGAGCAATAGATGTGTCAACTTGCTTGGGTCCCAAATCATCCAGGGCTTCTGTTTCCCAGATGGCTTTGTCTTCCACAAAGTACTGTTTAACATGGCTCACCAACTCATCATGATCCACCTAAAATGTCATCCCATTAGCCTAGTTTCAATTTACATGTTTTTCTATGGACTTACTCCCACACCAGCGATGACCATGCGCTTGGGAGAGTGGTGGTACTTGAGGTAATTCATCAGCACCTTCCGATCGATGTGGTCAAGGTTCTCCAGTGGACAAAGCTTGGGCAGGCCCAAGGTGTTGTCTCTGTAGGCCGCCGAGTGGATCATATCCATTAAAATGGGCTCCTGCTCCGGCCGCATGCCCAGCGTTTCCAGTTCAAAGTTGACGGCTCGCCTGGCCAGATTCACTTCCTGATCGCTGAGCGTTGGCCGCAGGGTAACGTCCGCCAGCAGACGCGTCACTGAATCGATGGCACGGCTGTCGATGCTGGCGGCATAGATGAGTGTGTCGCGAGAGCTCTGGCAGTCGCAGATGCCGCCGTTCTTCTCCAGCTCCTTAAGTATTGCGTCCTTGTTGGGAAAGTTTACTGTGGACTTTAAAAAAAAAAGTGAATTTAGCCGAGATCTAACTTAACGAAAACTTAACTTACATTGAAGGCCAACTTTTCAAGAAAATGCGAGACTCCGCTTGGGTAGGCCACCTCGTATCGTGGTCCAGAGTCAATAACCAGGCCAACTGTGCAGAACTGTCCGTAGCGCGGCTCCGAGGCAACCCTTAGACCGTTGGGCAAGGTCGTCACTTTGGTAACGGCACTCTCCGCCAGTGGAGCAGCGTAGACAGCCTCTGGCAGATTGGGCAGGGGCTCAGTGAGGGGCGGCAAGTGGGTGACAATCTCCTTGGACGGCGTGTTCACCTTCTGCGGACCGTCGCTTGTTCGCACGCCGCCGGTGATCTGGCCGATTCCGGTTCCACTGCCCACTTCATCGCCGCCCACCGTGGTCACCTTGGTGGCCAAACGTCGTGGAAACCTGAGTTTCGTTGTGAGGAGAATCATTAATTTTCGCCGGCTCCATAACCAACCCACCTTTCACCACCCCTCGAGGTTCTTACGTGCGCCAAGAGTGTCTGATCATTTTCAGCATGCCGATGCTGCGCGCGCTCATCATGTGCTGGTGATTTGGCTTTGGTAACGGTATTTACAAATTTCTTTGATTTATATTTGAATTTGATTCAGAAACATATTTTTTACTTTTTAAACGAGTAAATTTCGAAGAAAAAAGAAATGTTGATTTCTTCTTCTTCTGCTTTTGACTTAACTTTCAGTCGCACAGAAATCCAGGGCTGCATGCGAGCCAGAGTTGCCAGCCCGCCTACGGTTTAATTTTCCGTTATAATAATAAATCGTTTTGTTTAGGCTCTCGAGCGCATTTTATTTTTTTAGTAGTACAGGACTGGTAGCAGAACTAGTCAAAATTAAAACGTCTCTTCCCATCGAAGCGATAGCCGTAGGCTGCTGCATTTTTGGTATCCACCAACGCTGGATTGCGATGTTTGAAGAAACTTCCGTGTCCGTGAGCAGGACGCGACGCGCTGTTTGGGATTCCCTCGACTTCCCGGGGATAAAAGGCTTCGAACATCCCCTCCGGCGGCAGACAGCACTCTGCAATCTTTGGATCGTTGGGATCATAACCGAAAACAGTTCCTGGATTCAAAAGTGCGGCCAAAATGACCACAAATAATGCCTTGAGCAGTTTCGTACGTACGCCCATTATCTTACAATTACACAACACGCCCGCAAGGTGACTTTTACTTTTTGGTCGCGGAACCCGTCTGTGTCCAGCTCTGCGGGCTTGTGGCTTTTGTGAACTGTAGACTTTTTGACCGAGACGATGGCTAATATACACGCCTGGTATATTCATTGTTTGAATCAAGAAATGGCAGAATCAGCTGCTGAAACTCGCTAAAACTCTGGCAACACTAATCGAAAAAAGCCCGGCATCTCGGTTTCCATTCCTCCAGTTTGAGATAATAGATACACCAAAGATTTTTCACTTTATTCGCTGTCTGTGCACTTTGAATTATTACTTTTTTTTTAGTTTTCCCTAAGACGACTTCCAATTTATTTAATATGGATTCACCTAAAAAGGAAACTGGTTTCCTAGATAAAATTGTAATGTACAGTAAGTGGTTAAGAATATCATTATTCAAATGTCAATAAAAACAAAAGAGACTGTTGTTCCTCGACTATCAGATACCCAATTTTTGCTGCATGTGCAATTCCATTATTAAAGCTCTTATAGTTTTCAGAATCTCGACGTGAATATATATTTCGGCATTAAAGCAGGAGTAACAAATTTTTTAGAACGCAGTTGCTGCGTATCTATGGTCAAAATAAAAGCTTGCGATAGAATTTTGGGGTTTGTGGGCGTGTAAAAAAAATAAACTTTCGAAGCCAAAACAATAATCATACAGTTTTAATCATTGTGTCCTGCCTCATACAGTTTCCAAGATCTCGGCGGTGAAATAAGCGGACATACGGATGTACGGGGATGGATTTACTCTAGATCAGATTTGCTCAACAAATATAGTATTCTCTTGGCGGTTCCTACTGTTATTTATTTGACACCGACTTATGTACTGCTTAAAATGTCGGAACCTTTTGTCTTAAAAACTGAAAAATAGTATTCTTAAGTAAATTAATAAAAAAATGTCAAGATCTCTGCACCTAATCACTAAAAATTACTAATTTAGTGAATTCGGAATTGAAGGCTTTTGTGCATGCTGCGAATACTAAATAATTGGAACTTGAACCTGGCTCAGCAATTTAAAGAGAGTTATTAATACCGTTCGAAGTGAGCAATCTGTGGAACTTTATAATAACAATGATCGTTGTAGCGTTTTGCTGCAGTTCACTAAATCCCAGAAAGACCAATTTTACAGTTAAATTAATGACTTAAATTATGCTTTAAAATAAGTGATAAAATACATTCGAAGTCATTCATTTCGTAGCACCATGAGACATTGAAATATTAAAAAAAAAAAAAACACAATTTCGGCCACTACAGTAGCGTGAAAAAAGTATCCAAGTACAATTTCTAAGGATATATGTTATGTACATACTCGGATACTTAAAAAAAAAAAAAAAAAAAAAATAAGAAAACTTGTACTCCCTGGACTTTCTTTTTACTTTTTAGAGGGGTTATATTCAAAAATTGCAAACATATTTATCTACATATTTCTGCCCGCCTTGTACGTACTTATTGAGTTAATTGTATTACTGATAACGGAAATTTAAAAGCGTTTACTCGCTTAACTTATAAACTCAGTATAACTTCTACAAAGGGTACATAAATCTACAAGTAAGATATTATTTTTGTAGATTGTAAAAACAACGGAAACGTCGCAATAACATTTTCTAAGTACCAACATAGAAATAAAGGGGTTTTAGTAATATGGATAAAATGTTATCAAAATTTGTTTACTACATAGTATAGCGACTTTCAAGGGACCGACGATTTTACGTCGTTATACCCGGAAGACGCACTAACCAAGGGGGACAAAAAAAAATTTTTTCTGCGAAATATCCGTTTGAATTGTGAAAAATTTCGTTCGTATAAGCGGTTTTTCGCTGAAAGCGAGCTTTGGCGAGCCGAAGCTTATATACCCTTGCAGTCATCAAATATGTATTTCGAACCAAATACTTAGAGGCTAAACAACATCGAAGCTACATATATCGATTTTTCTATGAAGTTTCTATATTTTTGACGATTGTTCACAGCTGTCTTGTGTGATCCGATTTTAATGAAAATTAATTCGAATTTCAAAAGTCATTAAAAAACTCTATTTTTAAAAAAATTAGTTTTTTGATAAAAAAAACAACGATATTATCATTTTAATACTTGATACATACTTAAAAAATCACGATCGTGTGATAAAAAACAACGACGGTAACAACTAATTTCCATTAATTCTATATATATTTTTTGATCTTTCCTATGGCAGCTACATATATGATATAATTGTCAGATTTTATAAACAATTTTCATAATTCAAGGCAAGCTAAAAATCTTGATACTCTAAAATTCAGATACGTGTGATAAAAAACAACGACTTTTCAGTTTATTTCCATAAATTCGATATACATTTTTCAATCTTTCCTATGGCAGCTATATGATATAGTTATACGATTTTGATAAAATTTAATTCGATATTCAATAGTAGTTAGAGAACACCATCTGGAAGAAATCAAGTCGATCTGAATAAAAACAACGGCGTGATAATTTTTTGTACCGTTATTTTTTTGATCTCTCGTATGGAAGCTATCCGATAAAGTCGCCCGATCCGGTCCGTTCCGACTTACATATTAATAGAATAGTTGAAAAACTGAAATCGTTTTGGCTACGTTGGTTTTTAGCCGTAAACAATATAAATATTCATATTACATTAAATTTCTGGCACAAAGTACATACTCACATTCTTTGTTTCTTTAAAATAATTTTTTTATGTTTTAGTATGGCTCATGTTTGCTCCAAAGCCCAAAATAAATGAGCGTTACCCACCGATTCGATTGCCAGAACCTCCTTCGATTAACAAATTGACGGCTGAAGATACAGCTTCAACACCTGAGGAACATTTGTTGGAAAGTGGAACAATAACCCATGTCATGGTTGTAAAAATTAGTGTCTTCGATGATCAAAGTATTCGTAAGGGCTTTGTTCGGAAGGTTTTCGGAATTCTATTGGTAAGTAGATATATTTTAAAAAGGTGGGCTTTTGATCACTTTTGTTCTGCAGGTCCAACTTCTGTTTACACTCGCTGTGATGGCTATGTTCGTTTACCACGAGCCCACAAAGCTGTTTGTGCAGTCGAATCTGGTTATCGTGTTTCTGGCCATGATCGTTAATTTGGTCGTCTTAATAATGATCGTCTGTGTCGAGAGCGTTAGACGCAGGCATCCCCTTAATCTGATTTGCCTGGCCATCTTCACCTTCACCATGTCCATGCTCCTTGGAACCACTTCGAGCTTTATGGACTCCGATCTAGTGCTCTTGGCAGTCGGAATTACAGCTGTGCTTGTCGTCGCACTTTGCTTGTACGCCATTCAAACCAAATACGATTTCACCGCTTGTGGCGGTGTAATGATCACATTAGTAATGATCCTCTTTGTCCTGGCTATTTGTCGTTTTTTTATACCCGAATTTACCGACAGCTTGCCAATTGCTTGTCTGTGTGCCATATTGGCTTGCTTTTTCCTGATCTACGACATGCAGTTGATAATCGGCGGAAATCGCGCGGAGCAACTGGATCCCGAGGAATATGTGTTCGCAGCATTGACTCTTTACGTGGATGTAATGCGTTTACTTCTTTACATCCTTCGGATCCTACAGAGAGTTATATAATGTGTTAATTAACTTTAAACCTGCCTTGGCTTTACAAAACAAAAAGAATGTGAAAACTTGCCATTTACAATCAAAATGCTTGCTATAACTGATATTTAATATCAGAGTTTGTTTCTTGCCAATTCCAGGTCAGAGAAATGCATTGTTTGGTATTGGTAATTAAGAATTTTATTAACTTACTCTTTTGGCTCATATTGTTCTAGGATAGTTACATTTTATTAATATTTATATACTGTATACGTTTGTCTATGCGTGAGTAACTATAAAATACAATCACAAAATGTATGCCATTTGATGTTCTTATGTATTTACAGTTGGGGCAGTTAACTAAACAGGGGATTTACAGTTATCGATCTCTCGGCAAAAAGATGGAAACAGTCACACAGATATTCACTTCGATTTTTTTAAATAAGTAACTAGGGCTTGACTGAGTTTCTATAATTATTGATAAGCTGCACATCCTATTGCTACGCTAAATTACTGTGCTCTGATCTCTTCATTTCTGGTCTTGTCTTGGACACCAAATCGTCTGTTGATCTCTGCTTAACTGGGAATCGCCTGCGCGGAAGCTAATTTGTATTAAGGTCTCTTGTTTAGTTCGTAGTTCCTAATAATCTTGTTTTGTTCCGCCGGCTCCTGAGTGTGTCTGCGTATGTGTGTGTGTGTCGGTAGAAAAGTTTTATCAAATGCTTTGGCCACGCTCCCTTCCACTTTTCATCCCAGATAGCCTTGCTCAGTCGTCCGTGAACGGGTGGTCGGAAGTTTCGCTGCTGTTGCGCCGCCGGCTTTCTAGTATTCGGGTCGCCTGCTCCAGCGTCTCTTTGTAGAACATGTTGCGCGGGCTGTCGCTGGGCAGCGAGTACTTCGAGTTGTCCATTTGCGAGGTGAGTCCGAGGACGATGTTAAACGCAGACGCATCGTAGCCGTGGCATCCGGAGTATCGGTACGATGGCTTCTTGTTGAACTTGCACCCGTTCGATTGGGCACCTGCACAGAAGGAAGTTAAGTATTATTTATTTATTTCGTTAGGTATTCACATATTATAAGTTAAGGTTTCTTATTTTAATAAAATTGTATTTAAAAAGGTTTTACAGATTACAAAAAAAAAAAAAAAAATTTAATCTCCTTTTTTTTTTTGCAAGTATCTTCTAAATCCATAAACACAATTATCAAGACGGCCTTATATAGTTTTGGCCGTGATGATGTGATAATGACTGATCAGGACTAATCCTAATTCAAACAAATTTTTAATTTCTTATTGATTTCTTATTTATTTCCTAAACAAAAATCATGTACTATTTGAGCTTAAATTAGCAAATCGATATTTAGTTTTCTGTTTTTGCTTTTTTTTTGTGAAGTGTTTATGAAAATAAGTTAAGTATACCAAATTAGATAAACGATTAACTGGAAAACCGTGCTTATCATTTACAAAAGTATAATTGGGTAGTTGGCAGCAGTGTCACTTCAGTCGGGTGATGAAATGGACACAATAGTGATGGTGGAAAAATCAGACGTGCCAGGCGTTGCTATACAATGTGAACTGCTCTCGCCCAAAGGACATTCGCGAGTAACTTATGAATTCGATATAGCAGATATTGGCCTCCGACGTCGCTTGGTACACCGACTTTACGGAATACTAATGGTAGGTCATTCGAAATTTATCCACAAATTAAACCCTTATTTCAAACATTGCCGACTGTAGCTACAGGTGGCCTGTACCTTGCCTTGTCTAGAGGTGCTGCTGAAATATCCCTTGCCTTTTAACTATTCAATGTGGATATCGATAGTGATAACCACATCGATTTATTCATGCCTTTACGTTTGGCGAGACTGGAGAAGATTCGCCCCCTATAACTACCTTGTTCTGCTGCTCAGTACACTCATCGGATCGTTCAATAGGAGTATATATCTACTTAGTTTGGTGCAAACACATTGGGTGAGTCAAGCCTTTAATTTAGTTATTATTCATTTGATTTGATTCACAAGAAATTGTGATTCACCTTCGAGCACATAGAAAATGATTTGCCCAAGGATATAGTACACTTATTGACGACTCCTATTGCAGGTTTATGGCTATCCCATCATTCTTGTGGTGGAGATCTTGGGGCTGACACTATTCTCCACCCAGAAGCGTTTTCGATTCACCCAGTTCCGGGGGATTGGCATAATCTGCCTAGTTTTCGGGATGTTCATTTGGCTGGCGTACCACCTGGACCGGATGGTAGAGGTCTTCTCCGGAATGGCCTGCACGGTGGAGGCGTGGTACATCATCTACGACACCCACTACATGCTGTGCGGGCGACATGGCTACAATGTTGGACCCGAAGAGTGCGTCTTTGCCGCCTGCAACATCCACTGCGATCTGCCCAGGGGCGTTTGGCGACTTATGAAGATGCTCTTCTTCAGCAAGATAGTGGAGGCCATTCGCATGTTTCGAGAATGCTTCAGGACTGAGGTGTGTTAGGACTGTCCTGTATCCAGTTGGCTTGGAAATTACGTATTTTTCGGTTGAATTCGGTTTTCAAAATTGTGTAATAAACCCATTATCAAAACATGCCAACATTTTTGGAAGCCATGTCGAGGTCTAAGCTTCATCCCACGTTTGTTGTCAAGCCAAAGATGTTTCTGAAGCAGGCTTGTACGTATTTCAGCACAGGTAAGAAGAGCATCAGGGAAAGGGGGCCTGAAAACGTTCCCAGGGTCAATTTGGAGAAATTCAAGAAACCCCTCAACGAGCAAATGAATAAACTTCCGGATTACCTATTCTCATCTAAAATTTCAAGGGGTAGTGAAAGCATTCCGATTTTAAGCAGTCGCGTAAAAACATACCATGCGGAACCGGAAGAGCCAAATTGGAGGCTATTCAAAGATCACTTAAGGGAACTAAACCAAATGTATCGGCCAGATAAGCAGAATTTGAGGACCATTAAATCCCTACCCACCTTGCCGCGAATTAGAGGAAAACATTTAGTTGATTCGCAGAAAATTTTTCGCAGAAAACTTGTTAAAAAGAATCAAAACCTTCCTTCAAAGAACAATAATACCTTTAGCGTGGAAAGGCATGGAGTCCTGGCAAGCCATGGAGTCCTGTCAAGCCATAGAAGAAAAAGGATACCCAAAAGAAAGGGAAATCCACACAAGCCTACAACAAAGCCATCGGGATTAAAACTTTCAGACGAACTTGATCGTCTGCTCAAAAGATTCTTGTTCACTAAAATTCAAGCAAAGAGGCTAAAGAAGCCCAAGCAATCTCATCTCAAGCCGAAGAAAACAGTTAAGAAGGGTATTATTAACACAACACAACCCAAAATTTTAAAAAAACCATTGCCCAACCAAAAGTTACCAGAAAAGGTGTTAAAAAAAAAACTCGTAAACCTCTGGCCAAATTTAGTCGAGTTGGGTGAGTTAGAGGCTCCAAAAAACCCCGAAAAACTTACCATTAATATGCGACGCAAAATTCTAAAAAAATTAAACCGAACCGCAATCCGATTGCCATCCGAAGTGAAAAATGTTCTGAAGCGCAGGATTAAGGGGACATTCAAAAAGCGAAAGAGTCCTCCTAAGAAATCGACTAAGGAGCTTAACGAACCTGAAGAAGAAAAACGAGTGGAAGAAGCGGATTCCCAGGACAAAGAATCGCCTTTTAAGTTGGGTAAGCAACTGAAAGTCCACGACTATGGGTTTAAGAAACTAAAGGGTCTGTCTCCGGGGAGAGAAGCTGCCGTAAATGGAGATACGCCAACAGATAGTATAATACAGGAATCCGAAGCGATTTCCAACCGAAAAGTCTTTCGCAGTTTAGACTTGGGCCATCGGAGTGCGACTAGGCAAACAGCAACTAGCATGTTCCTTAACCTCGACAAAGGCGATGAGAGAAACATATCTTCTAGGTTCGATCTTCTTGACCAATTGTCCCGACTTGAAAGCTCCAAGAATACAGAAGGTGAAAACTTTGAGTACTTAGAGGATACTGGGTCACCATTGGATTACGACATATCGGAGGAATTAAGTAAAGCACCTTCGCCTACTAGAAGAACAAGGCAAACGATGCAAAATAACTCCCCCTCGAAGCCAGACGTTGACCCGGTGCCCTTTGACTTCTTTGCCTTTGGCGATTTTGAACCTATAAAGTTTGAAGACCCTGTACCTGTAGATCAAAAGAAACCCCGTCCATTGAAACGTTTGAAGAAGAAAAAATCGAAGAAACTTAAAAAAACAGCAGTACCCCAGGCTGATGCAGGAACCCAGACCATTTGCCAATGTGAAATTTGTCGTTTCCTGCAGAAATATAAGACGGACAAAATTCCACCTCTGGTTACGGAAATGAAAATCAAGCAAAAATTCTTTGAACAAAGACAATTCTATATGGATAATGTGAGGCATAGAAAATTTAAAGTCTCAGATGATGCCGGGCAAAAGCTAAGCAGAAAGGGCTCAGAATCACTGCACAGAAGCCCGTTCATTAGCATATCTAATCATGAAGAAAGAAATAATTATTTGCAGTGTCCCGAGAGCCTTTTCGCGACTTATCAAGACTTCATAAATCCCAACGGACTTAAAAAACAAAAACCGCAAGCATGCGACGATTACAAGGCACCCAATGTGTCCGGAATGTTTTCTCGATGTTATCAGACCCTTTTCGAAGCCGAACAGCGAACAAACGGAATGTTCTCAAACCTTTTTTATCCCAAAAATAATATTTGCCACGGATTTTGCTTGCATTGCCAACCAATAGCTCATCCGAATAAGCTGCCAATTAACTTTAGGATATAAAAAGACACTTAAGTAAGTTTTTTGCTTACTAGCTCTTAATTGGTTTTTGGAAAATAATAGAGGAATTCTAAGTTTTTCACTGTTTAGTGCATCCCCATACAAATGAAACCAACTTGAAAATTCGTTTAATATAGTTGGTTATTTTGGTTGACAATAAATTCTGTGTTCATTTTAGAACATTCATGAAAAGGAACACAGAGTTTATTGACTACTAAAAATCATTATGTTTGTATGGGGTACTGGAAACACTGACAAAAAGTGAATATTGTTAACTATTTCGCTTAGGAAATTCCCGTCACACATAAATGAATTGTTCAAACAAAAAGGCACCGTCACGTTTGCCATCAATCCCAATTCAGCTGGTAATTACATAAATTTCCCTGATGTGAGTGCCATCAACGGAATGCCGTGCAAATGACGGTCATTAGTTCGCCAGTCCAGCCCCAAAGGATGGATAGATTGGTGCGGTGGCACGAATGTTGATTTGATTGATTTATATTGGGGTCGGAGAACGGGACTCACTCCTAATGATAGTTTACCATATCGTAAGCCCACCCAACTGCCGACTCACCGATTGGATCGATGCACTCGAGGGTGAGACAGCACTTCAGCCAGGGCAGCATGATCTTCTCGGTGACCAGTGGACTGTCCGAGAAGAAGACCGCATCCAGGTCGACCATGCGCAGGAAGTTGAACTCGTCGGACTTCGACTCGAAGTAGTCGAACATTTTGGGATGCGTCAGCGAGGACACCGCCGTTGGAGTGTTCCAGCCAAGGACCCCTGCGGATCTGACTCCCGCCGTCTTCGCGCCCAGGTTCATCACGCTGCTCTGCAGATAGTGCAGTTGGGCGGAGCCACCGCGCACCCGCATGCAGTTCTCGAGGAAGAGGACCGACCGGGCGCGCATCAGGCCGTCCTTGATTACGATGGGCCGGTAGGCGTGCGTCCGCTGATCGCTGACGAAGGACGGGAACTCCGACAGGTCATAGGTGATCACCGAGCACCGGCTGTTGTTGCAGTAGGCCCCCAAGTCGCGCAGCTGCTCCTCGGAGACGCCCAGGTCGTAGATGAGCAGATACTCGCTGGGCAGCTTCGCAGCAATGTTTTGGGCCAGCAGGATGGCCGACGCAGCCTGTCCCTCCAGCACGTACGTGACGATGGTGAAGTTGCTCTTTGTGCCGTTGTACGGCGTGGTGATCCGCTTGCGCTGTCCCCGCTGGCCATCCCGATCAGCCGACTGGCCACCGAAGGTGACAGCATCCTGTGGTCGCCGCAGTCCTCGCAGTTCGCTGAGCTCCAGTTCAGCTTTTGCGTCTGGTGACGAATCCGTCTTTGGCAGGTGATTGCCCGAGGCTCCGATGGCCGTCCCCTCCTGCTTCTCCAACGGCTGCTCCTGGGGTGAGGCATCCTTCGACGAGGTGAAGCCCAGCAGTACCAAGTACTTGGGGTCTATTTCAAGCTTTTTGCGTTCCAAGCCAACACGGAGGTTCTCCTGCAAGAAGTAAAACAGGCCACATTAACTAAAAGCAAATGGTTTCAAAAGACTAAGTAAACAATTTAAGTAATACCAGACGGCCTAAATAGTTGAGTAAACACGTCTACAATCCCCCAGTGCACAAAAGCCACACGGAATTCGCCTCGTCATGGGAGCAGTTTCGAGGCGACACATATTAGTTGGTTGACCGGAGCCCACATGTGAGAAATCTTAACCGGGCCCCGAGAACTCTCCCTCCCTTCCGGCTGAACCAGTCCAAAACAAATACGCCTACCAAAAGCCAAACGCCGTCGCAGAATGGAACCTTCTCGTGCCGTTGTCAAATTTCTGTCTATTATTTGTTTGACTGTGGCCAAAGGCGAGCGTGCCGCATGCTCTGGCTCCTGGCGCTGCCCCTCCTCCTGCCAGCCGAAAACTGGTGTCAGGTGTGCCCCGCACTGCGGACAGGTGAAGGGGGGGGATCGGGGGAACGGGGAGAGCACTGAAATTAACCTGCGGCAAAAGGCGGCCGCCAAAGGCGCAGGCCAAGCGTCGCCAAACCCAAATCGCATGACAACCTTGCCCCGCCGATGGCTACAACTACTACAATGTAACAGTGCACTTAAAACAAAATGTTTTGGATCAAATTCAAAAATCAGAAATATATGTTTGGAAATGTAATATTAAAATTGATAATCATAATTAATTTTCTTTTGTAATTAACAAAGTAATAAAGCTATGAATTCTAGAGTGGGTTTTATTTATGTTTTTGAATGCATAGTATATAAAATCAGAAATATATGTTTGGAAATGTAATATTAAAATTGATAATCATATTTAATTTTCTTTTGTAATTAACAAAGTAATAAAGCTATGAATTCTAGAGTGGGTTTTATTTATGTTTTTGAATGCATAGTATATATGCTTAAACATACTCTAGTTCAAATAAAAACTAATAATGTTGTTCATTTCAAAAACATTTCGCACCGTTCAATGTTCTGCATAAATAAGTTTTACAAATTCCCAAAATGTGTAAACCCATATAGATAACTATATGCAAATGTTTAAATAATGACAGTTTTGTCTTTGAGTGTGGCAATGGGAAGAGGACTGTGATTGTGCATATTTTTCTCACCGAAACTTTCCCGACAGACACCCTCGCCCCGTCGCTTTGTTAACACACTACGCCAGAAGCCAGCAGATGGCTGTTGGCTATGGATACCGCCGAAGTCGAGTCGCAATCGGAGGCGATCAGCTTCAGGGGCCAAGGACCCAAGGACATTCAAATCAATCAACTCTGGTCGTGCGGCACTGCGCTTACATGGGGAGCATATTGATTTTGTGCCAATCGGTTTTGTGCACTCACTCTGCAGCGAAATGAAGCCACTGGGGGATGGATGTTCACTTTTCCATTTTGTATTTTCCGCCACTTTTCACTTGGGGTAGGAATCGATTTCAATGTCAGGGAGCCGTGGGAAGTTTTGAGGGGGTAATAAATTTCAGTTGACACCTCCAAACACATACATAATAATCCACAAGAAAAATAAAAAAATAACTCCTCACAAATACAACACAAAACTTAGAAGAACTGAGATGGAAGATCTGTCGTTTGATGAGCAAAGTCTGATCTACGGAGCCTTCCGCATCCTGGACAAGGAGAGCGAAGGAGCCATCACATCCAAGGAGTTGGCGGTGGTGATTCGCTCGCTGGGTCGCCAGCCCAACGACACCGAGGTCCAGGCTATGATCAACGAAGTGGACTCGGACGGAAACGGCACCATCGACGCTGAGAAATTCAGCACCGTGATCGTGCGCAAGCTGAAGGACACGGGCCACGAAGACGAACTCCGCGAATCCTTTCGCGTTTTCGACAAGGAGAACAACGGATATATAAGTATCACCGAACTAAAGACAGTTTTCACGGCGCTGGGCGTTAAGTTAGGCGACGACGAGTTGGAGGAAATGATACGGGAGTATGATCAGGATCTGGACAATCATATCAACTACGAGGAGTTTGTTAACATGATGACAACGCGATAGCATCTAAATTGGTACAGTGCTCTTGGTTGATTTGATTTTAGTTTTTATTTAATTGCAATGAGCGAGGGTAATGTTTTTGAAGAGATCTTTAAAAAGTTTTACAACTAAAGTACAAATATTGTATAATATCTAAAATATCTTCAGGCTATATTCTAGGTACATCAGAGTTTTTGACAGTGATAAACCCCCTTTGCACATATTGAATATTCACTCTAGATATTTTTTCTTTTATCCCCAGCAGGCAATAATCTTTGATCCAATTGTCATTGTGTAGTTTCGGATTATTGTTTGAAGGAGTTGACACCAAACAGGCCAGGAAAATCAAAACCACTTCCAAAACTGAAAAAATATTATAGAAATAATAAAATACTTATTAGCTAGCATGAGCACTTTGACGGATGCCCAGATCGAAGAGATCCGGGAAGCCTTCAATCTGTATGATACAAATAGGTCTGGCTCGGTGTCGATCAAGCAGCTAGGAGGAGTGATGCGTCACCTTGGCGAGATCCTCACAGAGGCGGAGATATATGACCTTGCCAACGAAGCTGGCACTGAATTCAACAACCAGGTGGATTTCAAAGACTTTCTTTTCGTAATGTCCAAACGGCTTGAGGAGCAGAACAGTCTGGCCTCATTGAAGCAGGCCTTCAGGATCTTAGACCGCAACGAAGTTAACTATATTACAATTAGTGAAATCAAAACAGTGATGACCAACCTGGGCGAAAAGATGTCCGATGAAGATCTTCACGAGATGTTCCAGGACATCGATGTGGACAGAGATGGCAAGATTTTCTTCAACGATTTTGTTGCTGCCATGCGAAGCTAAGCTAGGTATTCAAAATTGAAAGCACCAAATAAACACGAATCCCTTTGGGAAAGAGCCCAACCCAGCTGCCTGTTTTTACCTCAGCACCACTTGAAGTTCCACCAAATTTCTTTGAGTCGCTCAAGGGCAGCGCCAGAGAGTCGGCGGGGAATCCTTGTCCCAAGGAGTCGCCTTGGTGTGTGTCCATGTGACCGGACGCGTGACTCGGAAATGGTCGCATGTGCCTAATGGCCACTGGGGAGTGGCGAATCGTTCGAAAGGGTGATGGCCGTGGGGTAGAGCAATCATAAAACCGAGCCACGCTGATTACGATGCCAATTTAAATATTTGACCAGCGGCCGCACTCGCTGTTTACCCTTTCGTCTGGCTGACTCGATATCGGGATGCTATGGCCGAATTTATAGTCAAATGCACTCAATGGGCCCAGTTCTTATCGCTCTACGCACGAGGTTATCTATTAGCACGCCTTATACGCACACAATAAACATTAAATTGTAAGTGACTCATTTGGCAACTTGGAAGGCAACACGGTGACAAAGTTTTGTAATCTGATCTGATCTAATTTCTCAAAAGCAAAGTTTTTTGCGGTGAATAAAAACCATGGTTTAAACCATTTAATTTTTTACTTTTATCCAAATACGATACATTTTTTATTGTCAAAATTTGACATACTTAAAAATGTACTTTTCATTTCACTTTGTTGCTGAACTATTCCTAAAGACTAAAGTTCTTACTGCAAGGTTATCCAAGCAATAATCCTTTTTTAATATTTAAATAAGTAGCCTTCGAAATGAATTTCCGAGCGAATGAGTTTAGAGATAGAGCTAAGCTCCCAATTACTCAGTGCAAACCGAAATCGAAAGCTGAAACCGAAAACAACATTCCAATATTAAGCAACTCAACACCATAAACCAAAATGGATCCACCCGAGTACGTATTATCTAGTGAAGATCTGCAAGAGATTTGCCAAGCGTTCGCCATTTGTGATCCTGAAAACAATGGAAGGATCAATGTAGAAGATTTGGGAACTGTGATGCGCGCTCTGGGTCAAAACCACACCGAATCAGAAATCTACAGATATTCCGAAAGTCTTGAGGGCGATTTAGCCGGTTTTATACTACTTTCCGATTTTATTGATTTGATGACCAAAATTTATAAAATAATGGAAGACAACGACTATTTAAGGGCCGCGTTCAACATCTTTGATCGCGATCAAGATGGAGCAATATCCGCCACCGAGCTACGCAATATGTTCAACAGCCTCGGCGAAAAGATAAGCGACGAACAGTTCGACGAAGTGTTCCGCCAGGTCGATACTGACGGAGACGGCATGATCAATTGGTCCGATTTCCGTAATGCCTATAAATCTTAAACTACACATTCATATTCTTGTACTCGAATTTTCCTTAACAATTAAAGCACTGTACATTTTCAAAAACTATTAAAGCGATCTGTCCTTAAATTAAATCTGTACTATTTTATTTTCCACACTAAAGTTGGCTTGACAATTAACACATTTTCAGAAAAAATCGTTTGCCCGTTTTAAAGTTTGTAAACGATTTGAACCACAACAACCTTTTTTTTTTAGATATTTGCCATGGTTTACAAAGTTTAATGAAAAGTCAGCTTATATCAGCTACAAATTTAACAAATATCATAAGGAGGCCTATAGTTAAGTAGAAAATAAAAGGAGAGCTATTTGTTTCGAACAGTCAAGAATTAAACAACAAACAAAATTACAAAAATACTTTTAAAGCAAAGTATATATAACAAATGAGTAACAATATACAAAATAAGCCAAGTCACCAGGAAAAATGAGAATATTTCGCGCCGAAGCAGAGATTATATGATTTGGAGCATTATGATTATGTTTTTAAACCTTAGGAAGCCGTTTTAGCTTTTTAGCATCGACATTAAGGCAGTGGTCTGCTTTACAGACTTCAAAAAATCGATTTTTTTTTTTTTTGTCTTAAATCTATTCCAAAACTATCCAAGAATATGTGTTCAAAATTTTAAAGGCCAATTCGACATATTTTCGAAGCTAGATCAGTTTTAGTGGCCGAGCGTAGAGCAGGTTCGTATGCTCGGGCAGACTTTACAGCCCGTTTTCTCGAGTTTTTATTTTCACAAGTTTTGGAAAATGGTGCCGGCCCTAGTAAAAAAAATATATGTCCGATCGAAAAAAACCAAAGTGATCTAGCTTCAGTATTGAATTATCTTCTATTTGAACTAAAAAAAATGGATAAAAGTACTTATTAAATTACTTGTTTTGCAACTTAAAGTGAACTTTTTTTCCAAAAAAGTGAATTTTTTTTTTCAAACTGAGAAAAAGTTTGGAAATTTGTAATTTCTTCGGAATTTTTTTAGTTCAAATAGAAAAGGAACTTATAAAAAGTAAAAAAAATTTGGTTCCACTGATTCAGATGCATCGCGCGAACTCCATCACCGGCACCGATTAACAAGTGCACACTCCATGCGCCCCAGAAAAATCGTTACAACTTCCGCTAATTTCAATTATTTGCAATAATAAAAATTGTTTTTTAAAGTTTAAATATAATATTATATCGTCTCAAAATTTCGTTTACCGCAATCATTTCCTTCCCTCTCAAAAAAAATGTTGAAAAAACGCTCTTTTTTCGGCTCCTAAAGCAGACCACTGCCTTAAAGGCCGTTCATTTTGGCTTGCAATTTTAATATTCCTTACTCGTAAAGTCGAAATTGACCACGCACACTTATACGCCCACCAGCCTTTTGGATGTTTTAGCTCTGCTGTGCGTATGAAGTTGAACTTGCAGGTGATTACAGTGATAAACACGGAAAATACATATATAAATCTTTAAAAATTATCATGCCAATTGAAATAGTTTATCAAGGCAATCGACCGAGGAAATGGAGTAAAGTAAAAGGATTATAATTATTTTAAGTTTGGTCATCCATCTTTGGACTAATCGCCATTTAAACGAAATGAACATCGCTTATGATAATAAACCAACTCTAAATGGATGCCATATCTTTTGTTCTTAATTCAACTCTTTGTTATTGTCTTTAATTGTTTAAGCGAGTCGAGCCGTGTTTGGTTCAATTTGTCATATACATATTGACTTTTCCCCGCATTTGAAAATTAGTTAAATTGCAGCCAACCCACGACGTATTCATGTTAATCAAATGGCGAGAGGTCACTCGGTCCATCGTTTGTCAGCCACATTTTCCCGGCGCCCCATATGGATAATTTAAATAGATTATCGTCCAACTACAGTTTAATTGAATTACTCTGCATGTGAGTGGGAGGCGTTGTGACATTGAACTAATGGCTGTCAAACCTGCATGTATGGCAATCAATAGCCCTCGTTTAGATACTCCTCACATAGGTAAATACGAAATATGTGTAATCGCTGCGCAAACGTATTGATAAAGCTCGCGGTCATCGGTGCAATTTAAGTCGTCTATTAGAGCCAACCATTAAAAAAGTTGACACTAATTGTCGCAAGTAGAGCGGCATTATTATTCGAAACTGCTAAAAGCTAGAAAACCAGGCTGCAACTTTCAGGCAAAGGGATAGGGAAAAGTTGATTTCCAAGAAATAATATTATAATTCGTTTACCAATTTTCGAATTACCTCGCTGTTTGAATTATGAAGCAGTTCTGCCTGCCCCACTGTTTTGAATCAAACTAAAACTTCCTTAATTTAATTTCAGCAACTGTTTTATTCCCACACTATTAATAATACACTATTAATAAAACACTAATAATACACTTTGTTCAACTTTTAAGTACTTAATTATAACTCAAATCAATAGACCCCTAAATGAAATGATACAACAATTACAAACTTAAAGCTGCAGTATTTTTATAGAGAAAAAAAATCAGTTTGTTCCAGACTTCAAGTATTGCATAGAAATAAAAATTTCCATGACTTGTGTGAAATTTCATTGTATCTGAAGATAAATGATGGGAAAAACACATTTCCCCCGAACACTTGATGGACGTCGTCGACTTACGTAATGTGTGCGGCGGTTGAACAATTCAATCAGTTTAATTCATAATTGAAAGTCCATACGCCAGCTTACAACGGTGTAAAGTGGAAATTAAATCGAACACAGCCGTAGTTCGAGTTATATGTAAGTCGATACTGGGACAAACCAGTTTGGTGAAAAATGCAATTTGAGCTACTCACGGAACACAATTCCACAACAATTGTTGCAGTTGAAGAAACGAGTTCATAACCAAAATGATTTAAAATGTGTGTAGGCCCCTTTCTGGTTGATTCTGAATTTTATAAGAAAAGTGATCCCTATAAAGACAGCGGTGTTTATTCATTATCTTTGTTTGTCATGACTCATGATATTGAAATCGTACATTTCTGTCTCTACAAAAGGGATAACAACACAAGTTATAAACTTCAAAACCCAAATTTTTTTACGGTGTCATTATATTTGCTTTTATGGGCGAGCGGATTGATAAGGGTCCTGCACAAAGCGCCGTTTTTTTTTTTTTTTGGTTTTATAAGTCCATGTAAATTATGAATTACAACCATCTGGCTATAAAAGCTCACATAATTTTCCTAAACGCAACCGGAAGTTTCGGAGCAGTGGTTAACCGCAGTCCCTTCGGGCTGCCCACTAACTTAACAGACTTTGCAACCGGACTCCGGCCGGAATCTAATTAGTGTAAACAGAAAACGAGTTGGCATGCAAAACGCAAACAGACCCAGCACTACCCTTGGATTTCTGATTGCCACCATCCCCAAAAGTGTTTCTAAATGAACCCGAACCTGGTCAAAATCCGCTCTTCTTGCCTCTCCTATGCCAGATGCTGATGTGACTGATGCCGGCCTGTTTGCTTTGGCAATATGCAGCAGGACGTGCTTCAATTTGGCTAAAAGCACAATGTGAGCAAAAATAAGCTTCATGTGTGGGCGTGAACGGGGCGGAACGCAGTTCAAGGCCAAGCTTGATGCCAAAAGCCAGACGCTGCCAAAAGCAATTGCTAAAAAATTTCGCCGATTTATTGCCAACCATCAGAATTAAACTACATATCTGCTGATAGGATGATCTGTGAGTCATACACGTGGCCGTAAATCAATTAGGTTTGCATTGTTTTTTCCAGCTCCACCATGATGATAAGGTCAAGCGCTTCGAATCGAAGGAACAATAACATAAGTGCACTGCGGTTCGGTTTTCGCTACTTATCTGTGACAGTTTCAACGCGCCAGCACCAGATAGCAACAGATAATTGTTATTTAATCCTCTTATCTAAGTCATTCAGGCTAATTTGGGGCGCAGAGTGTCCGTATCAATGTTTGGCACTTAAGACCCCCAAAAGCCCCGAGTGTGTGTGAGTCAACTCACCTGAAACTCTTTGAACTGCTGGTGCGTCTGCACGACGATGTTCTTAAACGAGTCGTTCGGCTCGCCGGCTGGGCCGAATGCGATGAAGAGGATCGTGGCGATTATCACTCCGATTAGTATCAGGATCATTTGTTTCGTGCGCATGGCCGCTAAAATTGACTTCGACTTCGCCTTGTAGCCAATTTTGCGGGCAAAGATGCGCTTCAGGGTGAGTGAGGCCTCCAGTCTGAATGCTTTCCGAATTTTCCTGTAAGCCTAGTGACAAAGTTGGTCTAGTCCGCTGCTGTTTAAATTAAACCATCGTCCGTATCGCGCTAATTCTAGCAGTGTAATTCGATTATTGAGCATCTATTTGTTTATCTCTTCATTATGGCTGTAGTTTCCCGTCGTCAGCATTATTTTGCGACCTGTTAATGAGAATCGAAAGCACACAAAGTAGAATTGTTGGTCTCTTTCATCAGATTGAAATGTTTTTGGCGTGGTCTCGGGTATTTTAAATAAACACGATTTATTGTGGAGGCTGACCGCTGGCGCACACATTTTTTATTGATTTATTTATATGGAATTCTACAAAAAATCTTTTCAACTCTGAAGTGCATTAGTATAAACTCAAAGGGTAAAGCTATTCAAATAAAGATTGTTCTGTTTATCTAAAGAACAAAAAAAGAAGAAAGTTATTCAAATAAAAATGGTTCTGTTTATCTAAAGCACAAAAAAAAAAAGAAAGTTTTTAAAATAAAAATTTGTTTGTTAACCTAAAGTAAATCTTGTTTAATAACTTTAAACTGATGTTCAATATGTACAAATAGTTATCTGCTTTATTTGCCAAGCGTTTCCAAGTTCTAAGTTCGGTTTAAAAATGTTATGCAGTTTTCTTATAAATTTTAAAATGCTTTTTGAATCAGCTTTAAAGTATTGTGGATAAAATTTATTTTTTTTAATGAGAAATTATTCATGTTTTTTTAAATAAAAAAATTACTTCCTAACAAAGACTGACTTTGATCACTGCTATTTTATATTTAATAACGGAATTAAGCTTAGAAACGTTATAGGTCCTAATCTTGGCTAATGCATTATTTGGCACCCCCGACGACACAAACGCCGCGTGTTTGCCTTGATGGGGTTAATTTCTTGGCGCAGGGCCAACAAAAAAAGAAGCGAGATGACGAGTGCAAGGTGAGGGCAATTTAGCGATGTACACACATACATATATACATAAACATGTACATTGCAAAAACGATGTGACAATGATGTGCAATGTGCGTTGGGCTTAGGCTTTCTTATGGTGCGGCGCTTAACAAAGGCCAGCGGCTACTTACAGTTGCGTTTGTTGTTTGCCGCTATTAGATTTTGTTTTTGCTGCAGATTGGGGGAGGAGAAATGGAGAAGCCCGAGAATTACCGGCGCAGCCTCCATTAAACTCTCTTGATAAGCTCACACACACACACCTTTGCACAAACGACTTGTTGTTGGCCCAATACTTTTACATAATTTACAGTTTCTGCGGCTTTAGGAATTACTTTCGGTTTCGTGTTTGCAGCGGTAAAAATATGCGAATCACGACCAACAGCGCGGCGTACAAACAAAACACTTGATTTCGCTGTTAAATAGGCTTTTCGAGCGGTTGTTGTGGCTATTGTCGGTCTGTGTTAACGATTTGCAACTGCTGCGAAATGTGGGCGAAATATGCATCTGCAGCAACGGCTTAGTTCACAGGGCGACAATTTGAAAACGCAAACAACTGCAGCAAAATCGAGAACGCCGTGCGCGCTTTTGGCTGGTTGAAAGTTTTTTATGCAAATTGGGCTAGAGGTGGATAAAAGTCGATTAAAACGTCGATGCATCGAGTTCTAAAGAACTTTGAAAAAATCGATGTCTAATCGATAACAACAATAGTAGCCGACAATAATAACATTGTAGCGTCGACGGATCAGGACTAAAAAATTTATTGAACTTTCGGATGTCTATTGACGTACGAGTACGCCCCCTAATTTAGCCGATAAACACTCCACGATGGGCATTGCTACAATCGAATATTCGATTCAGTAGATGGTTTAAAGGTCCGCTGACTGAAAACTCGATAAATGTGTTTCGTGATGTAGTGTTTTGATGTACGTTCATAACTCGCTTGCGACAAATGTTGGCTGTAAAAGATAAACTTGAACAGAGCTTGGAGCTCCTCAAAAAATATGAGTGGTTGTTGGATGCCTATGTTCTGGTTAGATATTGATAATTAATTACTTTAAAAAGTTTATCTTAAAATAAACCTTATTTAAAGGACTTTTTCCTGGACAACCATTGGAAAAAGCTTCCAAAAAACTGGCGTCAGTACTTGGAAAAAATTCCCTTGGAGAGTCTCGGAGAGCTGCTCCAAAACGAGGATCAAAACCACCAACTCAATTGGCCAGAGGAGATAATGGAATTGCAAAAGAAGCTACGGGAGCTCTGCCTCACTCGTGAGCCTGCGAGCCAACCCAAAGTTGGTAAAAATTTTTCATTCCCTGAACCAAATTTAGTTTTTTATATTTGTTCTCGTCAAGGACTCTTTTCACTGCTTACTACTGGATCATCCCAAGCTAAAGCACATGTTCCTAAAACGGGTGAAACCAAAAAAGCAACATGAAATCACTCGCATGGCTGAGATTTGTGGAATTAGCTGTCGACAGACGCCTGTTGACTTTATTGTGGATTTTGGAGCGGGCGTGGGTCACCTGGCACGCATCCTGGGATACGGCTATGGACTGCAAGTGTGCTGCTTTGAGATGCAGCCCGATCTCAACCTGCAGGCGAGGGAAATAGATTTAAAACTGGAGTCCATGGCAGCAAAGCATCTGAAGTCCAATGAAGCCAGCCACTTTCGGCGACCAGTGCATCTTACCCAGCGCTTAGAGAGCAACACCCAGCCAGAGCAGTTCCTCTCCAGCATCCGAGATGCTCTGCAGCTGGACGACGATAACTTTCGCTTTGGTATTATCGGTCTGCATCCGTGTGGCAACCTGGGACCGACATTGATGCGTATGTTTCTCAGCTGTCCGCAAGCTAGGTTTCTCAACTTTGTGGGTTGCTGCTACCAAAAGATGACCACTCAGGCCACGCATCCCCGGGAATCGGTGCATGGCTACCCACTGAGCAGGTTCCTAAGAGGCCACACAGGATGTCAGCTCAGCTACGAGGCTCGTGAGATCTCCTGTCACGCCTCCGAGGTGTACCATGATCGCCTGCGAACTGGAAACTACGAACACCTCCGCATACACTCCTTAAGAGCCGCCGCCGAGCGAATAATTGTGGAGCAGTTTCCAGACCTCAAACACTGTGCTTTGAGAAATGTGAAGCACTCACCTGGCATGACTTTTCACCAGTAAGTTTCCCCGAATACGAAGAAATCTAAAACTAGCATGTTTTTCAGATATTTTCAGAAAGCCGTGCAGGGAACTCGCTTCGAAGCTCTCGACAGTAGGATTCTAAGTAACGAGCAGACGGAAGCAGACCTGGCCAACTGGCAGCAAATAGTTTACTTTTACACGCTACGATTAATGATGGCACCTTTGGTCGAGAGCATTATTCTTTATGATCGAAGCCTTTTTCTCACGGAGAATGGTATTATTAATCTACTTTAAAAAATTTGTTATGTCTTATATTCAAAACCACTGTATTGCAGACTGCCAAGTCCAGATCGAGGCCTTATTTGATCCCCGCCTCTCGCCCAGAAACCACATTACCAGGGCTGTGAAACCCGAACTCTGATAACGGAAAAATTTCCCTAATCTGACCATAAATCCAGCAAAAGCGACTTGGCCGTCTGATTCTTATCGTTAAGTGCCTTTGTGGTTACACTTAAAAGCTTATTGTATATAAGTTTATTTTTATATAGATAAAGATAATATCGCGTTGCCGATAAAAAATGCACTTGAAGTTTGCCTAGATCGTTGAACGTAAGTAATGTTGACTTCCCGGAATCAGAGCTGTTTTACTTGTAGTAGCCCTTCTCGGCCGCAGCCTCTACGATGGTGCTAATGGCGGTAAAGGCCTCGCTGGACGTGGGCTGGATCTCCACGGCGGGCAGGATGAAAAGATCCTGGCTATCCGGAGGTCCCCGCAGTTCGAAGGTATAGGCAATCGGTATTCCTGCCTCGGCGTGCGCCCAATCCATACTGCCGCCGCTCGACGGATAAATGGTTTCGTACAGGCTGCCACTCACGTAATCCCTACCGCTCTCCGCCTTGATCGCAGCCGATGCCTTCTTGCCGAACTCCTGCAGGTCGTCGTAGTTGGACACCCGATCCTTCGTGTAGCCATATGGGAACATGAGCATCTGGGAATATGAGTGCAAAGCAATGTAGGTCTTGATCTGCTCCTTTTTTACGTTCGAGCGTATGAACTCGATCACTCGCTGGGTCTCCAGTTCGCTGCCCGCGGAGGGACCAGCGAAGTCGTAGCGCGTGGGATCGCTGCTAGACCCTGTGGAGTTCCAGTGGTCCGGATAGTTCCTGTTTAGATCCACCCCGCGGCAGGTGCCAAACAGCTGACGATTCTTCCGCCACATCCGATCGTGCTCGAAGGTGTACTTGTAACCATCGGGATTGACGCAAGGGAAGACGATCCAGTTGAAGTTCTGGGCCAGTTTCTTCACCTTCGGATCCTCCGAGGTGAGTAGCTGGTTGATGATGTACGTGGCAGCTGCCGGAGCAATCCACTCCCTGGCATGAATGCCACTTTCAATAAAGATGGCCTTGTTATTGGGACTACTGGACAGCTTGACGCCCTTGATGGCGTTGCCCTGAGTACTAGTTCCCATGTTTAGGACGGTCACCCGGTCCGGGTACTTCTCCGCCATCTTGTCCAGCCACTCGTATATGGTCTTCAGATGGAAGAAGTGCTGCCAGTCAAACTGCGCGGCATCAATGCTCTCTGGCTGAACTTCGCCCAGGTTGCGGTCGATCTTCTCCTGGAAGTTGTAGGTCTGCATGGGGGAGCTTTGTTTTCATTCCGATGAATTACAAATTTATTTTTAGCTGCTTACCAGAATTCTATGTTTCACGTTGTAGGTCTTGAGCAGATCGGCAATGTCTGCCACGCGATGCGCCGCCACCAAAATGGACAGTTTCTGGCCAATCTCGCGGGCATGGCCGATGAAGGTAAGGCTGTCGCTCTGCTCCTCCAGCTTTTGGAAAAGCGCGATCTGCTCCTCGTTCTCGAACTCCACATTGTAGATGCGGTAGTTGTCGTAGCGGGCTTGGTCAGGAGGAGCTGGTGCTCCGCCGCAGGCGGATCCCTTAGCCACCGGACACGTTGCACTTTCCAGCTTAGAACCGCTCGCTGCCATCGCTAGAATCAGAATGACTAACCACTCAGCTCCGATCCGCGATGTTAGCATATTTATAAAATATTCTTTTCTATTTTTTGTTTGCTCGTTTATTAGCCAGAGAGTGGATGAGAGGCAAAGAGAGAAAGCCGCCGAGAGGTAGAGGTTGTTGTTATCAGCTGGAGTGGGAACATTGGATGAGGCAAAGGAGGGCCGGCGAGCAGAAAAGAAAAACCAGAAGTTCCATCACAGCTGTGCGGTCTAATCCAGGGTTTCCAACGAGCCTTCTTTGCGGGCACATATGGTTTATGACCGTCATAAAACAATTCCGTGAAAAGTATCCGTTTCTCATTAACAGAATGTAACTCTAGGCAGGGGTGGTCTTCATAGAATTAATTAAATTGTGATTTGTAAAATAAATAAATGCTTACATACATATGCGCATAAAAATATATATTTTTATTAAATATTTATATACGTATATATATAATATTTATATTTTAATATTCCTTGAATCTTTTAAACAAATGAGTTAAATCCAAAAGTTTTAAAATTTTTCTAACCCAGATTTTTTGAGTTGTTGGTTTGATACTGACAGTGCATTTTATTACTTGTACTGCATTATGCTTCTTTTATTAAGTATGTCTAAAGAATAAGGTTTGTCGAGTTTGTATTTATTTTATAAATCTTTTCATGACAGAAATATGGTCCTAATAAATGATGTACGATAATATCTAAAATGCTATAATATAATTTCTAAAAATATGTTAAAAAACCCAAACGATTTTCAGTCTGTAAAAACTACTAATTCACGATGCATATATTTTTTGCATGCATGCATGCGTTAATAAACTACAAATTTTTGTAGGTTTTTTTAACCTTTACTATAGCAGCTATATGATCCGGTCATCCGATCCAGGACATTGCTATATATAAATATTTTACCTTAACAGTCACTTTTTTTGTAAAGTTTTAGCGAGATAGCGTTAAAAATTAGACACTAATTTGCTACTTCTTTTTGCCCCTGCCCAAAGTAAGTGTGTGCGTACCATTAGCAAACTGTAGCCTGCGCCGCTGCAGCTCCTGGACCTCCTCCTCCAGCTGGCGACGCGCCTCGTCGAGTTGGGTCTTCTCTTCCATGTGCTCCCGTTTCAAACGCTCGAACTTGGTGTGCAGCTCTTTCTCGCTCTCCTTTAGCTCGTTTTCTTTCTGTTTTACTCGCTGCACGAACATCTGCCTCACCTCCTCCTCCTTGGCCTGCAGGCTGGCCAAGTGATCGGAGCGCTTAGATTCGAATGTCTGCTGAAAGGACACGGGCTGGTTGTTGCTGTCCACGTCCACGAAACCCATTTGCTGTAGGCGCCGCTGGCGGAAGAGCTCATAGTGTCGTGTGTGGGTAACCTCGCGCAGATCCTCCATATTTGTGCGGATGACCATCTCGCGCAATTTTACAAAATCGCAATGCGTCTCGTTTTCGATGTGCACCGCTCCCCAGGGATATTGACGGGCACGAACCTGCTTTCCGGCCACCTTTACGAATTCCGTGCTTCCCACAACAGCAAAAGGCAGGTGGCCATTCATAGAGGAATTGTTGTCGGCCACCGTCTCATCGTCTGTGGGAAACTGGTAGATGCTCACCTTGTTCCGGCGCAGTTCTTCCATTATCCGCTTCTTGAACCCTGCCAGCTCCGACTTTGATATAGTGTCAGCTTTGGCTATTACGGGTACGATGTTTACCCGGCTGTCCAGTTGCTTCATGCACACCAAATCCATGGCTTTGAGTCCATGGCCCGTGGGACAGATGAAGTAGAGGCAGGCGTGAACGCGCCCATCCTGAGCACTTGCCATCGAGCGCTGGATCTTAAGCTCCTCTTGCAAATACGCCTCGAACTGGCTGTCCACGTATTCGACGAGAGCCTTGTAGCTGTCCGCCTTATTGACCTGATCTCCGTATCCAATGGTGTCGCAAATTGTGAGCTTCAGCCGGACATTGCTCTCCTGCAGCTCGTAGGTGTTCGCCTTAAGCTTTACGTTGGACAGGCTGTGCGGACTGGGTGTGGCACCAAAGCTGGTGTTAAAGAGTGTGTCCATCAGGGTTGACTTCCCGAGAGCAGTCTCTCCGATGCACAGGATGTTGAAGCTGAATCCGTTCTGCACGCTCTTGTTAACCAGTTGATCTGGAAGTGTATCGAAACCCACGTGCCCACCCAACTGTAGCTGCCTGGGCGCCTTGGGTGCCACCTCCTGCGTTTTCTTTTCAGTCGCTATATGCACCATTTCGCCTTTAGTTCTGGTGAAACAATGGCTATGGACAGAAATGGCACCACTCTTTATACTTAGCGAACGGACGAGTGAAACGGATAAAAACCTCAATCTTTCTTTTTTCTAATCACCCGTTTGGAATTCCCGGCATGTGCTAATATAACGAGAGTTTAATTTCGTTTACGGTTTCTACCTGTGATCAATTTTACCTGCAAACTGCAACGAATTTGAATGTAGTGCCGCAACAATCGCTTATCGAGGCAGTGAAGCCCGATAACACAATACGTTTATATAGAAAGTGGGCAAGAATTAGCCATAGGCTCTGATAGACTTTCAGGAAAAATTCTAAAAGATGCGAACGTTTAATAATAGGTTTCAACATTGTGGAATCGTTGCACGGTTGACAGTTTTTCAATAATTACATTACAGAAAATAAAAAACTTTGGCATGCCAATAGGAACTAGTGCTGCCGCCTTGAAAAACGTACCTCTTAAAAAATCTGCAATTATTTGTGTTAATTTCTTTTAAAATATTACCCTAATGGAAGAGTATTTCAATAGAAATTCAAAACTACATTTTTCAGTAAAACAAACCATTTAATGTTTTTTAATAGCCAAATATTGTTCGATAACAAAAACGCTGTCGGCACTGACGATAACGTCTGCAGGTTATCGGTAGCCGCAACTCCACTTTCAACGCATACAGAATTTGCAAAACCGCAGAAAATTAAAAAATCCCAGGATTATACGCAAATTATAGGCAAAAGAGGACTGCAATTACCAACCTAGAACAGAAATCGTGGTAAGAACTAGAAAGGCAAACCGAATATTCGTAGTTTTGGGGTTTTTTCCGACGTAGAAAGAATTTTTCTTTGTCGAGCAAGCGCCGCCATTTTCTTTTCACTTGGGCCGCCGCTTTTTACGCGTACTTTCACAATGCAAATCTCAAAAATTTCGCAGAAACAGCAGTTGCAATCTCGATTGCCAGAAGGTTCTCAAGCAGCACCACCCGAGGAAAAGCGCACCGGAAGAGCTGCTCATGAGTAGTCATCGAGACGGAGCCGGAGCCGATCGAATCACAATCAAAATCCATAACATGAAGCGAAGCGCCTCGCGCTCCCCGGGTCCGGCCTCCAGGAGCAGTTTATCGCGGAACTCACGGAGCATGGGTCGTGGTTACGACAACGGCAGCGGAGTGCCGGGCGACTCTCCGGAGCGCCTGTCGCCGGAGCGGATGCGTCGCCGCTTGGAGCGCTCGCCGAGTCCACGTGGCCGTTATGGCTCCCCGCATCGTGAACCCTACATGCGAGGTCCTCCGCCTGCGGAACGACCCGCCGGTTACAAGGTCCTGTGCGTCAGCGCCCTGCCGCCAAAGGCTCCGGATGATTTTATAGAGGAGACACTTTATCGCGAGTACAAGAAGTTTGGAGACTTTAGTGTGCGACTGGCTCACGACCTCGACGAAAGGGTGGCTTACGTTTGTTTTAGAACGCCGGAAGATGCGCGCGAAGCCAAACACCACAAGCCGCGGCTTATTATCTATGATAAGATGGCCATAGTAGAGCCGGTGTACAAGTCCACAACCAGGCCAGAGTACAGGTGCGATTTACTTAAAAAATTTTTTTATATCTTTTTTTTACATAACACTATTCTTACCGTGTAGACCCCGTGGGCACTCGATGTCGCCGCCAGACTATGAGCGCTACCACTATTCGCGTTCACCTATGGGCCAAGGAGTTCCTTTGGATCATCGCCGTCCGCCACTTGATCCCTATGACCGTTACGGCCCGCCTCATATGCATCCCCACGCAGTGCATCCACGAGATTACCGGCCAATGCACCATGAATATCCCCATCCTCCACGCGGTCCACCTCTGCATCGCGGGGGTCATCCGCACCACCTCCATGGGCACGCACCGCCCCATCAGTACGCTCCAATGAGGCCACTAGCACCACGTCCACACGCTCCGTACGAAAAGCCGGAAAGCAAGAAGGACAAGTTCCCCAATTATTTGCACCACGTTCAACCCGAGGATGATCCGCTCTCCACACGTACACTGTTTGCGGGAAATTTAGAGGTGACAATCGCCGATGACGAACTGCGTCGTATATTTGGCAAGTACGGTGTGGTTGATGATATTGACATCAAGCGCCCACCGCCGGGAACGGGAAACGCGTTCGCGTTTGTGCGGTATCAAAACCTGGACATGGCCCACCGTGCAAAAATAGAGTTGTCCGGACAGTATATTGGCAAGTTCCAGTGCAAGATTGGATACGGCAAGGTGACCCCGGCGACTCGTATGTGGATCGGAGGTTTGGGCGCCTGGACCTCAGTCACTCAACTAGAGCGTGAATTCGATCGCTTCGGTGCAATAAAGAAGATCGAGTACCAGAAGGGAGAGCCGTACGCCTACATTCAGTACGAGACAGTGGAGGCGGCCACGGCGGCTGTAAAGGAAATGCGAGGATTCCCATTGGGCGGACCAGAGCGCCGTCTGCGCACGGACTTTGCAGAGTTGCCGGGCGCCACACCGGCGGCACCATTCAAGGGCTCAAAACCACCATATGATGAAAGTGCTTTGGAGTACCGACGACCGGAGTATGATCCGTACTATGAGGAGTCCGCGGCGTACGCACCACGAGGGGGTTACTCCCCATATCCACCCAGAGGTGGTTACCGAGGACGTGGTGGTTATCGCGGAAGGGGACGAGGCATGTACCACTACCACAATGATGTGCACAGGCCACCACATCCTGGATCCTTGGGTGGTTCTTCTTCGTCGGTGCCGCCGCCCGGAGGTGTGGATGATGAGTGGCGACGCCCTCCTGGAGAATCTTACGACAGAGGAGCCCGTTCCAGCTCTAGGGAGCCTGGCGCGGAACGTTCTCGGTCCAGATCGCCCTTGAAGCGGGCTCGTTCTCCCGGATCCGATTCCGACACCTCGACTCGCCGTAACGATGCTCTTGGCTCGGCCAGTACGGTGCCGGAGGTGGCACGCAAGTGCAGTACCGTGTGGACCGGAGCACTGATTCTCAAGAGCTCCCTATTCCCAGCCAAGTTCCATCTGACGGACGGAGACACAGAAATTGTAGAATCGTTGATGCGTGACGAAGAGGGCAAGCACAATTTACGCATCACCCAGCGGCTGCGCTTGGATCCTCCAAAACTTGACGATGTGCAAAAGCGAATTGCATCCTCATCGTCGCATGCTATCTTTATGGGCTTGGCCGGCTCCACGAACGATACCAATTGCGACGATGCCAGTGTGCAAACGCGTCCGCTGAGAAACCTGGTCTCCTACCTTAAGCAGAAGGAGGCGGCTGGCGTAATATCGCTGCTTAACAAGGAGACGGAGGCCACTGGCGTGCTTTACGCCTTTCCGCCCTGCGACTTTTCCACGGAGCTGTTGAAGCGCACCTGCCACAGCCTCACGGAAGAGGGACTGAAGGAGGACCACCTGGTTATTGTGGTGGTACGTGGCGGCACGGCCTAAGGCCGTTTGGCGTTTTAGGTATGGAGATCCAAGAGCTGAACAAACTGGAGGTAATAACTAGCCGCAGTGCTCAAGGGAAGACTCCGCCACACATAACTTTAATCTAGCAACCGTAGTCGTATCTTAGATGCCTCTCTCAAAAGGAGGAGGACGAACTGAGGGTCACATACATGCGAGGGTCGTGTATGTGCGCCCTTAAGCACCGCACACACACACACACACACAGACACACTTGATGCACACATTCAGAGACATGAGCAGAACCGAGGAGACATCACCCACACCTCATGACCCCAGACCCATATCAATTAACCATTAATCAACCTTCTTTTGCAGACAGGATTTCTCTTTATGGTTTCATTTCAAGTTCTCGATGTGTTAGTGACAGTGAAGTTTATACATCTCTTTATTATTGTGCTACAAAGTTTGAAAAAATAATGTATTTAAAATCTACTCATACAGTTTTTCCAATTTTATTATGTTAAAGTGTACAACTGAGAATGGAAAAAAAAAACACAAGTAAACAACCTTATATTTTCTAAAAACAACTATTTGAGTGTCCGCTTATGATCAACAAATAGTGAAAAATAATCCTGATGAAACAGTTTTTGTGTTCCTTAAAGTTGATTTTCTATTTTAATTTGTGTTACGCTGATGGTTTTGCCTTTGGTCTTTTCTTTGTGAAAGATGATGAAATTACAGTGCGACAAGAAGTGCACCAAGTAATGGTCTGATTGTCAAGTTAAAGTCCAAAACGAAGATTACAAAGTGTTCCCAGAATTTGGTTTGCAGTGCGATTCTCCCGTAAAAAAGCAATCAGTGCAAAGTGATTAATTCTGGCTGAGCTTCAGCTCCCCTCGATCTCCCTGAGGTTCCTTTGTGTTTTTTTAGCCTGTGGGTGCGTGAAAGTGGCTACCAAATCCAAATCGTGTTCCGATCCCCGATCAATATCCGTCTTCCATCCGAAAAGAGAACGTCGTGTAGCATTTGCTCCAAAATGTTTCTGCTGTTTGATTGGGTTTGGCAATTGTTACATTGGTTTTCTTGTGGCTGCTCTCAACAGAATGGTGTTTTGTTTATAATTTATACATGCGTTCATGCGACATTTATGTTTCTGTGAGTTCAAGTGTCATTTCACGGACCGAAATCAAATAAGATACGATAATAACCCAAGTAGATGGCCCAGTGCATGTGCTGTGTATGCGTGTGTTCTCAAATATATTATTTATATATATACGAGCTGATAATCTGTACACTCATAAATAGTAATACCGATCAAACGCAGTTAATCCACAAAATTAGGCAGAGTTCGAGTTATTTATGCTTCAAAAAATATTATATAAAACCATTATACTGCTACTGCTATTTAAATAAACGTCAAATATTGATCCCAAATGTGTTCAAAATCTGGTGCTCAAAAATGTGAATTACAGTGCAACCAAGTGCCAAAGTGAATCAATCTCCGATGACCAAAAAAGGAAGGTAAACATTTTTGCACTAACTAACATTAACTTCAATTTTAATAACAACTCGAAGGCTCCCATTCCCCCAAGTGCCGATCTCAATCATAGTACAGGTAAAAGGTGGTGCAGACCGCAAAGTACGAGGGTCTCTCCACGCTGTAGGTCACGAATCCGTCCTTCTCGGCATCCCACAGGAAGTTAACCATGGAGTAGAGCCCCTGCATAAGGAACTCGCCCACAGTAACCAGGACTATGTAGCGATATCTGTAGGGAAAACGGTGAAAAAGTGGTTATATATTCTCTGGGCCGAAATAACCTGTCGTAGTTGTCCAGTTTGATCCGGTTCTTGATCTCCTCGCTGACCTGGGCCGCCATGTGCAGCGAGTGCTTGGGATGGAACATGTACTCATCGTTGTAGTGTCGGTTCATCACAGCCTTGATAATGTTCTCCACGCGTTCCTTATTCAGTGGATTTTTTGACTCCAGGCGGTAGGTGGGCATGAATCGCATGGTGGGCTACGAATCGTGTGGATCTTGGAATATAGGGAAGATGGCAACTTAACAGACTCACCTTGGCCGCCGGAGCACCCATGCCCAACGGAACGCCTATATGCGACTTGGTCAGCGATCCGCGCTGGCTGCCTGCCTTCTGCATGGTGATGAAATGGGAAACCGAATATGCATGTTAGTTTCGGCTTAGACACACTCCCTGTACCCCCACTGAGTTCCCACAAGGGATGGCGTGACTTGGCCAAATTTCAGACCAACCATACATTCCCGTGTTCACATTCCGTTACAAGCATCAATTCATTAAAAAGACATCAAATACCCATTGGAACCAAAATGGCAAAATCAATCGAATACCTTCTCACGCTCCTGCCCCAGGCAAAGATTCACCAGACCCGACCAGTTCTTGGCTGCAGCGGCTGCCATTTTTGGTATTAGTGGAATTTAGTTGGGTCGAGTGCGTCGCGGTTAGCCATAAAGCCACAAATGATTATGCCATTAAGCCATTCCCTGCCAGATTGCCTGACGGCCTGTCGCCGTGGCAATTCGTGGCGCTTTTGTTGAATCAATACCAGCCCAAATTATGCGCCACTTGTCAGCCAAACTTACCGGCTTACTGCCCTCGGCCGACTTTTCCTTCTTTTCCTTTTTGCCCTTGCCAGTTTCCGCCTCCTTGGCAGGAGCCTCGGTCGCGATTTCCTTGCTGCGCCGCTCGTCCGGTGAATCACCCATGATCAAAATAAGGAACTATAAAAGCCTTGTAAACTCCCAGAAAGGAAATAGCCCCAAAGAAAAGCCCCGATCGACAGTAAATCAAAGGCTGGCTTATACAACGACAATTAGTTTACACTTTATTTGATTTGCAATATGTTTGGGGAATATGCATTCCGTTTCGTGTTAGCATTTCGGTATGGTTTCCGGTTCAAACTTTAAAGTATATCAAACATATACACACTGTAAGAAGACGATAATACACACATCGAGTTACGATATTTACGTTATTTCTCTTGGGTGCTCTTGTGGCCACAAAACATCAATTACACATATATACACATATTCAAATATAAATATACTGGATACGTTGTTCGGATTGGGTTAAATACACACCTAATAAATTGTCTATAAAAAGAAAAACAATAACAGTGCGAATTCTTGGCCACATTTTCTTGTCTTTGTCTGTTGCTTTGACTTTTTTGAGTCCAGGACTCCGAGTATGTTTAGACTTTAACGAACAGTTGAGTGTTTTTAAAACATTCGTGGCTCTTCGAAATATAAAAACTCAAAATTCAGTTAAAAAACCTGCAGTACAACTACTAAAAAGTGGCGATAAAAACGCGCTGGTGGAGATAGCACAACACCAAGGAACAATTTCTTAGACATCTAACATCCATGTACTATATTGGCCAGTGGGCCTTATAAAAGAATAGCGTCTTCGTCTCGTGCAAATTTTGGTGCAGACTTATGTAAATATTGGAAAGTACTAAATTTCTCTGTACGTCGATTCATTCTAGTTTTTTTTTTGTTCCATTTTTCTTTTAAGATATTCGTACCAAAGTTAGTTTCAGTCGTGTAGTGGACACATAGGTAAAGCTTTAGTTGCAATCCGGGGCGTCTGCTCGCAAATGTGTGACTTGTAACTTGTTTACATAAATAGACACATTCCTTTTAGCCGATAAATCGTATGCAATGTGTAGTGGACACGTATAAGAGATGCAATAATTATAATCAGTGGGTTTCGTTAGTACATATAGTAATTGCTGGATTGTTTTGGGTTATATGCTATGTTCAGCGGTGTCTTCGATCTGCTGGTTTTTTTTTAATATGCCTCTAAAAATGTAGCTTTTGGAATTCGATAAGTTTTGAGTTCTTTTTTGATGGCACCGTTATTTTATAACGCCACATTTGGTCCAAAAATTGTAATGTTTATAAATCTTTTAGCACCCCAGCTAGTCATTGGACCGCACTTTGCGGAGTGATCCGCGGTTAAACTTGCAGATGGATTCCAGCAGAGCGGAGCGGGTCAGCTCGTCACCCTCGCCGCCCTCAACATCGTCAGCCAGCATGTTTGGTGTCGAAGATTGCCGTTCCACCGAAGCGCCGGGCGACGCCGGTAAATCCTGCTGATAAACACCGGCCAAATGCGGCGCTGGAGTAAGCGGAGGGGCTGAAAGGAAGACGGAATAGCATGATAGTTGGGTAAGTTTCTAAAAGCAAGCTAACAAACTACGAATTTGAAGCTGTGAAAGGCTGTTGGATAACTACATTTGATGCCGGCCAGTGTGGGCTCCTCGGGAGTGCTGTCGGAGCGGTTGAAGGAGTCGGCCCCACATAACCCACCAACCACCGAGGTGCTGGAGGAAGCTGCTGCTGCAGTCGCAGCAACAAGCGACAAGCGTCCATTGTTCGTTTGGATTGAACCTTGCTGCTTTAGCTTCGACTGTTTGTGCTCTAGTTTCTAGACGACAGAAGCATCGATTCAAATAAACGAAAAGAGAAATCAAAAAGTGTTTGTTAAGTGGCGTGAGCTACGTGAAATGGTTGGGTTTTGGGCAACTAACTGCTTTTTGCTTGGACTTGCGTTTCTCCTCCTCAGAGCTCATCATCTCCTGGACGCGCACAATGCGCTTTTGGTTTTTCACAGATTTCTGTTCGTCCCGCAAGCGATTCTCGCTCTTGATGGCTGCCTGCTTCAGCAGCTCCTTGGCGTTCAGGGATAGCTTGAAGTACGGCTTCTCAGCATTGGCAGCGGCGGCAGCGCCCTCAGTTGAAGCGTATTGCGTGAAGAATCTGTGCCCCAAAAGTTGCTCCAGCGTCGGTAGGCCGGCCTTGCAAGCTTCCTTGGATAGGATGCTTTCCAGCAGACATTCTAAAAGGGCAAACGACATAGATCAATCTAATCGATTGTCAATATGCATGAACCTACTTAAAGCATCGGGACATTCGGTGATCTGGCGAACAACAGACTCCTGCAGCGGATAACCCATTGCCATTTCGAAGAGAACATGACCGAAGCAGTAAACATCAATAGTCTCGATTGCATGGATTTTGCTGTGCTGCATAAAAAATGGCCGGTAAAAAGCTGGTACGCCCAGCAAAAAGTTCTCGATGTCCAGCAGCTTAACACAATCGTCAACTATCACTATGTTTCCCGAATGTAGGTGACCTTTAGGAATTGCCAGAAATTGAATTATACGAATCTGTAGAAACAGTTTTATCCTTACCATATGCATAACCCTTGGAATGCAAAAATATGAGAGCCTCAAGGATTTGTTTGCCATAAGTAGCCACCTGTTTCATTGAGAGTGCAGTTCTCCCCTTTGGATTGCCGTATTTGCTGAGAAATGGATTCTTTGGATTCGCGGCCATGCACAAAACATCCTTTAGTGTACCATGTTTATGGAACCTAAAAAACCAAGCTCTTATTTATGTTCGGCATTGATTAGTTTAAATACTAACTTTCTGATGACGAGGCATCCGTGTTCGGTGTGGGCGGCCAGAAGCACAGGCTCAATATGCGGATGCTGCAAACCCATCAGGCTTTTCATTATACCTCCTATTTCCTTCTCGTCGACGAACTTGTCCGGTCCATATTCGAGCCACTCCGCCACCACCTCGGCCCCAGGTTCCAGTGTGCCCGCATCGATGGAGTGACCGCTGCCGTTGCTGCTTCCGGCGGCGAAATGCTTGCTCTGATGGGTCTGCGAGCCGCTCTTAACCAACTGCTTGTTGCTGCTCTTCTCCGGCGGTTTGGGGGTAACCTTAAAATAGTGCTTCCGGAGGCGCCAGCCTATGGCACCCATACTTCCACCCAGGGACCAGGTCGGGTCGGTTCGTAAGCAAAGCATGGCGTTCTGCACGGCATGGTCTGCAGTGGATTCGAGGGAATAACGAATTAACGAAGAATTTGAAAGATAACTGGAAACAATAACGCACCGTGAAAGGACTGCGAGTAACTCTCGGGATCCACGAAGCGCTTGGCTGGCAGCGAGGAGGCCAGAATGGGATTCATTAGTACGGCGTTTATGTACACTTGCAAAGCTTGTTTCCGTTCAGCTACGAAGTCCGGGCGCATGTTACCAAAGATGCGCTTGCGAGGCAACGGCAGCTCGATGCCGGAGACACGGAGAGACTTGTCCAAACGGTCGAAGTCATTGTAGCGGCGCAGAACGGTCCAGTAATCCTTGTTGCTGGCGCCCCTCCACACGCGCAGCAGGTACTCCTGCAAGTGGACGAACAATCACACATGCGGCGATTGCATGAAATCATCAACAATTATTGATTTTTCGCTGGGGTCAGCAGCTCAGCCCCCTCCCTCACGATATGGTACCTACCGTATGTCCGGCGACCTCCTGGACGGCGGTTATCTCGCAGCTCAGCGCCTGGGTGTCGTCAATTGGCAATTTTTGTTCATATCTGCTCGCAAAAACGGCCATTGGACTCCTTTGGATACATTTTCTACTTTACTCAGCAAGCTGCGCTGCTCTGGACAAAAGTGTGTATGTGTGGGCTTTGTCTCCACCCTTTTTAGAGGCAGAACGGGGTGGACGAAACCCCGCAAAAATCGTTTGCGGTCCCTAAGCAAACACCGATTATTTGACACTTGCAGATAGTGTCTTTCGATTCCTAATCTTTTTTCAACCGAAATGGAGCCCCAAAAGAAATATTTTTTATAATCGTTACGCCCAGTGTTACACAGTTTTGCAATTTGGATACTGAAACGACGGGCGTTTTTCAGCACTAGATCAGAGCTGTCGGTTTTAAATATGTTATAGGCAAATTAATTTTTCCAGGGACTTCAAATAAATGTTAAAATTTAGTTTAAAAATTGTACATATTTGGTATAATTAAAATGTTTTTATCTTCTTCGAGCTTATAAGATGTTGTATTCAATTTGATAACTGAAATAAGTTATAGTTCACATAAACTGTTTGAGGTTGAAATGAATATTCCCCAAATATATCCAGACTTGTCTAAAAAAAAAGCTACGCGCTCATCACTGTTCCGGCTGGACTCGCGAGTTATCGATAACGGGGATGAGCTTGCGTTGTTGTTCTTAGATAGTGCGAAGTTATAGGGAATACAAGTGAACATGGCCGCAAACTACGCAAACAAGGGTTCAAGCAAGGGCATCACGACTGCGGTCCTGCGGAGCCAGCTTATGGGCCTAATCACCTTCAGCGGCACGCACAAGGACCAGGCGGACAAGTATCGCCAGCTGCTGAAGACGGTGTTGGCGAACACCGGCCAGGAGCTGATCGACGGGCTCCGACTCTTTGTGGAAGCCATTGTAAACGAACACGTTAGCCTGGTGATCTCGCGCCAGATCTTGAACGACGTGGGCGGCGAGCTGAGCAAGCTACCCGACGATCTGTCTAAGCAGCTCTCCCACTTCACGCTAGAGAAGGTCAACCCGCGCGTCATCTCGTTTGAGGAGCAGGTGGCTGGCATCCGATTCCACCTGGCCAACATCTATGAGCGCAACCAGCAGTGGCGCGATGCGGCCACAGTGTTGGTTGGCATTCCGTTAGAGACGGGCCAGAAACAGTACTCTGTGGAGTGCAAGCTGGGCACCTACCTGAAGATCGCTCGTCTGTACTTGGAGGACAACGACTCTATGCAGGCCGAGCTGTTCATTAATCGCGCCTCACTGCTGCAGGCCGAGACCAATTCTGAGGAGTTGCAGGTGAATCTCATCCATTAGTTAATTTCAAACCACAATGGCATCAGGAAATTACTCTTTTAAGGTGCTCTACAAAGTCTGCTATGCCCGTGTGCTGGACTACCGGCGTAAATTCATCGAGGCGGCCCAGCGATACAACGAGCTTTCCTACCGCAAAATCGTGGACCAGGGCGAACGGATGACGGCGCTAAAGAAGGCGCTTATCTGCACAGTTCTGGCCTCCGCCGGTCAGCAACGTTCCCGCATGCTGGCCACACTGTTCAAGGACGAACGTTGCCAGCATCTTCCGGCCTACGGCATTCTGGAGAAGATGTACTTGGAACGCATCATCCGGCGCTCTGAGCTGCAGGAGTTCGAGGCCCTGCTGCAGGAACACCAAAAGGCTGCCACTCCCGATGGCTCATCGATCCTGGATCGGGCTGTTTTCGAGCATAATCTACTGTCGGCCAGCAAGTTGTACAACAACATCACCTTCGAGGAACTAGGCGCCCTGCTGGACATACCGGCGGTAAAGGCGGAAAAGATTGCCTCACAGATGATAACCGAGGGCCGCATGAACGGGCACATCGACCAGATTTCAGGCATTGTCCACTTTGAGAACCGAGAGTTACTGCCGCAATGGGACCGACAGATCCAATCGCTGTGCTACCAAGTTAATTCCATAATAGAGAAGATAAGTGTCGCTGAGCCCGATTGGCTAGATAACCTGAACTGAACCCGGGTCTCGCCAACTCATTCACCCTCTCACCCTCATCTTTATAAAAGGCGGATTATCGGATTCTAAACGCGCCTGCAAGATTTCATTTTTAATTTATAAAAATAAATGAAATTATGTACATTATCGATCCTGTGGAACCAAAAAAAGAGAACACGGAAAACAGAATCTTCCATCTACCGATTTTTAAAAAAATTGTATTGTACCATATATATGTATATTTTCAGTAACTCGTATAATTCAAAAAGCTCTGTGTACAAAGGACTTTAGTTCTTAGACAACTATTGGAATGATTTGTATCCCAGGGATATACATAATCGAATATGTACACGATACAACTAGCTTATCGGGGCCATTTGGCAACAATTTACCCATGCTTACAACTCCAATACATAACTAGATTTAGGCTAATTACGTTTAAACAAATTCAACTAAACAAAATGCACGTCATGCAAGGCTTTGCGGTATTTTACAAGCGCAAAACGGGTCTGAGAGATGTGGTGGGAGGCGGGATGGGGAAGGGGTGAAAAGAAGGGCCTAAAAAGAACTTAGAACATAGCGTAGAATCATCCCTGGTTGGTGTTAGAGGTCTCCTCATTCAGCTGCATTTGGGCTAGTGTGCGTACGACTACTCCCCGATTTACGGGCGTTAAGCCTTGGCAGAGTCCCACCACAGCGTCCAGCGCTACGTCGGGGCAATCCTGCGGATTTAAGAAAAACCAGAAAGTCAGTACCGAGGCTCTCAATGTTTTGGACTGCTGTCTAACTCACCTCGAGCATTTTTGAAATGGTTGAAATAATGGCGTCCCGTCTGACGGAATTCACGTTTCGGGAAACAATGGATTCGGCATTGCTCTGCTCCTCATACCAGCCCACCATTTCCTCGTTTTTGTCCCACAGGTAAGCCTAATAAGAAAAATAGATATTGTAGGATTGCCTTGAGTGGATAGTCAAAGGCCTTACCTCAGTGGCTCCCTTTTCTTCTACGAGCCAGCGGCGCAGCATCTGCTTAGCCTGGCCCACGGAGAGATTGTCCTGGGCGCGCAGGATCTTTTTGATGTAAGCATCCTCGAGTAGTAGACGGCGCAGGCGCCAGAAGAGCCAGCGGCGAGAATCGCGCCAGGGAACAATTTCACTGATGCACTCCTTCTCTAACATCCTCTCAGGTGTGTCGTGCAGATCGGCAAAGTGAACTGCTACCGTGTGATAGACGTGCATCAAAACAGAGATGCGTGCCTTGATCTTTTCGTCCATCTGGGCAGCCTTGACCTTGTCTCCGGAGGCATTCGCATCATCGAACTCCTTTTTCAGCTGTAATAAAAATCAGAAATCAATTAGATTTTGGGATCTTATATTTTTTATATTTTAGAGCCTACCGCAATCGTGGTTGGATCCAAGCGATGTATCGTCTTGACCAGGTCCTTTTCTTTGTACTTAATCTCAACAATGCCCTCCGGCTCGAGCACTCCACCTCGTGCCTCCGGATCAGCATACGTTTCCATGTAACGCGGGTTGATGAGGGAATCCAGCACAGCCCAGGCTCCACCTCGCAGCTCGGCATTGGGAGGCAGGTAGATGAGCACCGGCTTCTTGTATTCCCTCAGGCCGTCGACGATGTAGGCACCGAACTTGACGATCTGCTCGTACATGTCCTTCATGCCGCCGGAGAAGCCACGCCAGTTGGCGAATACGATCAGCGGGAGCTCCTCCCGCCCAAAGTCCTTGATGGCTTGTGCTGTTTTATACGAGGAATCCGGATACCACACCTGACCCGCCTGCTGCAGGGTCTTGGCCTCCGAGTCGAGATTCGCGGGATCGGCGGGCATCTCAACTTCCACACTCCGTGTCTCCACGGCAATTACGCCCACGGGAACACCGCCCAGTCGAGCGCGTCCGGTGACGACCGTCTTGGCCCACGACGCCATGATTTCGCTCCACGAGTCGCGGTCGAAGAAGCCGTTCTCCCATTCGTTGGCATTCACGGGATTCACTCGGCCACCGAGCATCCAGCGCGGATCGTACGGCGACTTGGTGGGCATGAAGTCCACAGGTCGATCGATTCGATCGCTGGGCAGGACAATTGGCAGGTCGCACCCAATGTAGGCGGGGATGTAAGAGAGCCAGTCGAGGATGGTGTAGACGCCGTCTAGATCGATAGCCTCAGTCTTGTGCGTGACTCCGTTGTTGAACATAATCTGGGTGCCACCCAGTTGGTTGTTGGAGGCGTACACCTTGCGTCCAAGCAGCTGGAAGAAGAAGAAACCCGTTTAACAATCAGTTCTATGCAGTTTGATTATCAATGATGAGTCAAACTTATTTTTATTTTAAAGAGCAGAAGGCTCATCGAAATCAATATAATTTTTGCTTTCGTTTTGCTTACCTTGTTCAGCGCAGCGTAGCCCGTGAGTATAATGTGCGAGTTGTCGATTTGGATGACGCGCTGGCCTAGACGCACCACATACGACCCAATACCGATGGTGCGGCAGGTGACCATGGCGATGGTTACGATTTCCTCGTAGGCCTGTGACGTCTCACCGGCAATCAGACCAGCGTAGCGCAGGTTCTCCACGCCCAAGCCGTCGTCCTTGCCGATAATGTCGGTTATCTTGTAGCGCTGCTCGCCCTCGTCCTCGATGAGGATAGCTCTCACCGAATTTAAGCTGGCGACCTGTGCGTAGTCCTCGGTGGTGAGGTAGAGGTACTTGAAACCCTTGTCTGGCTCCTCTGGATCCTCCCATGCGATCTTGAACATTGCCTTCACCTCCTCAGCAAGTCCGATACGGGCACCGCTGTTCACGGAGATGTATATCTGAAAGATAGTCGTGGCGTGTTATAAGTTAAGGGAAATGGTTCAGATGAAGGCTACACTTACCCTGGGCACTTTGCGTTGGCGGGCCAACTGCGAGGCCTTGGCGAACAGCACGTCCTCCTTAATGCCGAAGGAACCAATCAGGTAGGTTAAGTCGTTGGCTATCACAATGATCTCACGGCCATTCGGGTATTCCGGAGTAGCCAGGACAATGCGCCAAGCTACCATGCCGCACTAAAATAAATAATTAAAATAATGTTGATCCTCCAAGCACATTGCCTAAGCTGTAAACCCACATTGTTTTCGCCAGGCAGACGCTGCATTTCTACCAGACTGTCGCCCTCAAGGACCAGCTCCTTGCACTCGATAAGAATCTTGTCGGGGATGCGGATGTCCACTGTGGGCCGCGCCTTCGAAAATTCCCTCCAGTGACGCTCGGTCATCTGGCGGAACATGTCCGGCACGTCATAGACATAGGTGGTGCCGTTTGACTGCGCCTGGAAGCGTTTCTGCTGCAGGAAGTCCTTGGTCATGTAGGGAGTGGAGATGGGATGACCGTGCAGAGATCCCTGCTTTTCTCCATAAGCCTTGAACTTGATCTGCAAATAAAGAAACAGATAATGTCAAGTATAATTCAAGATCAGCTTTTAGTTTCGGCTTACGATTCCTGTTTCCGGTTCCGTCTGTTCCGTGTACATGGAAATATCCAGGAAGTAGCCCGAGTCGTTTGCAATGCACAGACGCACTGCCTGAGTGGGTGACTGTGGCGACTGGCGGATGACCATCTTGAGCTCAGCCTGCAGCACACGCAACTTCCACAGACGGGGACCATAGCGCATGATCATCTTTGTTACGGATTCCTCAATCTTTGCCGGATCCATTATGACGGTGGGCACAAAGTTCAGGAAGATGTGGTTGCAGTCGGTGCGCTTGGCGTGCGGGTGCGAGAAGGCCACCTCCAGCTCATCCATGGCCTCCAGTAGCACGCGCTCTCCTTCGTTCTGCAGATATTCGAATGATGCTTCCTTGGTGATCAGATCCGAGTGGCGAATGATCGAGCGAATAAAGAATCGGTAATCCGTGACCTCCTGACCCTTGGAAACCTTGGCCTTGCCGAGATAGAGATGCATCTTCTGGTTAGCCGTGGGCAGAGCCTCAAGGTCGTATGTCTTCATGCGATTCAGTTCGAGGTGGAAAGCAGACGCAGGCTCCAGATGTCGGTAAATACGATCTTCCGTGAACTTGTCCCTGGCTCGATAGGTGAAGAACTTCGGGAACTGTCGCTTCTTCAGAGCGGCGAACGTAATCCTGCGGATGCGCCGCTGGAAAAGCTCCTCGTTGTGCTCCTGACAGTAATTGCCAAAGATCTGGGCCATCTGCAGATCATCCAACTCTCCGGTTTCCCTCACTGCAACGCTAACGATATGAATAGGTTCCGTGGACTTGGCCTCCTCGGCAGCATTAGCCCGGGTCACGGGATCCGACAGCGATACGTTGATCGAGGTGCTGTGCCGGCTATCCGAAATGGAGTCCGCCGCCTCCACGGCCTCCAACACCTTGGCGTTGACCATGGCCGGCGAGACAAAGTCCTCCAACAGATCCAGAATTTCGTCCGAGTACATCTCGAAGTGCTCGAAGGAGTCAAAGGCCGCTATCGCACCAGTGCGCACGAATGAGTTTCCCAGGGACTCGGCCGCCGCCTGATCCAATCCATCGGGCGAGGACATGCGCGAGAACAGCCTGTTCGGATGAGCGGTGGGAAGGAGGAACTGGAAGTGCACCAGCGGCAGACCGCCGGAGAGCTCCAGATGCTGCAGGCAAGTCAGCTCGTAGGAGGTGTAGGCTCTCCTCACATAAACCTCCAGAGCGGCGTTGCACACAGCGCGGTTAGAGTGATAGAAGAAGTCGTGCAGAATGTCGAATATGGACGTCTCAGACAGAATTAGGCGTTGCAGGTTCTCCGGGTGGAAATCATGGCCGTACATGTCGACGGCCGACAAAAAGATCGACTCCATTTGGTTGTGGCGCAGCTCGTAGGCCGGCTGGTGGGCAGCGATAAGCACTTGGCGGGATCGCAGAGCCACCCTCGAGTGCTCCGCTCGGTTCAGGGAGGTCAGTTCGCTCAGCGTGTTGGCCAGCTCATCCGTCAGTCCGGGTTCGTTGGCCCACAGGTGATCGATGAGCAGGGTGACCAGCAGATTCTTCTTGGCCACCTGGGAGTGCGAGAAGATGGTGTTGACCACCGTCAACATGTCGTCCTTGTGGTGCTCCCGCACCAATCCCACGCACTTGTCGTAGTGGCCGTGCTGGAACTGCGACTCCACGTCGTAGTACTGACGCAGCAGCTCGTGCACGGCGGCCTTCATTCTGCCGCGGATGCCATTCCGGTAGCGTTGCACCAGCTGCACAATGGTCTGGGTGGTCAGGAAGAAGACGTCGCGGTCAGCACGCTTCTGCAGCGTTGCCGCATGACTGTCGATTACGCTCGCGATCTGTTGCGATGGAAACTGGGCCAGGACACTGGTGATGTTCCGCTCGTACAGCGTCATCAGCTTGCGGATCTTCTTCTCCACGGAGATGGGGATGCGGCCCGAAATGGAGGCGATAACCTCCTGCAACTCCAGCAGAGGCAGAGAGGGATCTCGCAGGCTCTGCATGAACTTCTCGATGATGTCCCTTAGTCGCTGGGCATTGAACGGCTCCGGCAGGCAATAGCCAGCCAGCGTGTTTTCCAGGATGCTCTTGTAGGTGTTATGCACCCTATTCAGCTTCTCCGGCACTGGAGCATTCTCCGGCTGCGTGAACTGGCCCTTAAATGGCTGCGCCTTAGTGACCAGCGAGGGATCGTCAAGCTCAAGATGGCCCAGCAGAGATCCGGCATCCAAAACTGCTCCCGGGCGACGCACAAACGTCACTGTGCCCGCCTCTTGAGAGGTGAGAGTCATCACCATCTTCATCACCTCAATCTCAGCGAAGGCCTGACCCTTGGCCACATGGGCTCCATCCTCGACGAGCATATTGATGAGCTTTCCCGCCGACGGACTGCGCAGCAGCGAGGGGTCGTTCTCCTTCTCGAAGACGCAGGTCTGGTTGCCAATCACGATGCGGTAGCGATCTACCTCCTCTTTCATGTACGTGGTGTAGGAGGCACCCTCCAGGGAGATGAGCAGACCCCCGTCGGACAGGCGGTGAACTTCGATCTCCTTGAACGAGCTGTTCATCAGCAGAAAGTACGAGTTGGCTCCGCTCTTGGCAGCCTGCACCTTGTAACGGATGCCATCGTTGATGAGCTCTACATCCACGACGTTGGTTAAAGTGTTGGCCGCCTGGATTTGACCCTTTTCCAAAGAGGTCTGGAAGCTGGAGAAGCTTTCGGTGATCTGACGATCTGCGATGTGCAGCGATCCGCACATCACGCCCAGCAGGATGTCCGGTTTCTCGGACTGCACACGTTCGGCAATCAGGGCATCTAACCAGGCGGTGTCGATACTGTTGTCCAAGAAGCGATTCGTCTCCAGAAGAGTAATCAGGTACTCCACAGTGGTTCGGAAATCACCACGAATGGACAGCTCCTTCAGGGCAATCACCAAATTCTCTCGAGCCTGCTGACGATTCTCGCCCCAGGAGAAACAATGTCCAAACTGGGAGTCGGCGAACTCGTGCAATCCTCCACTGGCGGCCACACTGAAGTAGCCCCACACGTTCTTGCTGGAGCGAAAGTTCAGCTCCTGCACGGTTCCCGAGCTGGGCTTAAAGCCCTCGTCGGGATTTTCAGAGGTGATTCGAGCAGCGATGACATGACCAGAGGGACGAGGCTTGTTCGGAGGGCTCTCGAAGTCAATGACAGAGGAGCCCCATGGAGATTCTCCGTACAAAAGACGGATGTCCTTGAGCCGATATAGCGGAATTCCCATTCCAATCTGGAGCTGACAGGCGGGCAGATTCACATCAGCCACCATCTCGGTACACGGATGCTCCACCTGCAGACGCGGATTCAGCTCCAGGAAGAAGTAGTGTCCCTCCTGGTCGTACAAGTACTCCACGGTTCCGGCGCTTACGTAGCCCACCATCTTGGCCAGTCGCACTGCGGCCTTCTCCATGTCCTCAAACACCTCCGGCTGGGCCACGATGGCAGGGGCTTCCTCGATAATCTTCTGATGGCGTCGCTGGATGGAGCAGTCACGGCCAAACAAGCTGATGGCGTTGCCGTACTGATCCGCCAGCAGTTGCACCTCCAAGTGACGAGCTCCGCGGGCCAGCTTCATCACGAAAATGGGTGATCCGGGCACCTCGGCTTGGACCTGGCGGAACAAACCCGGAAACTCCTCGGAGGTGTCTACGCGACGAATGCCCTTGCCACCACCTCCCTCCGAGGCCTTGATCATCACGGGGAAGCCTGTGGAAAAGGAAACACCGGTTGCATTTTCATCAAATCTGGATAAACTTTGTGTCACTCACCAATCTTGCTAACTGCGGCCAGACCCTGTTCCACATTGGTCACACATCCGCGGGCGAAAAGCTCGCTGGATATCTTAATCTTCTTGCCACTGTACTGCGCCTTCAGGTCGGAGCCGGACCACGGCAGGGTGGGAATCTCAGCCGTTTGGGCAACAATTGAGGAGGCCACCTTGTCGCCAAGCGCCCACATTGCACGTTCCGGGGGGCCAAGGAACACCAGACCCTCCTTGTTGAGCAGCTCTGGCAGCTTTGGGTTCTCGGAGGCATGACCCCAACCAGCCCACACAGCCTGCAATCATAAACGGTTCATAAACGGGTTCATAATCAGTTCATTTCAATATAATGAGCCCCAATACCCCAAGGACAGCGGAGTGGGTGTGAGTGTTTGGAAAATTATGGAGCTTTATTGTTGGTAAAAATCAATCGTGACGTCATTGCCGCGTTCATCGACAATGCCGGATAGCGAAAAAAATAGATAATTCACACTGAGCAACAAAGTGCCGTCACCTTTGCTAATTAACCTCAAGTACAATAGTTACAGGAACGTAAACACTAGAGAGTTAATTTCCACTTCCAAGTGGTTTCAATGCATTCCAATCAAAACACCCATTCTCTAGTTAGGTTGTCCAAGGTTCGAAAGGAGAAATAAATGGGCGTCTTAGATTACAGCTGAAGAAGTTTAATTTAAAAGTTATCTTTGTAAGACTTGAACAACTCTGCAGTTGATATATGTGTAGAACAATTATAGATTTGTAACTACATATTATCTTTTAATGTTGGGGAAGCTCAACATTGTAGTATTCTCTACTGCAATGTATGCATATTCAAAAAGTGTTTAAGGTATTTGTTTAGAGCTAATTGACACGTACAATCGCTTACACTTTGGAAGTGTCCGCGAAAAAAACCTAAACGTAAACCTCCATAAAACACATTTAAATTGCTGTCGAACGAACTTTATACCGTAAGTAATTGCAGAAATTGGGCTGGGCGGAAGGCTCAAACTTTGTGCATATCTCCAAGTGAGGCAATAAACAACAATTCCCTGGATTTTAAGACACAATTTGTAGCACAGTGTTGGCTGACACATGCCAAAATGCCGGCCGCCGCGAAAACACACGAACACAAATAGGGGCTCTTTTTATTTGTATGCGCTACGATCGCTTGACTTTGCTAGTTTCCCTCCGATTGACGGAGTGCAAATACAAATCGTACGATGCGTTTTAGGTGGAGCCAGCCAAACTAAACACGGACCGGCATTGGCCACTTCTATGGCGGTGGCCCCCAGATTCCGGACTCACCTGCACTTGGGTGCGAAGCGCAATGTCCACAATGAGCTCAACGTTGGCGTAGTTGTTGTTGTTCGATCCGCCGGGCACGGGCACGTAGTGATCCGCCATCTTGATGTACTCGGCGTTCGCCTTCAGATCCTCCGGCGTGACCATCACCACAAACCGAATGGCCCGCTCGTTCTTGAACATCTCGTAGGCCCATCTCCGGATGGAACGCATGCACTTGACCGCTGCAATTCCATTGTTGGCGATCAGTACTCGGTTGATCACACGGGTGCCGCCGAAGCGCTTCACGAACTCCTCGGTGGTGGCGATGTGGAAATCTCGATCCTGATGGCGATCCTGGCCTAGACCAGTGCCTCGGGACATACTCGGCCTGGAAATTACATTGGAAATTTGGTAAGTAAGAGGTTTTGCCAACAAAACAATTATAATAATTTCTATTAAAACAAATGAGGGAAAGGATTCAATACAAATCCTGTGTGTACAGTAAGTAAAAATTTTTGGAGTGTATTTAATGTTTTTAAAGCTTAAAAAATTTGTGAAACCAAAGTGCAACCTATAAACATTAATTGGAAATTCCTGACCCTTTTTGAAACCCTTAAAAATATGGCCACAGCCACCATCCATTGGAGTTTTCAATTTAAAGTAATTAATTCAAACCCGAACTCATGCTGATCAGTGTAGATAATGGCGCGATGAGACAGGTGTAGAAAAGGGAGGGGCGGGCACATGATGGGAAGATTTGACAAAACCGGTTTTGCTGACACGATCAAAAGTTCTTGCACATAATTCGCTTTTGTTTACAACTTGTCGACGAATAACGAATAATGCATTGCAATAAACAAACATGAGGATTTCATATGAGATTTACTTCAGGGTTCCCACCACGGGCACATTGAGCAGCGATTGCGACGACTGGTTGTTAGCGTTATGATTGCTGATGCTGGCACTCATCTCGCTGGCATTGTTATTGTTCTCGTTCTGACCGCAGTCCACTGCCACAAATTGGGGTATAGCTGGGCCCGAGCCCGATCCCGATCCCGTTCCCGAGCCCGATACATTGGCGTTCTCTTCACCGGACTCAACAAGTACGAATCGCTTGCTGGCGCGACGCTTCAGCATTCTTATAAGCTCCACGAGGGCCAATAGCATCCAAAAGGGGGCAAAGGTGAGCTCTGGCAGGGGATCGCCGTTTTTTGGGGCTCCTCGCAATTATGCAAGTGTGACTAATAATTTTTTGCTGACACTGCTGCACCACTTTCACCGCGCTCCGACGGCCGAAAAAAAACACACACAAAAATCAATGTCGAACGATGTCCGCACACGCGAGAAACTTATTTGGGCAATGGGTTGGGGCTTCTGGGTTGTGTTTTCGAATTTCTGGGGATTGCGGAATGCGGACTGGCGGAGCCGACGACTGCCTGGGAACTGAACTGAACCTCGGAGCGGGCCAACTCTGCTGTTGGCCACCATCGCTCATACGCCGCATTGGCCGGAGAAGCGTTGAGACCGAAAGAGCGAGCCAGCCGATGGCAAAACAAGTTTTAAACATTATGAATGAAAACAAAATGCGGCGTTCCCACATGGACTCTCTCTCGGTCGCCCCATCTCACTTTTTCTCTCCATGTTTGCGCACAGCGAAAGGTTCTCGGAAAGCTAGGAGACTGCCTCTCATTCGCACTCACGGCTGCGAGCTTTGCGCCGTCTCTTTTCCCTAAACTCACGCGATATGTTTGGCGGCGTTTGCCTGTGACGCAGTCACCTGTTCTTTGTTTTGCTCGCTACACTGAGCGGAAATATGAATCATTATCTTTAATAAGGGCTTTATTATTGAAATGGTCTATCAAATCTATCTTTTTAAATTGAATGTCAAGTTGTACTTCGTCAAGAACTTATCAAATCGATTTGAATTTCAAGTGTTTGCGTTGCTTTAAATACTAAATTGATCCGCACCCTACTTTGAAATTGGTATTAAGCTGCTCACTAAAGGGGACGTTGTTCCCAATTGCAAAAACAATGTATATCCTATTTACCTAATACATATTTTTTTTAATTTGGGTTAGCCCTTTTCACTTACCTTAACCGCTTGCGACGCTCGGAAATGTCGTTACCCTGACGAATATCGCTCTGCATCTTCTGGGGGAACTCATCGCAGGCCTCGCCAGCCTCGGCGGCCTTCTCATCGATCTCGTCGCCCACCTGTGGGATGGGATAAATACAAAATCATCAGTGATGGTGCCAAATGTTTGGGACTACAATTTCTGTACCAAAAAGCTGGGCCTCTCGCCTTCCGCCGATTGGACTGCCGTGTCGTTGGACTCATTTGTTTCGCTCATTTTGCTTATGTTGATGTCAATGTTGTTCAGGTTATTGTTCTTATTCTTGCTGATGCTGTTGTTGTTGTTCTGATGGCAGGTAATGCGGATGTTGTCGTTGCTCAGGTCAGTCAGTGCGCTATCCTGCAGCTTTTCGCACAGCTCCTCAACGTCGGACTTAAGGCTCTCGCTGGAGAACTTGACTTTTTTGATACAGGCCTTTGGAATTCGCTTTTCTCCCGCTTTAACGGCTGCTGTTACTGCGGATGATGGTGTTGCTGATGCAGCCGAGGGATTTCTAATTGTTGTCGTTGTTGTTGCTGTAGCTGCAATCACGCTGGAGCTGTCTGCAATCACAGATTAGAAACGAAAGTCAGGTTAGGCACAGCTAAAAGTCATATACACATTATAGACTAATTAAATTGGGTTATCAGCTAGGTGTGCGATTTGTGTGCCCTTCAAGTGTTTCGATTTAACAAAGTTGTGGATTCTTACGATTCGTTTTGTTGTTGTCGCTGGCGCTAGTTGTTGCTGTCGTGGCCGATGCTGTTGCTTCCGATTGGATTGGTTTGAATCTTTTCTGGCCGCGGCCAAAGATCAATGTCAAGAGGAATGCGAGAAAAGCAGCCAGAGTGCCTAATAGTGTGATCAACATCGGCTATATCCAAAAAGCTGCTTTGAATCGGTGAATGCAAATCGGATTAGATAATCGTGTCTTCAGTCTGGCTTTACTTCATTTTCATTGTGAAGCAGTGAAAGTGTCTGTGCATTGCTAAGGATTTCGCATCATCTCTTTTTTGATACTTTTCAAGTTCAAAAACCTTGCCACGAATTGTAGGCCAAAGCGGCGAAACAAAACAAAATAAAAATGCTAATCTATGCATAAACTAGTTGGTCAGATACAATTAAGAAACCGAAAAAACCATATAAGACACAAAAATAAATCGTTGCCAGGTCAATGATAAGAAGCATGTGTAACGAATGAGATATACGCTATCTGAAATAACTTAAGATCGGGGAGTGTTAATTGAATCGAGATTATTAACTACAATTAAATAAGCTGAATGTGACTTGCCATTGATCTAAGCGCAAGTAAAAGGTGATCTGTCGAGCCATATATTTAGCTATACTTTTGCGTAATCATTGACAGATTATTAGGCGCCGATTTCCGACTAACATATACTTAGCTTGAAATCAACCACTTAAAAAATTCCATATATTAAGTGGGTTTCGCAAATAGTTTACAAAATACTGTACGAAAATACAGGAGCTTTGTGTTTTCCAGGACAAAAATTTAAGATTGCTTTGCTAATGAACACCCTTATACCCTTTGCGCAGGGTGATACAACTTTTAAACACGAAAATTCATTTTGGATATTGGGGGTACAATGTGCAGCGCATTAAAATTTTAAACAAAACGCAGAAGAGTGCCAAAAAGAAAATGGTAAAAATACAATCTGACAGAAAAAACCCCTCGATACACAACATCGAAATGCAAATTGGCTTCGCCAGTGGAAGAGGTCAATGATTTTGCCATTACAGTGTGTAAGTGTGCCAGCCAGCGGGGCTTTCAAAGACACGGAAAGGTGAATTAGACCCCGGAATCGAGCTCGAAAACGATCGGGGTGTTATGTAACGCCTGGCGGCAGGCGCCTTAATCGGAAATCGCACAGAGAACTAAGTTTTGGGTAACACTACGCGTTAAAAACGACTCAACAGGTGTGTAGCTCCGCACTCGGATTTCTCTATAAACAGCCCCCAAAGTGGGAGTCGTATGTTTTTGTTTTACCGATCTTACGATAAGCGCTTGAGGACTGCCCATATGTTCTCCTTACTCAACAACCGAAAGAACTGAAATCTTTCTAGCTGAACGATTATCTTTTGGGCAACACTTTTCGGAACCTTGACTGGGTTTTTATTTGGTTTTGTTTTAGCTTTAGTTTATTTGTAGGTTTTACGTTTTACCACTCTGCGTGTGCCTTTGTCTAGTTTTGTGATGTGAGTTTTGAAGACGAGGTCGAATAGAATCGGATCGTATAGGATCGGTTTCCACTCCCTAGACTGACTGGTTCCGCACGATTTCTAGATGGCAACTGCAGTGACCGACGCTTGGAACTCAACTGGGCCATGCTCGTCCGAAAAGGCACTATCGATGCCTGGACGCCGCCGCTATTCGCTGTTCGCAGTTCGCTGTCGACGTCGCCACTATCAATATCAACTATAGCTATGGCCAGCTTTTCGTGTTCGGGCCTGTGTTTGTGCGTGTTCAGGTTGTTGCGCTCGTATGTTAATCGCCGGCGGGTCTCGCAGGTCGCCAAGCCAATTGTTGTTGTTTTGTTCCCGGTGCCGGAGTGACCAAAAGAACATACAAGTGAGCCACACTAATTCGAACAGAAAAACGGTCGAATTAAGCTGGGAAATCTCTGCCATTAAAAAAATTGTTTTATTAAGGTGGCAAAAATGATGACGACACGTACTGTACTGTACTGTCGGTCCAAGTGATCTCTTTTTATTGCGAAATAACTAATAAATATGCGAATATAAACTCTAAAAATGCGTTATCCACTTTATTATTATACTTAGCGGTCTGAGGTGGTAAATTTAATTCTAAGTATATAAGCTTGTTTATACGCAAAACCTAACATACTTGTAGTGTCTTAAAGAGATTATTGTTATTTCTTTTTTTTGACATCTTGATTGTACAATACCGACTCATTTTTAATACCGACCTAACCTAACATAGAGACTATCTCTATATCTGCCAGCGCCATGGCTTAAAAGTTGTTTAAGGTTTTTTTTATTTCGTATTCACTTAATATACCACATTAAGTGGTTAGAGGAAGGTTTTCTGATTTACCTAACGCACATATATTACCATTTAGACATAGAACACACCCTTTTGCTAGAGTAGAATTGATGTTAATTTTTTTTCCAAACTGTTTTCATGAATAAATAAAACAACAACACACACAAACGCTTTTAAAATAAAACCAAAACAAATTTAACATTTTTCAATTACATTTTCATTACAGTAAGACAGTAGTTTTAATTTTAATAAGCGAACTAAAGTTCATAAATCCCCCTTAGGAAAGTTTCCTGTTCATGGGCAATTGCTTGTGGTGACCAGTTTCAAACAGTCTGCAATTGATAAACCCCGATAAGAGCGATATGTCGATCTTGATCAGCTGTTGCCAACAAGCTGTCTTTCTCACTCTCTCTAGAGTCTAGACTACTCTCCGCTCTTTAAACTGTTTCCGTACGACTGTTGCAGCTTTTCAATGTCAAGGTCGCCTATAGTGTTTTCAGCCTTGTTGTTGTTATTGTTGCTATACCTGCTGGATGTTATCTAAAAGTTGACCCTTCTGCTGACGGTAATGCACTCTACGAAAAACAAAAACAGCACTACAACACCATAATTTCTCAATTTGCTAGCGTAAGTGGCAAGCGATGCTGATTAGGGTTAAATGAGCGAAAACGCCAGAAATTGATTAGCGCGTTGCACTTGAAATCGAATTATTAAATAATTCAGTCCGCTGCCACGAGCAGAACACGCAAATCGAGCTGATTTGTTTTCATTTTTTTGTGCGGCTGCTCCCGGCATCAGCAGAGGTTTTTTAAAAGTCATAAAAGAAATTCCCGACGCGACGCCCGCTTTAATCTGAGATAGGCGGACGCCTGAAAAATCTTCCGATTTCGGCATTGGCCTTGACGACCGATTATGATTAATACTTAGTGGTGACGGTCTCGAAGGCTCAAATCTTTCCCGGGATCTTATCGCGTGGAAATTTTTTTGTATTTTATTTTTCGATTTTGGTCGAATTATTCATGTTTGGCGCGTGGCCAGAACAAAACCGTCAACTGATATCACCTCCAAATAATAATAGAACCGAAAGTCGGTCGCGTGTGAAACGCCTGATTTCGATGGGCTTATCTGTAGAATTTCTACACAGCACCAAATTAACTTTGTAGGTAAAATTTCAAGATCAACTAATCTGGGCTTTATTATTTTTTTATTATTAATATTTAATTTAAAAAATAAATAATTTATAAATTTTAAAAGTAAATATGCACATACATATTTATGTATGTATATTATGTAAATAGATGCGTATTTAAGTTACAAACTGAAATATATTAACGAAACTAGACATCTTACATTTTAATAAGAAACGTAGCTTTTCATTTTTTTCTGTGCACAATTTGTTTTCTAAACATCTGAACAACAGACAAGAAATGTTTGTGACCGCCAATGATTTGATTATCGTTAGAGATTTGTTGAGACTGTTTATTTGACAAAGATATTTATCTTTATTCCGGTGTGCATTTTTATAAAAGGTGCATTACCCTTAATTATTTCCCTCTGTGTAGGGATGCATAATCTCCAATTTAGTTCTTATTAGGTAATTGAAGCCGGCTGACACAAACACACACTGATTCACATACATACGTCACGGGCATCGCGCGATGTGTAAAATCCAATAGGAATCAAGGTCAGTAACGAGTGAGAGAGCAAGAGAAAAGGACGGGAGAGCAAAAGTAGGCGAGCATATTGAAGATGAAAAGAATGGGAATTTATGCTGTGCCCATTGCACTTCGATTTAAATCCGCACTTTAGCCAACGAATTCAAATGATAAACAAACGTGGTTCCTGATCTGCATATGCCTATGCTGACGGGTTATTCACCCCGCTTATTTGCATATATGCGCATACATTTCGATTCGGGCTGTAATTACCCGTTTAGCGCTTAGATTACCGCACTTACTCTTCTCCATCGCACTGCGCTTCGCACGTTTCTTTCGGTTGGCAATTTTGTTGTGTGTAACTGTTCTTTTCCGGGTGCAAAACTGTCTCTTTTCGGACCTTGGGGCCTTGACTCCCCGATTTGTAAATTCTTCGCGGTTCCCAGACGGGCGTCGTTGCACGGCTGATATGTTATCAGGTTGTGATCGACCGCTGCGCTGTGTTTTGTTATTTTCGGCTGCTTTTTTTATTCGTATTTCACGCGAATTTCAGACCACTCGGTCAGAGTGACCATTTGTCTGAAAATACTGAAAAAATACTGGCCAAGGTGGGCAACAGCTGTTCGGCGGGCATAAGCCAACCCTGTTTTGTCAGGGCGGCATTAGCGGCGCAGATATTTCGGCGCGTGCATTTTATAAACAAGATTTTTGACAAAAAACTGCATTTTTGAGCATGTTTGACGTGGAACCCATAATTGCGGATCACAAGGATGTGATACATGATGTAGTCTTTGATTACTACGGCCGCCGGATGGCCACCTGCTCCAGCGATCAGACAGTAAAGGTTAAGAGTTGTGTTTGCTGCCATAAACAACCTATTTTATCCGGAACTTTTGGTTTCAGATCTGGGACGAGGACGGTCAGGGAAAATGGAATGTCACTAGCAGCTGGAAGGCACATTCGGGATCCATTTGGCGCGTGTCCTGGGCACATCCGGAATTCGGCCAGGTTGTGGCCACTTGCTCGTTTGATCGCACCGCTTCCGTCTGGGAGGAGGTGATTGGCGAGAAGGTCTCCGCCACGAACGCCCCCACACGTCGCTGGGTTCGTCGCACAACGCTGGTGGATTCCAGGACCAGCGTCACCGACGTGGAGTTTGCGCCAAAGTACCTTGGACTTCTACTGGCAACAGCCTCCGCCGATGGCATCATCCGCATTTATGAAGCCCCGGATATCATGAACCTCTCTCAGTGGCCAGTTCAGCACGAGATTGCTAACAAGTTGCCGCTGAGCTGTTTGTCCTGGAATACGTCCACCTACATGGTAACCCAGCTGCTGGCGGTAAGAAAACTTAGAGCAACAAAAACATTTAGTTACTATAATCTAAGATGTTTTAAACTATCAATTATTTAAAGGTTACATATTTAGAAACCTAAGATAAAAGATATTTAGATCATATCTACTTATTCCTTAGCGTCCTTCCTCAGCCCGTTTTTCACAAATTGTTAATATTTTATTATGATTATGCATTGCAAAATCCAAATCAGGCCAGAAAACAATATAAATAGGAATCTTATAAGTTTCTATAAACTAAACCTTAGTTTTATGTAGATAATGAAATATTTAAAATTATTGATCTATTTGAAGGTAAAAGTATCTGAATAAAGTTGGGACAATTTAAACTATGAAAGGGTAGTAAGGAAAGTATTAAGGTCACATTTTTAAAAGAAACTAGTCTTACAGAAGAAGCTACTACTATTTAATATTTCTTCTTTTTTCTAGGCGGGCAGCGATGAGGCAGCTACTCCTACCGGGAAAGTTTTTTTGTTTGCCTACAGCGAGAACGCCCGGAAGTGCGTGAAAATTGAGACTGTTAATGACATAACCGACCCGGTTACGGATGTGGCCTTCGCCCCCAACGCAGGTCGCACCTTCCACATGCTGGCAGTGGCCAGTAAGGATCTCTACATCGTAAACCTACGCGGCGTGACGTGAGATCGAGAACAGCCCCCAATAAAAACCCATAACTAATGAGTTTACATGTTTTAGGGACGCCACCGGCAACTCTAAGCTGGACATCCAGACCATAAAGTTTAGCGAGCACAACTGCCCCGTGTGGCGCGTCTGTTGGAACATGTTGGCCACCATGCTGATCTCCACGGGCGACGATGGATGTGTTCGTCTCTGGCGGATGAACTACAATAGGCAGTGGCGCTGCGCCGCAGTGCTAAAGGCGGAGGGCAGTGGACCCACCTATGAGCCTGCTCCGCCCACACCGACGCTGGCCACCACAGCCTCGGCCACGGCGAAATTCTACAAGAAGGGCACTATCGGCAACCAGGTGCCATGGCACTGATCTTGTAATAATCGTAAAAGTCCGAATAAAATGTTAAGCTTAAATTCTTGAGTTTTGTTTTAACAATGGGTAAATACTTTTTAGATTCTTTTCTAGTTATTTATCTCTGACCTAAATGGCGGCTATAATATTTAAAAAAAGTTGTTTCATTATAACATATAACTTAAGTACAAAAAAGATAAAACATTTTCAAATCAACTTATTTTTGGAACTAAAAATCACTTTTTCGAAAGATCTAGTGGCCCAGAAAAACTTATCCAGTAAATGTGTTGTATTAAACCGGCAACCCGTAACCCATTTCAAGAATTGCCTTGACAATATTATGTTGATCCCACTTACGTCTCGAGATATGAGCCGGCATTCTGATAAATCCGATAAGAACCTTTCTTGACCACATCTCTAGTTTCGTTCTTGGTATTCTATAGATCGCGTTCCCTTGGTCATTTTTGCATTACATCACAGAAACGTGGAAAACTCGGGGAAGCAAATGCATTTGACACTAACGAAAAAAACGGGCTGTTGCTTAAACTTCTGCCGGCAAACTAAAACAATTATTGATTTAGGACGACTTTCCCGCAAATCGTAATATCAAAACAAAATTTAAGTTCTCATGACAAGAGCGAGCACTAAAATAATAATAATAAGAAATGCTCTCTCTTGCGTCATATGCGTGTGTGTGCCTGAGAGTGTGTAGAGCGGTAGATCTGATATGCTAGCTATTTTTAAAGACCCACATTGCTGGCAAAATCGAGACATCGTACGGCAACTAGAGCAATAAATAAGAAAACGCATTTTCGAGTTCAGTGGTTGCATTCAAATCAAACGGCTTTATTAACTTTTATTTATGGGTTATGTGAGATGGATTAACCCCTCACATGGGAACAAAATCAATGGATAATAAAATCCTTTTTAAGTGCATTTCCATTCTATCCACATGTGCATAAATTAAATATTACACACAACAAGTGCCCACAGCAAGGTTTTTATGATGTTAAACACGAAAAACCATTCAGAAATGTCGCGAAATATTCCACTTAATTGACCCGAACCGCAATAAAAATAGGATTCATTTCACTTTCGATGACACCACACGATTATAATGATATGCAACCACCCCGAGTGCCGAGTACCGAGTACCGGTCGACTCGGACTCCTGGTCCTGTTGCTCTGCTGGTAATCCAAGGAATGAAATCCCGTCCGACCAGCTCGATGGTTTATGTAGTCACTGCCGCCGCCGAGTTATAAAACCACCCCGCATCGATATCAGAAGTACCCCTGTCCCAGATCCGAATGATTGTCTCTAATTGGAAGTTTTGACGTGTGTATTATGCTAAAGGCGATGGTGTTGACGCCGATCTCGCAGCCGAACCACCCTTAACACATATTGTAAACGGTGTACAGTGAACCCAGTAGACCCCGGTGGGTGGTGGTTCGCACATCGCGTGGGAAGTCAAAGCTCAGGGGTCTCCCACATACATAGCTGGCAAGGCGGTACGTCCCAAAAACATTTATATGTGTTTAACCGGCAAAAATAATTTAATGCGCAAAAGATTGTTTCTTGTTTTTTTTAGGGGTGATTTAGAACGTTCCCACATTCCATAGACAGTAATTTCGGTTGCTCGGTTTCAATGTAATTTCGGTTTCAAGTGATTTTTTGGTGTGGGCTCACGCATTTAATTGCAAAAAGTGAAATTGTATTTCATTAAGTTAAATTGTTCAGCCCAGTGGGACCTTGTGCACTATTCATTTACTACCGGTTAAATTATTAAATCTCTTTTTTACTTTAATCGTAGGTATAATTAAGTTATTAAACATAGGTATTTAACCTAACATAGGTCACATTTTTCAAGGCATATAACTAACTAGATAAGAAAGATGACTAGACTAAAAAACGTAACTATTGGTAAACCTTTTTTGAGATGAAATATTTTTATAACAACTGTAGTCGTTTTCTCAAGCAAAGAACTAATGGATTTCATTGAAATTTTCAGATTGTGTTTTTGTGTGTTTAAATGACACAACTAAACGTAATGCAAGGAACTGTTTTATGGGCAACTGAAGTGACTTGTTCCCAAAACTTATCTCGCTCTACGGCTTACTTCACAACCAAAACCAATTACTCATAAAAATATAAAGCCCCTGCAACAACACGTGGAGTAGTTCCAAGTAGATTGGCTACCCATGCATACTTGGCCACAAAGCACCCTGAACTAAAGTAATGTGACGGCGCATATTAATATATTTTAACCCTGCTACCTTTATTATGCAGTTTCCCTTTCAAGGTTTATGTTTCTGGAGTGCCGACAAGATCCTGGGCTCGCATGGTTTCCAGTTTTTCCCGAAAAAATCCCGTTTCTCCTGCGGTTTTGGGCTTGGACTTCGGAGTTCGGGGTTGCGACCCCAGCACCTTGCTAACCCCGCTTCCTAATTACGCGAGGGGAGTGTGCAGCCGGCTTAACTAACCGCCGCGGATTGGTTGCCCACGGGCTTAGTTAGTTGCTCGGAAATTCCCATATGCATATGCAAATTTTACAAACCGTGAGCGGCATTCGTTGACCCCCCAGCGCCGGTTGACCAGCGGTCAGCGGTCCGCCGTTCGCGGTCTCCGATCCAATGGTCCAGCGGTCTAACGAGCACAGTGGCAGCTTATTAGATGCGGATTATCTCCACTTCAATGGGTTGGAAATGTACAGAAGGAGTACATAAAATATGAGTTGAATTTAGAAAATGGTTAAAAAGGATTCCAAGCAGTTTCCAAATGATTTCGGATTGGGGCATTACTTTTCATCATCATCATTCGGCAGGTAGCCGAATCTCATTCGCGCCTGTTCGTAGAGCATGAAGGTCATGATCGTGTTGGGACTGACCCGAATGAGGGCCGGGATAAAGCCGCGGTAGAAGCCCAGTGGACCCTGCTTGGCGATGCTGAGGCAGGCTGCTCCGATCCCGGAGAACTGTCCCGGCGCGGCGTTCATAAACGTGGTTTTGATCACGTCGAGTGGTTGCGTCAACACCGTGCAAATGCATCCGGCTATCGTGGACGTCAGGAAGTGCAGTGGCAGGCCATCGCGTGCTCCGGTGGTGGACTTGAGCATCTGCTTCACCTGGTCGTAGGCGGCATTGGTGCCGATCGTCAGAAGCACGGCCCTCGAAATGGCTGGAAGAGCGCCGCGAAAGAGACTCCTCCCTCCCTCCTCCTTGTAGATGCGGTTAAGGCCATCGAAGACGTGCTTATAGCTGTGGGATTGAACAAAAATGCAATGGTAAAGTTTTAGTGTGTTATAATTACAAAGGTGCTTCTGCCCATACGATAATGAATTGCTTTAAACTATGTTTCATGTCAAGTAATCACAAGGTGTTGTGGCAAATCACATCTTCTAAAAAACCAATATTTGGAGGTTTCAGACCCCAAACTTAAAAGCAATAATAGTATTTATATCCTAATTATTACTATATATATAGAGAATAACTCAGATAGGGAGCGATTCCAAGTAATCTTTATCAGGGCCGGCGAAACGTTTTGATTCCAGGTGGATAATTTTCCGGACAAACGATAAGCGGGGGTCGTCTCATGAATTTTTAATCAAATTTAACATATTGTTTGAACTGATTTTATGTTTCTTTGTTTGCTTATAATTTATAATTTATAATTACCCACCTTCAGAAGTTTTAGGCGGGTAGTACTACCCATAATACCCACGCCTTCCTTCCCTGATCTTATAAGCTTGCAGAGCAAAAAGGTATTATAATTTCAGACAGAAGTTTGCAACGCAGTGAAGGAGACACCTCAGACCCCATAAAGTATATATATTCTTGATCAGCATCACGATCAGAATCGAAATAAGTCTGTCCGTCTGTCTGTTTCTCTTCAAACTAGTCTTTTAGTATTAAAGCTATCTTGCTTAATCTTTCCTAAAAGTTGTGTAGTTATTGAACGCAGTATATATGGTAAATCGGAACGGACCGGATCGGTCGACTATATCGGATAGCTCCCATACAAGAGAATGAAATAAAAAACTCTCACGCCGTTGTTTTTGATCAGATCGACTTGATTTCTTCCAGATGGCGTTTTCTAACTACTATTGAGTTCGGATTGAAATCGGATAACTCTATTATAAAGCTGCCATAGGAAAGGTCGAAATATACATATATATAATATATATAAATAATGAAAAACATTTTGGAACGTCGATGTTTTTAATCCTACGTGCATGATTTTCAAAATTTGGATTTTTTATTAACCCATGAATCGAGAAAAAAATGTCATTAAAGTTCGACAACGTTATCGTATAGCTGCCATAGGAAAGATAGAAAAATCTGCACAGAAATAACGGAAATAAAATTATAACATCGTTGTTTTTCATCAGAATTTTTGGAATATTGAGTTTGCTAATGACTCTTGAATTTCAAATTAAATTTCATCATAATCGGACGACTATTTCATATAGTTGCCATGTGAACAATAGTCGAAAATATCGAAGATTAATAGCCTTTGTTTAGCCTTTATGTATTTTCTTCGACATATTTGATGGCTGCAAGGGTAAATAAGCTTCCCTTCTTGCATTTACCCCATCATAATAAAGTTTCGAATGCCTGGAGTTTAATTGAAGAAGTATTTCGGATACTCCGCAGTGTAGTCCTCATACTCAATACTCACTTACGTCGTTTTTCTGGGGGCAACTTGCCGTCGTTCTGCAGGCGCACTGTGACCACGTCTCCGGGAACGCCTACAAAGCCGCCGACCGTTCCGGCGAAGACGGCCAGGCCCATCTTGCCACTCATGTTCCTGGCATCCACGTATTTCTTGCCGGTTTCGTAGAGGGCGAACCGAGTTGTCGCATAGGTCAGCTGGCGGAACCAGGCGGCACTGATGCCACTGTAAAAGCCCGCCACGCCATGCTGCCTGAAGATGTTGCCGATGATCTGGCTGGCCGGCTTGATTTTGCCAGGGCTCTGGGTCTGCAGCTGCACCTTGATCAGATCCAGCGGCTGAGTCACGGTTATCGCGATCGACGAACAGACTCCACCGAACCACCAGCGCGGCAAACGCCTCGAGTCCGTATCTGCCATGCGTTGAGCTGGATCGCTGCAATTTTGTATCTTTTGTTAATATTATTCCAAAATTTTTCCATTAGGCCCTGACGTCTAACACTGAGAAGGCTATGATTTTTGATATCGAGCTCGTCAACAAGTTCCAATTTGATTTGATTAGAACTCACAAAGCGATGGATTTAAGTAATCAATTAAAATAGAAAGTCAGTTGGGTCATTTTCTATAGATATTTCCAGCTCTGAAAGGTAAAAAGGTTATGAATTAGCTTTTTTTCTACAAACCAAATTGATTTAGTTAATTCCACCGACCAGTTAAACAGCTCAAATATTGTTTTATATGTTCGCTTATCAACATTGCCGTTTATTTACAATACGTTCACAAAAGGTTCATAAACTTATGCGAATTAGGTGTAAATTTAGGTGTAAATATATGTAAATGCCTTGAGGTACTAGCTAATCTCACTGTAATCTTTTCTTTTTTCTCTGTTTAGGATGCGAAACTTAAGACTATCACACTTTGGTTTGCTCTGACTAGAGATCCTGTTCTGTTGTTCCTGGCCTTCGCCGGGGTTCTCCGCTCAGTAGGCCATCTCGGCGCCCCATGGACGATAGGGCTTGGCTCCGTTGGGCGTGGCATATTGAAGGACACTGGAGTTGTTGTAGTCCTGGCCTCCTCCAACCGGATACTGCGGAGCGGCACTGTAGCTGAGGCCCTCGGATCCCTCGGCCGGCGGACGGTTGCTGTTGGTCAGCTCTATGTAGGTGGGTATCTGCTGCTCCGGATGCACCACGCTGTGGTCGTGGGTGTAGTGCTGCTGCTGCGCTGGCTGAGGAGTTGTCTGTGTGCGCTGTTGTTGCTGCTGTTGTTGCTGCTGTTGCTGCTGTTGCTGTTGCTGCTGTTGCTGTTGCTGCTGTTGCTGTTGCTGCTGTTGCTGTTGCTGTTGCTGGTGTTGCTGTTGGTGCTGCTGCTGCTGGTTGCTGTTTTCGGAGTGGATGTCATGGCTGGGAATCGCTTCGTTCACTCCCGCTCCACTGGTGCGCGAGACACTGGTTCTTCCTCCGATCTGCTGGCTCTGCTGGACGGGCGAGGCACTCAGCGTGGGATAGCTGGACACGTAGGCACCCGGATTCGCCGGAGCCGGATAGCTCTGATAGGGAGACGCTGCGCAGTTGGGCTGATAGCCGGAGGAACTGGGCGGGGCTGCGGTCCAGCCAGTTGGACTGGCGCAGCTCTTGGCCGACAACTCGCGCTGCTGCACGAAGTACTGCAGGTGGGACATGAGGCGCAGGCGCAGCGGGTCCTGGATGTCCATGCCCTCGATGGTGACCAGGTAGCGGGCCACCTCGGCGGCGCACTCCCGGAACCCGATGATGTGGTACTCCATGGCCACGCGCTGCGGGTCGAAGCTCAGCGAGTCGAGAGCTGCAAGTAATCGAGGGAGGCGGAGAAAGTCAATAAGCTGTCTAATCCGGATCGGGCGAACAATTAAAGTAGCTGTTCCCACGCCACATACGAGTACGAGTAGTAGAACAACCCCCATGTCCTCCGGCAGGACAACCAGTGAGGTGGCCATCAGGGGGTGGAAGCCCGCTCCCGAAGGCAACGCGCAGCGTGGGAAGCCCCGAGATTCCGGATTCACTTGAACATTTGGGTGGTGGTGGTTCCTTTTCTGCCTGCGGCTATCATAATATTCCCACAACTCGACCCTTTTCGGGACAACAGGTCGGGCTTGTTTACCCAGATTTGTGATAATTTGCCGCATATTGTTTTTAATTCCCTGAAGCAATTGTTTCCCACATTCTAGTTATTCGGAAGTGTTTTTTAGGAAGTGTTGATCCTTCGGATGATGAAAGGTGAACAATGTTATTCCAAGATGATGTTGTTTAGTTCTCATTTAAGTTCAAAGTTTTAGTTAATTTTAGCATTTCCTTGAGTTGGAAAATGTATCTAGCATTGTGTTTGAGTTTACTATCTGATAATCTATACTGATCTACAAAGTTCATAGGGCTTTCTCGTATGAATTAACACCATTATGTGGCTGCCCACTTTTTTTGTAATAAAGCTATGGGATTGACACTTACTTTTGGACTGCAAGCTCTTTAGATGCTCCACGGTCAGCTGCAGGATCTCGGCCTTTTCCAGCTTGGCGGATCCCTGCTTTTCGTAGGCGGAGGGCACCAGACGCTTCAGCTCGGTGAGCGAGGAGTTGATCCGATCCCGCCGCTTCTTCTCGATCACTCCGCGACGCTTCTTGCGGCTCATCAGTTGGCAGCTTCCTGGTTCACTGGGCGAGATTCTGAAAACGCAATTAGGATACAGTTTATGATTAGTGGAAACTCTGATGAACAACGTGTTATAAATGTTTACAAGCCAAAATAAATCGAAATTCTTATTGCTTTGAAACGATTTTGAATAATGTATTGTATTCTTCTACAATTCATTTCTTCTTCATGTATTTGAGTTTTAATTTTAAGTTTTCAACTCCATTACACCTAACGCAGGCCTTTTTTATTTTAACTAACTAAAACTTGATAATTTATGCATCTACTGACATTTATAATGCTAATTGAACTTGATTGGTAAGTCCTTTAAGTTGCCCTGATGTTTGGGATCATTTAGTTCTTATTTGAATAATTAAAAAAAGTCTTATTCTGTTTGTGAAATCGCCTAATGTATTCAACTTGCACTTTGTGGTTTGCTAGGCACTTTTAGGTACTTAAGATTTAGGTTTCACTGTGTTAGGTACTGCGAATACGCACTGTTCTTTGGAGGACTCCTCGGAGTAGAGGTCGTCGCAGTCGCTCTCGGAGAGCGTCCGCTTGAGGCTGCCGTGTCCGTGTCCGTGTCCGTGGCTGTGACCATGCGAGTGGCTCTGTCCGTGGCCGTGGTTGCTGTGGTTGCTGTGGCCGCTGTGGTGCGACTGCGGCGGCGGCACCCAGTGGCTCTGGGGCGTGGTGGCGGTGGCGCCGGGCATCACAACACCGGCTCCGGCGGCGTAGCCCCAGTGGTGCAGCGGCGCGTTCACGTGCATGTTGTGATCCATTGTCGTTGGTGGTATTGTATTTGTTGTATTTGTTTTGCTGCTCCTGCGCACTTGACACTTGGCTGCAGTGTTGCTGTTGTTGATTATGTTGCTGTTGATGTTGCGAGTGCTGCTAGTTGAGCAGTTTGAGTGCAGGACCGGGCCAGCGGAGCTAGTCTGAGCACGTGACTTATCGTGTGCGCGAGCGGCGTTCGACTGATTCTGCAGCACACGTCGAGCGGACGACCTGCCCTCCGCTGCCGCCGCTCAACCCCTTATTACCGCCGCCGGCGGTCGTCCAATAAGATGCAGCAGCAGCAGCGCCGGCGGCAGTGGCAGCAGCAGGCCTAACCACCCCCTGGCAACGCGTGCTGGCCGAGATTGGGGTAGGAATGGAGTGCCAGCGATCGCTGCCAAGTGAACAAGCGAGAGCCTTTGTTTGCGTGAGTGCGACAGGGAGCGATAGTCGGCCGGCCTTCAAATGAGCAAGTCCTGTCATCGATTTCGATTGCATCTGATACCGCGAGTGCCGAGTGCCGAGTGCCGAGCGGTGGGCAGCATCTCGCCAGTAATCGGCGCCGTGGGCGACAAACCGGCGACGTCCGCCGTCCACTTGTTCGCCGCTGGAGCGGCTGCAGCGGACCAAGCAACTCAAACTGGAGCACGCGCCCGAACAGCCGCCGGTCGTGTGGCATCGCGTGGCGTGGCGCCAGCAGAGCCCCAAACAAGTGCAACGCCCGCCGCCGATGAACTTTATCTCAGATGTGGCGCGTCGTGTGCCGGTCGGCCCACACGATTCTAGGTCAGTGCTGCTGGCTCAAGGTTACGGCATCGGGAACACGGCATGCGGAATCCGGAACGGGAACGGGAGAAGGAGGAGGAGGAGCAGGAGCAGGAGCAGGAGCCGAGATAACAGCCGCGCGGCAGCAGGTGACCGAGGTGGTTGACCTAGAAACCGCCAGAGCTAAAATCGATTTGTGTGCCTAGCTGCTCAGATATTGAGCAAATCTCGGATTCCTCAACAATTTTAAATTATTATTATTATTATAGAGAAATTATCCAGGTAATTTTAAATTATGTTTTTACTCTATGCTATTTATAAAGCTAAAATTCATAAAAGGTGCCAAAAATTCATATGATCGGTTTTACAAATGAACTAATTACTATACCTCCTAATTAAATATTGCAGTAAGCGATTTGACAATGCCAATGTGATTACTTTAAAGGGGCTAGCAGAATTAGAGGATTAGAATTGTCCTAGAGGCTATTAGTTTAGTCTGTGGTGAGTGACGAAGTATTTCTTCCACTTTGATTATTTCAAAACATTTCCAATAGAAAACTTTGATTTATATTTTACCGGGCAACAGTATTTGCAGATCCACAAATTTGAAAACTCTAAAACTCTAAAACTTAAACACCCTTTAAATTATGAGTTTTGTTTAAAATTACAATAAATATGTGAACTAAAAAATATTAAAATGTTTTTTAATTAGTCTAAAATAATATAGGAATAATTTTTTATTTTAATAAACTCATGTAATAAATAAATAATTACTATATATTTTATCAACAAATCATTTTACAAAGAAGTCACTTCAATTATATAAAGCTGTGGCTCGATACTCTTGGACTTAAAACTAAAATCTTTTAAAGACACTTATGATACCTGCATAAATCTGGGATTAGAATTTTTCTTACGGATAGACCGATTCCTTTATAGTTATCTATAGTCATAATATATGATATGCAAAAAAAAAAACGAGTTATATTTACACGCCTCTATGTTTAAATAGACGAGCATTTTTCTATTTCTTTTGTGTTTATTTAACGACTGTTATGAAAATGTTTTTATAATTTTAAAGTAGAATATTGGGTTCCAAAAGTGTTAAAAATGCAGGAATTACATAAAAATGTATTGTTTTTCAATAATATCTTCCCTGTTGGGCTAAGAACTTTTTCTCCCAGAAAGGCTAAGCAATTACATTGCAACATTACTTGCCACTTTCTCGATTAATTTCGATTGCCGAAGCGTGAGCTTTACAACAATGGCGTCCCATATCAATTTCAAAAAAAAATTACCAAAATCGAAAATTGTAAAAAGTGCTTTTAATTTGATTCGGCATGCTGTCGCTCAGGTTTCAACTGTGGCAAACAGCAAAGTGGAAGCGGTTGAGGCCCAATGCCTAATGGTAAATGGTTAATGGGTAATGGCCAATGTCAGTGCCAGCGTGGGACAAACCTCGCCGGAATCGCCGGAATCGCCGGAACCCACCCCTAATCAAGTGGATGGATAGTGCAGGACTATAGCTACACATACATCTACATCTATAGCTGTAGCTACTCGTGTGGCAGCACGTTGAACTTGCACCACCATCGCAGCGGAATCGCTGTTCGCGGCTCGTGGGAAAGCCAAAGGTCTCCGGATTCTCACGAGCGTCCAGCACGTGCGGGTCGTGCGCCAGGATGGATCGATGGCCGATGGACGGGGACGCCTGGAAACCTGCTCCCTCCCACAGGATAATGAACACTATAGCTCTGAGTTCTGGGTTCTCAGTTCTGAGTTCCAAGTTCTGAGTTCCAAGTTCTGAGTTCTGTATTCTGGGTTCTGGAGTGCGTCACTCAAGGTATGGAGCCAAAGGAGCGCCGCACACACGTACACTCGTACACACACTCTTTGTTTTATTTCGTTAATGGATATTCTCGAACACAACTTTCTATAATGAAAATTGCGCTCTACCGACTAAAGTACTCGATTACATGTATAGTTTATGTAGGTAATTCTCACAAGACTGGTTTTCGTGCTCGATCGCTGGACGCAAAGTGGAGGGCATGGAGCCGCCGAATTGGAGGATTCAGAAGCTCCTAAGGCAAAGATTACAGTTGTTCACGGCTGACGCGTTCTCGTGGCGGTGCAGCTCCAAGCTGAGGGGTTCCGTGTCGTCCACCCAGGTCTCCAAGGTGCAGGAGCTCGACTGGTGGCTGGACTTCTGGGACTGCGAGAGGGATCTGGTGGCCGCCGCCGCCTGCCGCCACCTGGCATCGAAGTCCTCCCAGCGATCGCAGGCGTCGTCGTCCAGGGAGTTGCCGTTGATGTCCCACTTGACGATGGGGAAGTCGTCGTGGGGCGGCTCCATGATCACCACGTTGTGGTAGTTGCCCTCCAGCTTGGAGCCCAGACTGATGCTGCAGGGATGGTAGCGGCTGGGCGTGGAAATCCTCTGCTGCTGCTGCAACACCCTCCTTGGAGTGGCGTTCTGATGCTGCTGCACTGGCTGGTGTTTCTGCTGGTCCAGCTGCTGCTGCTGCTCCTGCTGCTGCTGCTCCTCCAGCTGCAGATCCAGGCTGGAATTGGAGGGTGTGTGGCGCAGGTAGCGCACGTTCTCCTTGTAGTTCACCCGCTCGAACTCGATGTTGGAGGAGAGGGTGGCCAGCACCTCGTAGCTGCTGCAGCTCACCAAGTACTTGGTGCGGAGGTCGTGCCTTCCGGCTTCCTGCTGCGGCACCTCCACCTCCTTGCACTCGCTCAGCTGCAGCTCCTCGTAGATGGCCTCCGTCGCCTGGCAGTTGCTGTTCACATCCAGCGCCAGTTCCCGCTGCAGCTCCGCCTCCACTTCCTCGTCGTAGGCATCCTCCTCGTCCAGCCGCTGCACGAACAGTTGCTTCGAGGTGGATATCTTGCGCAGGAACTGCAACAACACAAATCGATAGGGATAAACGCTAAGCGAGCGGCAACGCGGCGTATGATTAACATGCTGAAGGCACTGGCATGCGAACCCAACTGTTTACTTTCGTTCGGCGGTCTGCCATCGATTTTTTATTGATTACCCAGTGGCCAGAGCCACCCACTCTCGGGTTGCTAGACACTCGGACTAACCTTCAGACAGGACTTCTTGGTGCGCCTCAGCAAGTGCGACATCCTGGTGGCGATGGCGATGGCGATGGCGGTGTCTTTGTGTCGCTGCCGATTACTCCTCCCAAATGAAAAGGCGCAATTACTGCGGCTATTGTTGCCCTTCCACCAAACGCGGAGTCGTGACAATGAGCCGGGGCATGTGCCTCATCGCTGCTGCAGCCCGTTGGCCTATCCAAACAAAACTGAACGAGGAAGCGCCGCGTCGATTCCTCGCAGGTGGAGCAAGGACCTCCCATGCCGCGCTCGTGCCACATGACTCATGGCAGCGGCACGAGTGCACCGGGCAAAACGAGTGCGACTTGGTAAGCCCATTATTCAATTCAGTCAAAAAGGCTATTCTTTAAGTAGCCCAAAGGGTTGTTATGATAGGTGTTGATGAATATTGTCAATACTATTATATGTACTGATAATCATAGGAAGACAACTACCAGTATAAAAAAAAAATATTGTCGGAGTAAAGCAGCTGTTGATGAGTAATTTTCATAGAACAACTGTTGAACTAATATAAAATGCTTACAGATTTTAAGATACACATGTTTTCTCTGATATTTTGAGATACATATTTTTTGAAATAATTGAATTTGAAATAAGAAAAATATTTGTTGTTTTTTCTATTATTTCAAACAGTTATTGAGTTACTAGATTTTTGTTGTTTATTTTTTATCCGTTCTTGAAACCCATCACTTATCTATTTATGTTTATCCAACAAGTGAAGCTCACGAATATTTCTCACTGTGTTCTGGGGAGCAGTGCAAGGGCCAGCTGAGAGCCTCTGCCGCTCTGCCGGCACAGGCGCAGTATAATCCAAGCGCACAGATTGCCAATCTCGAGTGGGTCGCCCCTAATGCGGTAATGGCCCGGCTTAGAACCCACTCCTACCCCCTCCCCCTCCCCATTCCCTCCCTCCCATCTGATCCCCTCCCCTTTGAACGCCACGAACGAAGGTCCTCGAATAGCCGGTCAAGTGCCTGGGGCGCTTCAGTGGGCCAAAGGTGAGTCCTGCTCCCTGATTATTGTTGTTCGCGTGGCTGATGAAGGCGCCAACTTGGCGCTGCCGTCCATGGCAGGTTTACTGAGGAACTATTTCCGGAGTGGGTTGCCACGAGACTTGCGGGCGGTGGTCACATAACTACATACATATGAGTGAAAATATTTACCCGCAGGTGTTGCGCGAATTATGTTATAAATAGTGCGTCAATGCCACGAATGTTCGAGGGGAAGCGATTTGTTTTATAATTCCCCCGAACACAAATTATACGCTTGGGCACATTTAAACGCACTGTTTCATTCTATTCTTAGCTGAAAGTAACTGTAGGGCTTAATAAAATATCTTTGAATAACTATGCTATATAATATATTTTCAGATACATTAGTATAATACGAATTTTAAAAATATGTTTTGTTTCAAGATTCCAACATTTAATAAATGGTAATCGGTTGACAAGAGCTTATATTTCAAAAACAGAACTATAGCTTAAATGTTCTTAAGAGAATATATTTTTGTTTACTTCAAGAGAAATTATTTTCAGAAGTAATTTACATATTTGAATAATTCTCAGCTAAATGCTCAATAACTCAAATTACTCAAAATTTTTTATAAAAACAGGGCGTTGTACTTTGGCTTATCAGCAAGTTGATTCGAAATAATATATTTGTTAGGATGTCAACTAGACCTAAAAGTGATAATAAAAAAGTTTATTAAAGGCAGACGCTGATTAGATATTACTGACTTGTGACCCAAATTGATTTTCCACGTTTGGAAAACCTTTAAAAAAATTTTACATTTGTAAACCGTTTTATTTTAAATTGTGGCTTTAGTGTGGCTTTAAGTAAAAGAGTAGCTGGATAATAGTTTATAATTTGTTGCTTAAAATGTAAATGTTGTGCAAGTTTGTGTGGCTTTCGAATCAATAGCTATGGGAACTCCTGGGACTGACGGCTGAGTTAATGACATTTGCATGTAAATTTCCAGCAAATTAGGCAAATGATTTAAACGCATTTAGTTGTAAAAAAGAGCGAAACCCGTTTGCAATTCAACATGCTATGTGTGTTGAAGTTCAAACTCGAATTTTCGGTGAGCACTTTACAGCCTGTCCTCGATTTGTCACATCACTCAAAGTGAGGAGTGTTCACTGTGGTTTCGGGTTAGTTTTCAAATCGCATCGGAAACTGGAGAACAGAAGTCGAGTGAATGATGACACTCGCAGCAAATTGCAATCAAATCGCAATGATTCGGATGTATTCGATGGATAGATCCTTCGACCATGACAAGATCCTTTTTTCGGTCATCGCTCAATACTTTTGTCTGAGGTTTTTGACAGTTATCATTCCGGGGATTGCAACTCCTTTTTTTTGTAACATCTTCGCTGATGGCCGAAGGGAGTGCGAAAAAATATTGATGGGCCCAACCAATTAAAGGTTGATTGATAGGACACTCCAGCGAGCCGGCGATGAAGAGCGGCAATTGCCAATATCGATTTCAAAGGTTTGATTTTAATTTTTAATTGCTCAGTGCAAGGCACTCGACGACTCGAGGACTCGAGGGATGGCTGTTAAATTGGCCAGGACAACAGACCACAACAACCCTCCCATCGGCCACGCACACTTCTATTATTATTACTATTATTGTCATTGCCGTGGAATTTGCTAGGGGTGTGTAGGGGTTCGAAGCGAATCTCCAGCGATCTCCATCTCCGTCCAGAGTTCAGAGGCGGTGTGAAGTGCGTTGTGACCTCGGGGCAAGTGTCGATTATGCACGACTTGATGGCCTGCTGAAAATTTAAATTTTATTGGTTTTACACGCCCGTGCAGCCGCGCGAGAGCATTAAAATTATTTACGATGCCAAATATTGTTGGTTGTAAATTACGCACTCTGCAAAAATATTATTCAGAGGGAGAAAGGGAAATGGGGCGGGTAACGGCCATTCCGATCGCTTGACCTTTCGCCGCTAATTAGAGCCTCATTGTTTGAGGTTGAGGAACGTTTTCGGAGCGTGTTTCCAAATGCCTCGCAAGTCTGTTGCGATTCGGACACAAGTCGTTCGCTGATAACAATTCTATTATATAGACGCAGTCGGACAGTCACGATTTCCCCATTCAGTTACTCAGTTGGGGGAAGAGCGCGATGGCGAGCGGTAATCCGGAGATCCAGTTCTACGAGCACGAGCTCAGCATCCGCCGGGTGATCGAGCAGTCTGACTTGCAGGCTCTGGACCAGGCCCTCAACATCTGCGACCTGTCCAGCGTGGAGAGGAAGCACCGCCTCTGGCAGGAGCAGCTGCCCAGGATCAAGCCCTACTACGCCGTCAAGTGCAACGACGACCCGCTGGTGGTCGAGTTGCTCGCGGATCTCGGAGCTGGATTCGACTGCGCCTCCAAGAACGAACTGAAACAGGTGGGTGTCCAGAAGCATTATGATATGATTATGATATACATCCTATACTTGTGCAATATAAAGAACAAATGACTTCGGAATAATATAATTATATTCTTATTATGATATACTACCTATAACTGTGCAAAATAAAGAACAAATGACTTCGGAGAGTAATGAAAACGATTCAAGGCTTTTAAACAGAGGAAATCTGTGTGTACACATTTCAATGGAATATTTCGGCACTTAAATCTGTTGCTATGGCTCCCCACTTAAACCTAGATTGTAATCACTTTATAGTAATAAAGTAATTCACTGATAACATGATATTTTGTTTTAATATACAAACTAATATTCTCACTCATATTTATTTGAGTTGATATTTCTCGCTGACATTGTATATTCATTGATACATTTGTATACTGTTTAACTTTATTATAAAAAGTTTATTAATATTTATCAATTTCTATAGGTGCTTGGCTTCGACGTCCCACCAGAGCGAATCATCTTCGCCAATCCCTGTCGGCCTGTCAGCCATCTGGAGTACGCCAAGGAGAACAACGTGGCCAATGGCACGGTGGACAATGAGTTCGAGGTGTACAAGCTGCACGAGCACTATCCCAACTCCAAGTAGGTTCCCCTCGTCCGCTGTTGAATACCAGAAGTAAATTTCGGAAACATTTCAGTCTGATTGTGAGATTCAAGAGCGAGGCCAAGGAGGCGCAATGTCCGCTGGGCGACAAGTTCGGTTGCGATGCGGATGTGGATGCCGCGGCCCTAATGCTTTTGGCCAAGTCCTTGGACCTGAAGGTGACCGGAACCAGTTTCCACGTGGGCTCTGGCTGCAGTGAGCTGGAGGCCTACGACCGGGCCATCAAGAAGGCCAAGAACCTTTTCAAGCTCGGCGAACTGCTGGGTTTCGAAATGGATTTTCTGGACATTGGCGGCGGGTTTCCTGGCAGCGATGACGAGAAGTTTAGGCGGGTGGGTTCCATAAAATATGTAATAATGAGTAAGTTATCAAAGTGTAAACTTTTACAGATAGCTGGGAGTATCAACACCTCGGTGCAGCGCCATTTCCCCGACGAGCGGGTCCAAATAATCGCCGAACCAGGACGTTTCTTTGTTGCGGCTGCCTTCACTTTGGTCTGCAAAATCCACGCCAAGCGGGAGGTCCGCAGTGAGGACGGGAAGTTGGACACCATAATGTACTATCTGAACGATGGTGTCTACGGATCCTTCAACTGCATCCTGTACGATCATCAAGTGGTGACTGCAGAACATTATCTGGTAAGAATCAGAATGGAGTGTCCATTATATTCAAACAAGAAAAGAAACCTGCTATTTCTTATTATTTCGAATTAGATATGTTTAGGTAAAGAAAGTTTGTCGAATTTCTCCTTACCTCAATGGAATCTAAATGATTTAGAAGTCAAGTCTTTATAAAACTTTAAAATTATAATATATCGCGAGCCATATGTATTATATAAATGTTTTAAAAAACAAGAAAGGAACGGTATAACGAGACTTTGACATCATTTCTTAGATTTTGTAAGATATCTTTAAAACTGAGTGATTAGCTTGAGAAACTATGGTGATGCTGATCAACTAAATATATACTTTATAAAATTGAAATATCCTCTGTAAGGGTTTAAAGATAAGTTAGTTAAACGTGTATTTTTTAAAACCATTCTCAACTAAATTAGATGAACTAAAGATAATTTAAATTTGCTATTTTTCAATACATTACCTATTTTTCCAGGAGGAATCTGATGACTTACCCCTTTTGAAGTCCTTGATTTGGGGTCCCAGTTGTGATGCTTTTGATAAGGTGAGCATAAAATTGTATTTCCACTCCTAAATAAACTGCGATGCATCCTTCCCTTCTTAGATATCAGAGGACCTGCTCCTGCCAAACCTAAACCGAGGTGATCTGTTGGGGTTCCGCAATATGGGAGCTTATACCATGCCCATTGCCAGTCCCTTCAATGGATTTGATGTTCCAAAGACTCTATATTTTAAAGCCATATGACTAAATGGTTTCTTGGGCAAAATAAATGAACCAATATATTGCATACACATGTATAGAAGACTTTGATTTATTGATTACAAGATGCCGAGATGTAAAACAAACCTAAATGCGCGACTTCATATGTAAGAAGCTTACATTTTTTGGAAGCGGTTCAAACAAGCAAATTTTTGGAAGTGCATTTTCTTGCCACAATTAGATTAATTATTTTACAACAACTTTTTAATATCAGAACTATTGTATGGTATATCAACCTTATATTTTTTAACTTTCTAAAGAGTTTTGTGCAATTAGACATAGCCTTCTTTTTGGCGAATGTATTTTTTTTAGCAACATGTTAGGAACATTGTTGCGGTTTGACCAACAAAAAGCTCATTTAAACATCCATCTAGTTCCAGCTGCCAGTTTGGACACAACATTTTGGCTAATAACCATTAAGTTTGGGAAATAACATTGTGCAAAAACGAATCTGATAGATCAGTTGTGATCTGCACGAGATGGAGAGCAGTAATCCAAAAACGCATTTCTACGAAAAAGAGCTCGACATCCGCCACGTGATCGAGGAGTCCGACTTACAGAACCTGGACCAGGCACTCAACATTTGCGATCTGTCCAGCTTGGAGAGGAAACTTCGTCTCTGGCAGAAACTGATGCCCAAGATAAAACCGCATTATGCCGTCAAATGCAATGACAATCCGGTGGTGGTGAAGTTTCTAGCGGATCTTGGAATTGGATTCGACTGTGCATCGAAAAACGAACTGAAACTGGTGGGTTCTCTTCACAAATGATAAGCTTTAAAAATAGTTTTGTTTCTATAAATCTTTATTTCCATCGAATAAACAGGAATGATGATAAGGTGATAGTTCTACATTTATTCGTACATACAGGAATATTGATAAAGTCTCTCTTTGTTGGTTTTCTATTTGGCAATTTCGGTTTGAATACACGATGACCTCATCACTATTTATTATGCTAAACAACCTGCTGCCGTTTCAGGTGCTCGGCTTCGGTGTTTCACCTGAACGAATCATTTTCGCACATCCGTGTCGTCCTGTCAGCCACTTGAAGTTCGCCAAGAAGCAGAAGGTGCTCAATGGAACGGTGGACAACGAGTACGAGATCTACAAGCTGCACAAGCACTATCCCAACTCCAAGTGGGTTTCATCCGATCTCAGTGTTTTGAGGAGTTGATAAGGTGTTGTTCGTTTCAGTCTCATCGTGAGATTCAAAAGTGAGGCCAAGAAGGCGTTGTGTCCCCTGGGCGACAAATATGGTTGTGATGCAGCAGCGGATGGCGCGGCCCTAATGCTTTTGGCCAAGGCTTTAAAACTTAAGGTGACTGGCACCAGTTTCCACGTGGGTTCCGGATGCAGCGAGGTTGAGGCCTTCGATCGGGCGATCGAGAAGGCCGAGAACATCTTCAGGGCCGGCGAATTCATTGGCCACGATATGAACTTACTGGATATTGGAGGCGGCTTTCCCGGCATCGACGATAACATGTTCGGAAAGGTGGGTTACGGGAATTCACGGTAGCTGTGATTTCGGATAACACTCCTATACCCCTATGTTTCTCAGATGGCGGAGGCTGTCAACTCTTCAGTGCAGCTCCGCTTTCCCGATGAGCGTGTCCAAATAATCGCCGAACCAGGGCGATTCTTTGTGGGAGCTGCTTACACTTTGATCTGCAAGGTTCATGCCAAGCGAGAAGTCCGCAGTAAAGATGGAAAGCTGGATCAGTTGATGTACTACCTAAATGATGGCATATTCGGTGCATTCGCGGGACTCTTTTACTATCCCGAACCGGTGACTCCTCAGCTTTACTTGGTAAGAAAACGATTTAACAAAAAGAACTTCATAGGTCCCTCTGGAAGCTAGCTTTCTCCTGGCTTTATTTTCAAGTCCATAATGTACTTCAACTAGATGCCTTGCCTGTTGGCAAATATATTTATATATACTGTATACCCTTGCAGAGCAAAATCGTCATGGCTTCGATGTTGTTTAGGCCTTATGCATTTTGATCGACATATTTGATCTTGTTTTATGAAAATTTTGACTTATTTAGGATGAAGCTGAAAATATGCCAAAGTTTAGATCTGTGATTTGGGGACCAAGCTGCGATGCACTGGATAAGGTGAATTATTTGCTTGAAATAATCAAAACCATGGAGTTTCACCACATTTCCATTTAACCATCAGATATCGGGAGACCTGTTCTTACCCAACTTGAACCCGGGGGATCTTTTGGGGTTTCGCAACATGGGAGCCTACGCAATGCCCATTGCCAGTCCCTTCAATGGATTCGACGTGCCTGAGACTCGGTTCTATCGAGCTAAATGACTTTATTTCATTTTGAATGTTTTTTTTTTAGCTTGCTTCAAAAAAACCATATGCAAAAATACGATAATTTGGTTTTTGAACTGAAACAATTCCCTGGTTATGTGACATACTATATATTACATTATTATAAAAAACACCAAATCCTATTTGGGGATCCAGCGGTGTTCTATATTTATTATAACCTTATTTGTTTATTTATTTATTTTTTATTAACCCTTTTGACGGGTGACTTCTTCATAAGACGAAAAATAACTTGAAAAGCCCCATAAATAGATTCAAAACCCGAGAGACCCCGCACATCCGTGCAAACACACAACAAGAGATTCAATTGCTTGCATTTGTAACCAACATGGATTCTTTATTAGTTAGATTATCGGTGTTCCCGTGGGGGAGCTACTGCTCACATGGAGAGCATTGTTTGCATGCCCAGCTTTCGATGGGGTTCTGTTGTTAGCAATATTTCGAAGAGAACAGCTCTAGCCAAAGGAAACTGACCCGAATCGGGGCTGCGGCGAGTTCTCTAGAAAATATTTCCGGTACCGCGACCGCGACCGCTCCCTTCGCTCCGACCCCTTCGTTCCGCCGCCCACCAGTGGGTGGCTACTGACCCAAGCCACCGGTCGATCGGGCGGGGGATCGGAGGGGGAGGATCGGGAATGGGGAGCGGAGGCGGAAGCGGGCGGATCGGAGTGTCCTGTGTCAATCGCTAATCGAGTTACAACTTAGTTTGCATAGACATAATTGAAAAGGTACGTACGTATGAGTGTATAAAAGTATATGTATAAAAAATTTCAAAAATTCCACTCTGCATATACATTTGCTTAACTCGCTTCCTGCGTAAATATCAAACTTGCCAGATGCCTCAAAAATGTAAGTAAATTCTATAAAATGTCTCTATCTTAGCAGTGTGTCGAGCCATCCGAGTGTCTTACTACTGGGAGCTCTTGATATGTCACGATATAATAACAATTTAACGATATGCATTTTTCATTTCTCATTTTCGTAATGGTAATGGATACTGGTTACTGGATACTGGATACTGGATACTGGATACTGGGAACGGGATCGGGATTGGGAGTACTTGCCCCTTCTTCGTGGCAAATAAAGAGTACAAACTACTTATTCCATAATCAGTTCTTGGTGATTGATGCAAATGACGTGTTCTCTTGTGTCTTCCCCCGTTTCGCCTTGCCTCTGGCCCCCAAAGTGGAGCCGCAATTGGTAACAGTTGAGAGGATAAGCCTGGTGCACGGATAAACTCGCTGAGCCTTAAATTTGTAGGTTGGATTGCTCTGGGGTGCAGAAGGGCTGGAAACTGGTGACTGGTGACGGGGGCTACGAAACGCGTTAGTAATGATTGTATCTCACAACACCGACGACAAGACGACGATAGACGATAGACTACACATAGTAAACGGGTATCCTTTATCCTTACAACACATTGTACACTGTAAATTGTACGCAGTATTGTGCCTCGTACATTGTACTGATTAACGCGTATAACAACGAATTCCCTCGCTTAAACGTAACAATATTCTGATATGTTTTGGGTTTCGGTTTGGTTTGGTTTGGTTTGCTTTCATTTGATTTGGTTTGGATTTCCCTCCGCAGGTGCACTGGTGCCTGAATCAAGCCTTACATCTAATACGAATACGAATCTCCTCCCGCTGGCCCATCTCGGCCAGCCTTCCCTTCGAGTCGAGCTACTGTGCAAGTCTGGAGTGGATTGGATTGGGTGGTTGGTTGGTTGGTTGGTTGGTTGGTTGGGGTGGTGCTGCTGCCGCTGCCACTGCCACTGCCGCTGCAGGTGCGTCAATTCAACAAGGTGATTGCGATTGGGTGTCGGCTTTCTCAGAGTCTAATTACTGGCAGAGCTGCATAACTCACGGACTCTCTATGATCTATAAGAAAACATACAATACAATACAAACACAGAAATGGTTTGTAGACGTACGAGGGTCTGTGATCTGGGGTCTAGTGGCGTTCTTTTTGTTTTTGGGGGATCTTTGTGGCTTTGTTAACCGAATCAAACCGAATTGAACTGGGCTGGCGACCGCACCGTTTTCTATCACTGATCACCGATCACCGGATCACCGATCACTGAGTCTTGAGGTGGAACTGAAACTGAAACTGAACTGAAGCTGAAACTGACCCACACAGAACATCGCGTCTAGCTGGACAGATGCGGCTTAGACGCTAGTCAGAAAGGCCACGCTACACACGGCAATCTGGGCCAGGATGTTCACTTGCAGGATCCGCATCAGCCCGCCGCTGGTGGGCGAGGGACTCACATTGAGGCCGGCGCAGTGCATCTTCTCGGTGGGCATGGCCTGCACGAAGTACTCGCGGTTGTCCAGCGACATGTGGCACAGCGGCTTCTTCTTCTGCGACATTTCGTCGTCCTTGTTCTTCAGGTCCTCCAGCAGCTTGGGGAACCAGGTCAGCTCGCAGGAGCAGTTCAGCGGGTTATCTGCGCGAGGAGATCAAGTCTTTAATTTAGTTTGAATATGAAGGTACTCTTGGGTGGCCGTGACTTGCCGGTTATGTCGATGATGCGGAGCGTGTCGATGACCGGCTCCATTATGTCCTGCGGAATGCGCTGCAGCTTGTTGTTCTGCAGGTTCAGCGTCTCCAGCGAGTTGAGGTTCTCGAACAGAAGACTCGGCAGAACCTTGATGCTGTTAAATACAAAAACAAGAGAGTTATGCTTGGTCTTAATCTATTATTTTAGCCTAAAGTGTTTTATTAGCTTTAAAAGAAGAAGTTCTTACAATATAGGATTTCACTAAACAACTCTGTTTCAGAGAAAACATTATCTCTTGTTTTTAATGTTCAGGATAATCAATTTAACCTTTAAGTTCTAAATTATCCACAGAATGTCATTCAACTTGCTCATTGGACTATTATGAAATGTTAAAAAATTTTCAAGTTAAAGAAATAAATATAGAAGAATTCTTTAAGAGATTCTACAAAATTTCTCCAATTTAAAGCCCTACAAACATTCTTACACATTTCTATGTAATGCCGTTGTTTTAACAATACGAGTAAAAAATCTTAAGTTATGCAGACTTTTTTAGAACCGTTTAGTGGGGAATATTTAGAAAACAAATCTTACTCATTCTTCTGCAAATTGAGGAAAGTAAGAGAGTCCCCGAATCCAGTGAAGGCATCCTCGGCCAAGACATTAATGTTGTTATTGCGCAAATCCAAGTGGCGGAGGCGATGCAACGGACGCAAAGCCTCGCTGGGAATGGAGTGGATTTGATTGTCGCCCAGACGCAGATACTGCAGATTCTCTGGTGAAGCAGAAGTGCTTTTAAAACAATATTCTAACAAACGAGCAGACGGACAACCAACCTTCCAGACCCTTGAAGGCGTCCTTGTCAAGCGAACTGATCTTGTTGCCCTCCAGCTCCAAGGAGTTCAGCTGGGTGAGGTGGCTGAAGACATTGGCAGGCACGGTGGTGATCATGTTGTGGGCCAATATCAACGAGTCCAAACTTTGCAGTCCTGTTCAAGAGGGAAGCACTTAATAAACTAACTTTTTAAAATAGTAAGTTGTAATAAATACCTTCGAAATCGCCTTCGCTTATGGTGCGGATCTTGTTCTCCTGGATCTCCAACTTCTTTAAAGTGGTCAAAATGGAAAGAGCTTTTTGCGGAACGCTGCTCAGATCGTTGCCACCCAAATTCAAGCGTTTTAGTTTGCTGAAAAGTACAGTAGATGTAGCAAAGAAATACCAATTGTATTACATTTATTATTTACTCCTCTAGTCCTCGGAATGCCTCGGGATCGATCTGCGTGATCTTGTTCTCGTAGAGCGTGAGGATCTCCAGGGTCTCCAGTCCCTCGAAGGCGTTGTTGTGGATCGAGGTGATTTTGTTGTGGTTCAGATTGAGGATCAACAGGTGGAACAGGTGCTGCAGGGCCTGCGAGGGCACCGTCTTCATTTGGTTGAGCGACACATCCAGCTGGGTAAGTCCAGGGCCTATGGCAATCAAAGGGGGAGAAATGATAAATCAGAACTACATGGGCAAGCCTCTTAGTTACCCAGTGAGCTCAAGGCGTTCTCCTCGATGGCCGCCAGGCTGCTGTTGTGGATGGTCAGGTGGCGGATGTCCAGGGCCAGGAAGACGAAGCCCTGCAGCTTGGGCAGGTTGTTGTGGCGCAGCTTCAGGTAGAAGATGATGGGGCTCTTGCCCTTGAGCGTGCCCATCGACTTGGTGATGTGGACCAGGTCCGTGGTCTCGCACAGGATGTCCAGTCCGTTCTTCTTCACCGTGCAGATGCAGGGCGCGATGGCGCTCTGCTCGGGGCAGACCTGCGCCTGCGGGGTTCCCTGGCCCGAGACCTGGGGCACCTGGGTCAGCACCTGCAGCACCTGCAGCACCACCGCCACCACGAGCATCGACTGCAGCTCGAGCCTCGCCATGCTGAACACCTGCTGGTGGGTTGACCCTCGGCTCTCGGGGGTGACTCTGTAGGCGAAGGATGTCCCGCGGGGTTGCCAAGAGCGCTTCTCGTGGCTTTCGCTTCGTCCGCCTCGTTCTCTGATGCTGCTGATGCCGCTGATGAGTGGTGCTATCTACAACGGCTATTGCCGTAGCCCTGTGTGCAAAAGGAGAAGGAAAGGGAGAAGGAGAATCCGAATCAGAATCAGAATCAGAATGAGAAGAGGTTCGGTTAGGGGACTTCAATTGGGCGCACAATGCGCGATTCTTATTTGGGTTGTGTGCCCGCGGATTAAATATAAATTGCCCGCAATTGGGCTGTCCGTCCGGCGGTTCTTGTCACTGTTGTCGCTCTCCTCTCCTCTAAGCTCCGGCTCACTCGCTCCCTCTCGCTCGCTCTTTTGGTCTCACCTAAATTGTTTGTCCGTCCGCGGCTGGCGAGTGCCAAATGAAACATGCCTCCAGTGCCACCGAGATGCAACAAATCCGACGGGCTCTCTCCGCTCGGCTTCTCGGCTTTTGTGGGGCAGCTGGAGTCGAACTGCCGCACGCTCTTCCTTTCTTTCCTTTCGTTTTCGGGGGTGGCTACGGGGCGTATGCGTAATGGCCGTGTGCCAACTGGGTTAGTGTGTGTGTATAACGATGTAACGGAAAATCGATACGTCGACGTCGAGAGGTTGTTGAATGGCCCGTTTGTTTGTATTTGTTGCTTCGCTCCTCACTAATTCAACAGTCCTCGAACGCCCCTTTCCTCCTTCTTTCTTTCTTTTTTTTGCTCCTTAATCCTTTGTCCCTTAGTATCGATGTGCTGGCAGGTTGCCTTCGCCAGTGCTTTTCCACTGGATTCCACTCGATGCCACTGAATTCCGTTACATCCACAGAGTGTCAACCAGGATCCAACTTCTGGCCCTTCTGGCTCCGCCAGACTCTTCTCAGCCCTCGCGAATCAGTTGCAGCGTTGCATTCCCTACGCTAACCCACTGGCAAGCCCCCAAATCCTGAGTCCTGAATCCTGAATCCCGAATCCTGAATCCAGAGCCCAGAATCGGAAAGTGTAAGAAGCGTTTCGAAGCGTCAGGTGATGGAAGGTGAAGCACGTTTGGTTGGCAAAACCGACGATTGCGGACTGAGAGCACTCGGCGTGAAATTGAATATATCATCCCAGTTTGCTCTCGGGGTTCGCTCGAGCTTTTCCAAGCTCTTCCAAAGCTTCAGCCAGCGCTCAAAACAATCTCTTTCAGAGGCTCCTACGGAGGAAGGAACCGGATTAGTTATCAAACGTACTCGTTTCTAGGCGAAAGCAAGTGCATTTTAATAATAAGCTGATAAAGTCTGATCTTGATTAATGTCTTTATTGTTTAACCTTTCCCGTCAATGCCATGACAGGTTTTTATTGAAGAAATAAAGCAAAACAATCGAGAATACATTTCTCAAAACATATATTATAATACATTTCTTTTTTAAATTCTAGAGCAGGAATATTGTTTAATTTTGCCACAAGGTAGTTTATTATTAAAAGTATTATCTGCTCGTAGGCGCAGTATAATAATCATGAGTACAAACCGAATTCGATTGTCAACCACAAGAATGTTGAATATAGGAAATAAATATAGAAAATATAGGAAATAAATTGCAAGTATCAATATTTGACTTAAATTTCGCAACCAAAGTTAAATAAAATTAATTAACACGCATAAAAAGAATTTGGAAATTTTGCCAAATTACAGATCGGATCGACGGCCCGCGCAAATTCGACTGGTAAACAGAACTCCGCAGCTTTAACTTCATTAGCATATATCGGGATCCTAAGAATCATATTCCATAGCCATAGCTTACGCGTTTGTATTCCATTGTACAAATTATGTTATCCTTGGCTTGAAAAGGCTTAGGTGAAAAAATAATACTTATAAATATTTTATAGATCCAGGGATACCAATATTCAATTGTATAGATTACCCCGGCTTTAAGTACTAATGAGGTTAAAAACGCTTATCTCTTCGTGTTACATAATGATTACAGGTGAATCTTCCTTTTTTAATATGCAAGTACCGGTTACTTAGTAGATACTAATATTGATGGCAATGGGAGTACAACACCATCTATGGCAATTTTTCGAAACTAACCGCCCATTTGTTTTAACATGACGACACCTGGCGGACAGAAGTTAAGGCAAAACACTTGCTATAAACTTTAAACAGCTTGCAAAATGTTTGCATGTTTTGCTATAATAATTATTTAACGTCAACTGTTATTACTCATATGATACTGCTTTACGGTGCTGTTAAGCTTTGCTTTCACTGAATTTACAATACGTAGCTTATGTTAAGGATGCTGTTACGAATGCTGCTTTAAACTGCTTTTACGATAGCTGTTAGCACAGCTGTGTTAAAAAATGTGTCGACACTTGCCTATTAAACATTGTTATAAACCTTTAACTGCTTGTAGTCCACTGTAATATTTATTTCACGGCTCCTGATATTTCTGCCATTATTTCTGCTTTTCAGCTGAAGTAAATAGTGATGTTTATACTGCTTGCATATCAATAAAATCTTATAGAATTGTTGATACAGCTACAATTATACTGGTATTGGACTGCTTATTAACTGCTTTTGCGAGAGTTGTTATACCAGCTGTATTTAATTGTGTCGACACCTGCCGGCCGAAATTAAAAGCATTGCTTTGTTTGAACTGCTTGCAGGTCCGCTCTAATATTGCCGTTATGTCTACTATTCTCACTGCTGTTAATCCAGCTGCGTTTACAGCTGGTGTTTCAACTTCTGTGAGCACTGCTTGATTACTGCTGTAATTGATTCCTAAAAAATCATTTAATTGAAGGTTTTATTCACTTTCGGGCCAATTTAAATTTCAGGTTAAATAATAAAAAATAATCAATTTATTTCAAATAAAAGTTATATATTATTAACGAAAACGTTGAAGTTATTTTAAATATATTACAGCTACCATTACAAGGGCTACAAAGATTAATAAATAAATAATAATAAAAACTTGGACATAATAAAAATATTTAGTGTAATATTTTTTTGTTGATGAATTAAAAAATATTCGAAAGTTTTATACTAAAAGGTTAGTAACTCCAATATATATATATAATATAATGAAACACGAAGATTTTTTAAAAAGCATGAAAACATTTTATAAGCTGCAATTTGATTTGTGGGTAATTTACTTCGAGAGTAATTTATCTAGGTTTGCCTGAATAGGTTGAGCAAAATTTTTTGAAACTAAAGCCCTTCGTCCTCAACTCTCCAGTTCTGGTCATGTTATCGAACCCAACTTTCACCGCGTCAGCTGACTGCTCCAGCAGCTATCCTTTGATGACAATCCTGATCGGGTTACAGCAGCACGTGGGCGTAATTTTCTCGCAATTAGGATGCGATTATCATAATATGAGCGAGCGCCGTCGAAGGGGTAATTGAAGAAGAACGGACCAGCACAGCAGCATAGCAGCACCACAGCAGCTCAACCCGTGCCCCAGTGCAACGGGGATCCTTCGACATGCCACATGGCCACGTGCCGGCAAGACGCCTTCAGCTGGCAAAAGTTTCAATTTGATATTCCTTAGGCCATCCAGCGTCTTGGGGTTGCTTTGCCCTGGATTAAGTTCGAGTCGGGCCAGGAACGATTCAGATCCTTCTCTGCATCCGCTTCTGCGGCCCAGAGGCTGTGGCACATGGCTTATGACAAGAGGTTGAGCTCCGCATCAGCATAAGGTCGGACTCTGAATCCGACAAAGTGCGAAATCCTTTACACTTTGAAGACTGATTGACTTCTTATCCTCGAATGGACTCGAATGGAAATTGTGTTTCGCTTTCCTGCTCGGCTAATGGCGGGGTGCGCTCTCGGCGAGCGGCGACAGTGTGAGTCCTATATAAACAAACGGAAGATAATCAAGATGTAAAACACAATCCGGATGGGGAGGGGGAGGGGGAGGAAGAGGGGGAGGGTGGGCTCGCCTCGCCGCCTGTAATTCAAAACCAAACAAAACCGTTGAGGAATCAAAAGGCAAAGCGATGGCAAATTACAGCGTAACAGTTGCAGTTGCCTCACAAAAATCGGAGGAGTTGGGGTGGAGTGGAGTGGGGTGGGGTGAGGTGGCGTTGGGAAAGCGCCGCTGAAAAATTGTGAAGCGGAATTTCGCAATTTCACTTTGTACTTGGAAAACTGTTATTAACTTAATGAAGGAGTGTTGTGCGCCACATTCACATTTACCTGACACGTGATTCGGAGTGAACCGGAAGCTGAGGGTCCCACAAAGGAGCTGCGCTCTCCACTTTCCTTATTTACTCGTTTCTTCTTTTCGGTTACTTTTCTGAGCTGGTAGTGCGTACGTTAAGTGCTCAACTGGGAAAACGAATTTACCGCGCTGTAAATGGTGTCAAGTTGTTCATGTCATTCTTTCTTATCGCAGTAAATTTATTGATTCAATGTTGAAAAAAGCAAGTGCAAGCCGTTAAAATATTTGTAATTTAAAACCGTAATTAAAAAACAGGTTTTAGGTAACTCCATTATTTTATTTTATTCGATTAAAAAAAACAATTATTTTACATCAATACGTAAAGCTGATACTAATTATCCAATTATACATAATAAATAACTTATAAACCTTTTCAGTTCAGCGGTGCTTATAGGAAATTTCAATTCAAAGATCCCAAAGGAGCCAAATTAAACTCCACATTACCACCACAACATTTTAAGTGTGCTACAAAAATTGCTTTGACATTCAATAGAGCAATTTTTATTGTAAAGTATTAAGCACTCGATGATGCACCACTGTTTTTAATTAATATTAGCAACTTTTTCGCAGGCTTTTATGAGTAGGTGTCTAATTGGGTTATACGAGTATCTATTCGGCAAACTTTGGCTGCCTTCCTGCAGATTTAACAGCAGCTAACAAACCGAATCCGTTGGCTGCTGTAATTAAAACAAAGAGTGCGATTGAGCACACAGCACCCCCCGCAGGCCCCGCACCCCTCTCTCCCTTAGAACCCACACGTACATATGTAGCGTAGGAGCTTTAGAGCGGAGGAGCAGTGGAGGCCACCATGCAGCCATGTAACCGTATCTTTGCATTGGCGCTCAGATGAAGCTCATCTGGCAAAGTGGCAGGTTAAGTAAACAGTTTCATTGTGCGAATTCAATTAAAATTTATTCAAAATACGTCAACGGCAGCTACTCAAAGCTGCTACTTCTGCCGCGTTTCGCAGTTGCTGCGCTGCGGCAACAAAGTGTTCCAGTGTCTGTGAGATACATTCTATGCTTGCCGCTCTCTTTCTCACTTTCTCTCTCTCTCCCTCTCTGTCTGTCACTCTCCCTGTTGCCCTGTCTGCCATTGGCGAAAAGGGGGCGTGGCGATGTCTCGTTCACGCCCCAGTTCAAGTGTAAGAGGGACAACCGTATGGACGACATCCGTAGTAAATGAACATACGCTGACAGAGTATCTGTGTGCCAGCAGACGACGGTTCCGTGTGTGCGTGTACCACTTGTTTTGTTGTTCCCCCACAGCTGTAACTGCTGTCTTGGCAAGTGGTGTAAATGGCAATTTGTCGGGCGTCAACGGACGTCGACCGACGGACGACGGAAAAAGCCGCCCCCGCAAACGGTAGCCGTAGATACAGCGTCGCGCTGACAGCCGCTTTTTCTCGCTGGCATTGGCATTCGGCTTTTGGCCTGGCCCGCTCATTTCTGCCATATCATCGCCGTCATCATCGCCACGATCATCATAGCCTCCCCCTGAATCCTCTCCCCTTCCCCGTCATCGTGGCACTCAAAAAGTATCTTGGTCTTATTATCCCTTTGTGCGGGAAAACACTGGCGCACACACCACCTACCTGTGCTGCCGTGTCAACCCATTCGGGACCAAGCCCATTATCCACCCAATGAAACACATTCTTATTTTCGACTTCAAGACTCTAAATACTCTGGCAGACTAACAAAATATTTTAACCGAATTAAATATTCATTCTAAAAACTTACATATTTTAGCAGTAGCTTTTTGAACACTGATTAAACCAGAACTGAGTAAGATATTATAAATATATTAGTATATATTTATTATATAATATAATAATATGTTATATCAAAATTAGGCAGAAAATAATAAC